CCTGCTCTCACGAATGCATTCAAGCCAGCTCAGCTCAGACATGTCAAGAGAAGGGAAGAGAAGTTGCAGTGTCTCACAATTGCGGCAGATATTTCCAATCTTTTTCACAATTCCTTTAATGGTTTTTCCATCATTCAATTCTCAACAAATCGAATGAAGAGAGAAGCCTAATACGTTTCCGCTCGCCGCTACTAACGGAGTCTCGGTTGATTTCCTTTCCTTTAGCTACTTAGATGTTTCAGTTCGCTATGTTGTGAAAGTCCAAGGCGTATAAACTGGATGAAGGTGAAATGATTCAGAAATTCATGCTGATGACCGATCACAAACACTCTCTCCGTCGACAGGATCTGCGATCTGTCATACGAGTGCATGACAGATCGCAATACTGCTGCATCGCTCTTTATTGCCAGTAATCTCGTGAAATGACTTCCAAATATGAGAGGCGGACGACGCTCAGTGACGTGAGCTTTCTACTCTGAGCTCCCTGGTCCAGTCCTGAACTGAACTTACGACACATGCAGCACTTCCAGGATCGCTCCGACAAGCCGCAAGAGGTCATTCCAGGCACGCACGTCGCTTCCGATATTCGACATTCGGAGAAACCATTTCAGAATGGAGGTTGAGACTGCCTTATGGCATAAAATTTGCCGACCAGAGTTCCTGGGAATTGATAACGTGGAGTTGGATATGCAGCCAGCGAATGTGCAGTTGCTCCCAATTTCACCGGATTCCTCTCTCCACGATTGAACGCAGCTGTTCCATTTTGCGTAAAAATCATATGATAATATAGTATAGGGGCTGACTAGGGCCACACCCGCCCGCTAAAAGATCAATAGCACCGTCAGCAGGGGTACACGGAAACAGCGGATGACCTCGGGTTAGCAACTGGGTTTGAGGGGAGTCGTGCTTTGACTCGTAATCAATTCTTTGTATGTAGCGGGTGTGCCATAGCAAAAACGAATGTGGCCCTAGTCTGCCCCTCTAATATAATATATAGCATATAAAGGGTAAATAGAATTCGAGATTTCCTTCCAATAAACTAAAGCTGCAGTACGTCCACTTCAAGTAACCACTTTATTCCTCTCTTCAACTAACCACTTTATTCCTCTCTTCAACGGGGAAAATACTTCAACCTGTTCGATTTTGACCATGATGCAGGAATCGTCGGCGGGTTTCATGCATTCCGGTGCATATTAAATTAAAAGAGCTCAAATGTTAGATATCACATTACTTTGTTCCAATCATATAGGGGACTCAGTCATAGAATAATGCTTTGATTATCTCGAAGGTCATATTTATGTGAAGTATATTTCTTTGTCATGAACAGCTTGTTAGATTTCACATTTCTTTTCAGAAGCATTTTTGTACTTTCATATCACCTATAGTATAGAGGTAGAGCTCGGGAGCTATTCATCCTAGGTAAGTGAGGGTTATGATCACGGTAGTCTTCGCATGACTTGTTTGAATGCATCCCAACATCTTCTGTTAACATCCATGAGTCTCATTCGACTGTGGTGATGGAAATTGTTGTAACATTTGTCTTGTAATATGCTTTTCTGCCAGCTGAGAAACCCTTTGCTGTAGCTCAGATGAGTGACGAGAGCACCTCGTGTCATTTGTGCTGAAACCAAGCCGTGATTTTTCCTAACTTGACACTCAGATCTCGCAATCAAACTCGATCGTGTATCCGAATGTCATGGATGTCATATCAATCTCTAGAATAGACGAATACTATATCTCAGCAGGATCTCCCACAACATCTGAGGATAACCCAGCTGGTACTGTACGTGATCCGAATCTAAAATTCCAACGCCCACCTTCGATCCCCATGCTCATGCTCATGCTCAGCAAGAAGAAGCGGTCCCGTGAACATGAACTGTTGTTTGGGTTCAGATGACTCAAACGCATTGCAGCCATACGGCAAATCATTCGAGTCTCTCTACACAATACGGACGGTGGGAAAGTAACTCCCATGTCCTCAGGAAGTGTGGATATCAAATCAGTCCGGAGCATCTTACTGGAAGATCTGGCAAATCTGTATATCAAGTAACACTGCTCAAAGTTGGATGTATGAGTCTTTGGTGTCGTTTCAACAATCATTGACTCAAACTTTCCTGATCCCATATGCCTTTTATAAAACTTTTGCTCGAGTGAATCTTTCATGTGAGTTAAAAACTGCCGAATTCAGTTTGTGCAATGAGTCAGCAGGTCCCCACTTTCACTCTTCCACTCTTCCACTCTTCCACGCGACCATGAAAACTGCTCTTTCTGAAACAAACTTCTCGTGGAACTCATTGAGCTAAGGACATAGAGTACACGATTCATCTCGCGATGGAAATGCATGTGCAGGTCTTCGGCGAGAGAGAAAGAGAGTATCTGAGGTGTACGTTTGTACAGTCGAATCATGGGACTCTTTGGGCCAGCTCAATTTCGTACTGACTTTCATCGATGCTTTCAAGTGGCCTGGTTTGAGCTTCGGGTATTGATTGGCTTTGGGGAATATTTCGAATCAGGCGTCTGTAAGTACCAAGTGGTCGATAATTTTATTTATTTATGGCGTTCTTGAGGGTCATTGTCCAACCATATGACTGATATTGTTCCAAGGTGACCATGCTGAATATACTGCTTTGAACCAAGAGCCTGGCGAAGAGTTGGCGCTAAGAGACCTGGTTGGCTTCTGCTGCTTTACTTATGGGCAACTTCTCTGCATCTCATATGTGCCTCGAGGTCACGTTCAGTCCTCACAAATCTACTCGCATATACTGAGTTCAACTTTTGTCTGTAAGGTTTCCAGTAATTCACTTCGTCTATATATTGATTCGTTGTCGTACTTAGACCAGAATACCAACAAAAGCTTGAATATAAGAGATATTTATGAAGGGTCCTCGTAGTGTCAAGGAACCATTTGACAATCGATTAATTATGAAGAGTGAAGTTGGCTTTGATTCTACTGTCTCGTTCACTTTCATATCGCTTGATATTGGCACGTTTGTAAGGGAAGCAAGCAAGTTAGGCTTTTGGGGTTCCACATATTTGAACCTTCAATTTTCCAATGAGGATTCAATTTCCGCTAATTCCAATCCCCCTACTCGAGTGGGATCATTGGCCATTCTTTGTATGTGTCATATCTTTGAGTATCTATAATTGGATTGTGTGCCAATGTTTCAATGTCATTGCGCAAAAGTAAAGATTTAATCTAAGAAAAATTAATATTTAATAAAATATGTGATAAATAGATATTTACTTATGCTTCTCTTATTCTGTATGTTCCATAAAGCTTTCGAATTTCTTTTTGAAACGTTCACCTGTAAACATAACGTTTACATATGTGGGAAAAAGAGTATTAAGAATTCATTCATGTATTAGAAATCGGAAAACTTACGAGCCTTGTTTAAATCTACTGCTAAAGAAGCTTCTTGATAATTTGTACATTAGACAAACAAATTGAAATCAATAAACAAGAGATAAAATATTTATTTTAATTGAAAAAAATTAAGAAGAGATAAAGGATTTTGTTTCACTGGAAATTATTATCTGCAAACCAGAATATTTAATGAAATCATATAATCTTTTTTTAAAACCTCTGACCAAAAAATAAGAAAGTGCAGGAATAATTTGATCCAGACCACCTGCATGTACAGTATTACTTTATCTATTTATCTCATAGTTTTGTTGATGTTCGCGAATACTTAATTAGAAATTTCATTTCAGAAGGAAGAAGATGTTGAAGAAATATCAAAATGAAGATATAATACAATGACAGGTTTATATCTTGATTACTTGAGAACGATTACGAAATTCATGAATATCTAGAAAATAATCATAAAAATAGGAAAAAATCAAGAAATATTAATATCATAAAGACATCAATTTAAGAAATATTTTTTCCACGAAAAACTTGTTTTAAACTTATTTTGAACAACAACCTAAACATTGACTTTTATTCATCATTCTCAAATAATTTTATATTATTGATGATAATTTTATTTTCATCAATGGGTTGTTGTTTTATACTTACATCACTTCAAATATCGTCATTTTGTAATGATAATATTCGTTTCATGCTTGTATATTTTTTATCACGTCTTTCATGGAAAAAAGAAAAACTTAAATACTATTGACCTGCCCAAATGGCCCCCTGAGGACGGACTTTGCTTTGTCGGACCCCGAAGCTATAAACCTGTCCGACAGGGTGTCAGACAATGAACCAACTATGCTTGCAACGTTCGACATATCCTGGATCAGATCCTGCCTCATCTATCCGTTGGGGACAATGTTAACGTGTGCTGGACAACACGAAGAGGTCTGCGAACTTTAGGGAGGTGCCGATGTGGCATCTCCGTCCCTGCACGTGTATCATGGCTTTCATGGCCACAGTTATGCTTTCTGTCACAAGGTTCTCATGGTACTGAATTCCAGACCTTCATGTCTCTCTCCCTCTGTTTCATCCCAATATTCCGGAAGATGATTAAATTTCTTAACACCACGTTTCTCACGTTCCCTTCACTACAGAAAGGGACTCTGATGAAACAGCTCTTGCTTTTTTCCTGAGAAACAATGTCAGTTCTCCTCCTCGAGCAAGAATTTGTGTGTAGACTAGAATTTTACATTCTTGTCTTTTAAAAACGATTTGCATATCATCAAATTACTTCCAGAAATTATCAAAAACGACGAAAATTTGGACATCGACAAAAATCAAGTCGAGTCTATGTTATAGTTGATTCTATGTTCTGAAACGGAAAAGTGCATCGTCAATCGAGGAGGAAGAAATATTGATGTTCATAAACCGAAGGCCTCAGTTCTATTCGGCGACAAAAGGAGGAGGAAAAGGCCACATTTCTGGAAAAGCAAGTCAACTGAGCTAGAAAACGTGCAGTCAGAAATAAAGGCTCGATGATCATCTAGTCGAGGCTCATCTACCCATCTCATCTCAGGCAGGCCACAGGCAATATCACACCTGTGCACTACTGTACTCAGTGTTGACGACATCTGTTGGACGAGATCATGAGTACCAGAGCGTCGTACCATCGCCTTTCTGCGTCTGACGTGGCTATGGTGGATTTGTAAACGAGGGCCCTCGAGAGTCTCATCGACTCTCTCTCACGTGAGTGACTGCCTACCAACGACGACGACACTGTAAGACTGAATAGTGTGCGAAACTTGTCGTCCTCGCAAGACCATTGGAAATGTGTAGTAGCCTCGAGAGCAGGTCGCAGATCAGAGGTGCTGAAAAGCGAGACGTGAGGTGACAGACACACAGACCCAAGCTCAAGCAAACCGACAAGATGCTCGTCAACGCAAATTTTCCAGTCGTCCACTGTAAAGCCACCGACCCGTACTGCTGGGGTAGGAAAGGAAAGGAAACCTTGACGGCCTCTGCTGACATCTGTTTCCAAGACTCAAGGAGGAGGATCCCTGCTCCGGATACGCCCTGCCAATGATCCCCCAACCCTCACTCTAGCACGGGTGCCTGGGAATTGCATCATGTGACGAGATGGTCTTGAGAAGTCGCAAACATTTGTCATGCACTGGTGGAGGAGCTGCATGCTGGTGACAGGAGAACCTCTAGATCTCTTGAGAACCAGTCAGTCAGTCAGGATTTTACGAGCCTTCGAAGCTCTGGCTTCTTCTCGTGGGTGTCTGTCTGTCTGTCTATCTTCGAAGCTGAGCATTAGAATTCGAGCAGCTCTGCCTGCTTTCAGAGAATTTCTGAGCTCAGTGTCAGCTCATTTTCTTCTGAGGTTTGAATACTGGTGCTGCAGGAGGAGGTGTTCGAGAGCTGGATTTGTGAACTGGATGACTCTGCGTGTAGGTAGGTAGGAAGGTAGGTAGTCAGTGACTGGACATCGATTGCAGTGCAGCTTGTATATAGAAGGTGTCGAAATTCGACGAAATGGTAGCGGATGAGACAGTTCCCAGCGCACTGGAATTGGGAAACGGAACCTTGAAGCAAAGGCATCATCAAGCAGATCCGGACGCTGCCAATAAGGATGCAGGGGCCTTGTTCGTCTTGGAATCCAAAGGTGCTCCTCCTAAACTTCCTTCCTTCACTCGAACGAAGTCAGAAGTAAACGCAACGCACAGAGAGAGAGAGAGAGTTCAGCTTTTGATTTCCTGATTCTGTGACAGATTCTGGTCCATATGATAATTTCTTCATACCACACAGATTCGTAACAGCCGCAACCATTTGTGAGATCTCACAAATGGTCATACTTAATTTCTGCTTCCTGAATGCTCAACTACTAATTTCCTGCCATGACTGCGAGGCTCCAAACGTTGTGATCTTACTCCACTCTGACATAATCTTGTACATCCTTGCCTCCTCACTGTGGGGGCTGGACCTGTTGAGCAAGCTAGTGCCGATCAGTTCTCCCGAATTTGTTCTCGATTGTTTGTCAGCAAAGTGGTCTGAATTCTGAGGGTCGAAATTCCCTCATTGAACACAGAGATGGATGATTAGTCATTTGTTTCGCCATTCCTGGACAGGACATGGGCTGTCTGACATGGGTGGCTTTCATCATACTGCAGGGACGTGGAAGCACGCAGGATTTCATCTGTCGTCGTCGATTGCCGCGCCGCCGCTGCTGACGCTGCCATTCGCCTTTGTGGCCTTGGGCTGGGAGTATGGAGTGCTGATGCTCGTGCTGGGCGCCGCTGTCACATTCTACGCCTACAACTTACTGTCCAAGGTGTTGGAGCATCTGGCCGAGCAAGGTCGCCGTCACCTTCGATTCCGTGACTTGGCCACCGACGTTCTCGGTTCGTTTCAGCCTGCAATCAGTCGAATCTCATTCAGTAATTCGAGAATTGCCCCACAAAAAGCTCGATGAATGTTGTCCAGAGTTTGACGTCAGCTGGTTGGTTGGCGCTCATGTACCTTCATGAAATTCGACGTTTCTTCGTTTCAGAGCTTCGACGTGTTTGATGATGATGATGATGATGACAATTGCAGGACCTACTCTCTCGAAATGGATCGTTTATCCGACGCAGCTCGTAGTCTGTATAGGGGTGGTAATTGCAAGTCCCCTTCTGGGAGGAATCAGTATCAAAGTACGTACCAATTGAAACCCCCAAACCCTCCAATTTGATTTGATGACCTTCGAACGTGAACATCTGGCAATTGATTCGCTCGCTCTGCTTGCAACAACACTGCTGCTTGCTGGCTTGCTTGATAGCCGAAACCCTCAAGTTTCAGAACCGCATGTGCTGGTTTTATTTTCAATCCAGTGTGTCCTCCCACAGCTTCCCAAACGTCTGAAGAAGTTGCAGCAGTTTTTTTTTGTGTTGGGTACGAGGCAGAGAAGTTTGGCACTGAATGAATGAATGGTCGATTGTAATTGTAATGTATCTAATTGAGAGCGTTCGACCTTGTTCTGACAGATTATATACAAACTGTATGCTCCTGATGGAGATCTCAAGCTCTATCATTTCATCATCATATTTGGAATCGGATTGATATTCGTCGGCCAGATGCCATCATTCCATTCCTTACGTTATATCAACTTCGTGTCTCTCGTTATGACTCTCTGCTACAGCTTCACAGTTTCCGGAGCTTGCATTTATCTAGGTCAGCCTTCTCCACCATTCTCACTCATTTGTTCATTGCCACTGCTACAAGAAATATCACAACGAACCTCATCGAAGTTCATGGCGTACCGAACATTACATAATTGGGCTGACACTAGTTTTGATTCTGTTGCTTCAGTTCGTTATTATATAAATATATATTAATATAATATATCATAATAAATAATGTGTGAGAGACATTTCACCTCATTTCAGTGGTGGTGAATTCATTTTGTGGCAGGTAAATCGGACAGAGCTCCTGCTAAGGATTACAATCTACCGGGAAGTGAAACTCAGAAAGTTTTTGGAGCGTTCAACTCCTTGGCCATCATTGCAACGTCGTATGGAAATGGAATCATTCCGGAAATACAGGTGCAATTTGATCACCCTCTGATGGTGCTCTGTGATTGAAACTTCATGCCATCGTGTGGGACATGAGGATGACTCGCACAGGATGATGAAATATAAACTCCATGAGTAACCTGTCTGAACTCAGAATGCTTGTTCTTGAGAATCAAGGTTGTCTGTCATGTTTGATCCAAATGTATCTCAGAGACTCGTACTGGACCTTGAATGGCAGGCAACTCTGGAGCCGCCTGTGACAGGCAAAATGTTCAAGGGTTTGACAGTGGCTTATGCCGTGGTCATCTCCACCTTCTTCACCGTCGCCATTTCCGGGTACTGGGCTTTCGGAAATTCTGCAGCAGGCAGCATCTTCACCAATTTCCTTGAAGCCGATGGAACGCCACTTGTTCCCAAATGGCTCATTGTCATGCCCAACGTCCTATGCATCATCCAGCTTCTGTCTGTCTCCATTGTAAGTGCATCCATTGTCTGCACTGCACTCTTCACGAGCTTTTTTTCTTCATCATCATCCGTGAGCTTCAATGGTCTGACAATTGCACCTCTGTGCAGATATACTGCCAACCGACATTCGATTTGTTGGAGGGCAAGAGTGCAGACGTAGAGAAAGGACGATTTTCTGCTCGGAATTGGATCCCTCGTCTGATTCTGCGCACGACATTTCTGTGCGCGTGTACTCTGATCGGCGCCATGTTTCCCTTCTTCGGCGATGTGAACGCCATAATCGGGGCCTTCGGGTTCACTCCGCTGGACTTCGTGTTCCCAATGCTGTTCTACATCCTGGTCTTCAAGCCGCCCAAGCGCTCCATCAAATTCTGGGGCAACCTCATCCTCCTCGTTGCTTACACTGGGGTCGGTGTGGTGGGCGCCATCGCTGCCATCCGCCAGCTCGTTCTGGACACCAGCTATTATAAGCTTTTTGCCGATATTTAGAAGTCCATATTTCTTGCACATGAGTAAAATTTTGTCCACACGGAGTTCATTCAAATGCATGTGTATGACATTTTCTGTTCCATGCTTGGCATCACGCTCTCGGTGGACATTTGGGTTCACACCAGAGTCCTGCAATGGGTAAATGGTTGGATAATATAATGGATATGGGCTAGGATGCATGGGTGGGTATTGGATACTCATAAGCACAACCTTTTCACAACTTTTTACGCCCCATAAATGGAGTCAATCGTAGACTCCACCAGAAAATCATGAGACATTTTGTGTGGACAATGATCATTTCACGTGTTGGAAGAGCTCACTTGCATGAAGTGACATCAATCAAAAATTGTCACTCTGTCACCTCTTTATGCTCAACACAACACAATTTCGCAGCTTGAAGTGAAATTTTATATGAATACTCATGGGTATTGAAAAGGTGACCCAGTCATGGGTATGGGTAAAGTTCTGAAACTCAAAGCAGCACTTTGCATACTACTTAGAAGCAGTAGCGTACTCTAATAGCTTGAAACCAGTCAATGAGTGAAGTGATGCGCACGATGGTGGTCGGTCATGGTTGAAGTTGGGCGAAAATGAACTTCTTCTAAACGAACAAATTATTATTTTAATATAGCGAATTATATTCCTCTGATTTGTATGGACTTTGTTGCAAGAAAACCAAGAATGACATAAAAAGCAAGTTTCTGACTTGATAATCAAACTGGGGACATCGTTAGATTGTAGGTCTCAAAAATCTCGTCTCATGCCAAAGGTGATAATACTGAACTTAAGTCGTACACATGGAGATCTTCAGCACAGTGCAAGCTAATAATAATGTTGATATGTTTCCAATACGAGGATGCAACCAGTCTACATGTTTAATGCGTACACTTTGAAATTCTCCTATATAAAAGTTAGGTTAAAAGAAAATTAAAATAAAATGTAGCGAGGGAATTTCTATGAATATTAGTTTTCAAATAAAATATGATCTTAAAAAGGGTAATGTAAATACTTTTGCGTAAGTTTTAATAACACTTAGTAAATATGCAAAAAATGGGTGAATACAAGTTATCATCAATTTTCTCTTATTTTCTACTGAATAAAAGGTGATATATAATCCTCCTAAATGGAGAACGGAGAGGAAGAAGAAGTCAAGACATATGAGAATTTATATACATCTCAGTTGCGTGTAAAATGTGTCCAGTGCACATTTATTGCACTGCTTACTTACACTGTGATAAGGTAGTAATCTTTGAGGAAAACTTTGAGGAGTGGTTTTGCATGACAATAAAATGACACTTTATGGCTGGTCTTGAAAAAGAATGTAGCTACGTCTAGTTTATCCTCAAAATATAACTATAGTTTCATCAAATGCCAATTTTCGAAAGGGGGTTTCAGAGCCATTGCTTGAAGGTTTTGATTAAAATTCTCTTGTGCTTATGGGAGGGGATTTTCATTCTTGAAACCTCCCTCCTAAACGTTCATTACCCCATTAATCTCATGGGCAGATGAGCGTTCGCTCACATATGTATTTAAGTGTCGACATTTCGAAGCCTATGGTATGCCGAACCTCAAGTGTCGTTTGGCAATGAAGATTTGAAAACAGAAAATTGAAGAACTTTATACTATGTGTCCTCTCGAAGCTTTTTCAAGTGTCGGTAGCGGAGCGTTCTGGAAATCGTCGAAGGCTGCTGATGACAACAACTGGAGATATCCGAAGTGATTATGCTGACATGAGTAGCGGACATTTTATGTTACACCGATAGCTTCAAGCTGTTCCTCTCTTTCTACTTCAGGACCACATTTTTTTATGGAAATATAAGGAAGAAACATCCTTGTAAGATTGGAGTGGCACAAAAATACATTTTATGCTTAATTCTTTTAGATCATAATGCAAATTATCTAGATTCCGAACTAAGAAATGCGCATATTTATCCAACATAGTACCGTTCACACTTCTTATTGGAATTTTCATTGTCAAATTTAGTTTAATAGAGTTTTTGGACACAATATTGGTTTCTAAAAAGCGATTTGATTATAAAACTATGGTTTCCATATAAAACTCTTGAAACTTCTCTGCCTTTTGATTTCTACGCATTCTTGCCATCTGTAGGTGCTATGATCAATAAATGTTTCAAACGAATGAGTAGTTCCATATCATGGAATTTCATTTGCTTTGTATACAAAATTTTGTTCATATCTTTCAAATTTTTGTATATGATTCGCCTACTTTTACTAGCATTAAGACACAGCGCAACGGTTGAAGGTTAAAATAATCCTGTTCATAGGTGGACATCTGCTATGTGATTGAAGGTCTTCATTCGTAGAGAATCTAAGTTTTGGTAAGATTTATGTATATAACTATTAGTCTATATATTGAATAAAGAAATGAGTGCAAGAGTTCTAGATGACGAACGCAACATGTAAATCACTTCAGATTCATTCATATGGATTTTTGAACCATTTGATGAAGATTCATTCAGAAAATCCTTGCTATGTTCATTCAATACTTTATTGATGCAGAAATTAGAAATTTTTTTTTTTTCTCAAATCACTTTAGATCTAACTTGATATAGGTTAATCATGTAAGAGAACATAGTTAACCTATAGAACATAGAAAAATGTCATCATGTACACATGAGAAATCTTAATGTTCTAGATTACGAGTAATATAAATGTAAATCACATTTTGATTTAGCATCTTAACACATCAGAGCCATTACTAGAATTTTCTCCCAAATACACTAACTCTCCTGACGGTGCCTTCCTGATTTCATCTTCCGACCTAGCTCTCGGTTGTAGAGTTTATCTCCTTCAACTTTGCAATGATTTCACATAGATCAAAGTGAGTTGTCCCATGTTCTGATGTTCATATCAGCACGTCAAGAAAGAAAAACGAGTGAAGTACAAATCTCACCAAAAGCTCAATTCCAAGTGGGTACTTAAATTGGTGGATCAATGTACATTATAAAAATGTACATTATCGTGAGTGGAGTTCTAGCGCATTATAAAAAAGTTCGAAATTTATCTCACAAGAAGAAGAAGAAGATTGACTCGGTCTTCTTTTTTTTTGCATTGTATTGTTCAAGCCATCTTTTTATCTGAGTCTATGGAAAGTGAATCCGGACAAAGATTACCTGAACAGAGTGAAAACTATTCGCTTTTTTTCATTCCACTGGATATTGTTTGACTCACAATCAAAATAATTAGAAAATGTGCATCGGTGGAATTGTATTACGGCCAGGTGTAAAACAAATGAGTCAAGCCCTACGATCTAAAAGATTTCCACCTTTTACCAGAGTTGACTGGTGCTTCATAAACCTCTCCCCATAAAGTTGATCCACTGGTCAAAGACAGAAGCAAGGATGAGATTGTGTCATACATTTTTATAGCCAGTACGGATCTAAGAGCCCATCCCCAACCCGGAACCAACGTCTTTTATTAGCCTCCGACTTTCTTCCTAGTTTGACTCAGGCGCCCTAAATTGCGGGACCGGGTGCTCTAATGGGGCTGGTAACTGTAGACCCCGAGATCTGGGAGAGGGCACGGGAGAAACGGTTCTACCTTGATCCACTCTACCCGAACTTTGTGGAGGCCGGTCCGCTGCCATCATGAAGATTTGTGCACATCCGGTGAGACAGGTCAAAGTCTAACACCCATTTCTGCGCAGAACCACGGTGATCTTTATAATATAAGGATAGCTTTCTATATTTGACATACAGAGCACATTATATTGGCATGAATTCGACCTTTTACAGTACTCTTTAGTGCCCTTATTCCATATACTCTATCATGCAATCTTCAATGATTGACAGGCAAAATTACTGAAAATTTGTAGATATTCTCTAAACACGGAACTATTTTAATAACCAAAGTCCACTCCTAATGATATATCATTGTGAAATAATACTTTAGAATGTATGACTAACTCGGGACAATTAATTTTTGAATAAAATTGAGACTTCAAGACATTTCATAACTCAACCCAATTTTTTTGGAAATAAATGATGCAGCTCTAAATCACATCTAGAGATAATATCTCAAGTTAAAGGAAACAAGTGAAGTCAACAAGTTGGAATCCACAATGCTCGTGCTGACCCTAGTGCCGACCACATGCGTGTATAGTTACATTAACGGTATCGTGTCAAGCTGGACAAATGACTGAGGCTGAGTCGCTGATCAACTTTTGTGCCTTCTCTCTCAGAATGTAAGGCCAGGGGAAGAAAAACATGTTGAGGTCAGCCATAGTCGCTTCTAAGACTGCAGGCTAGAACAACCCCGACCGTATGACTGTGGGCTGACGGCATACGGTCACCGTCGTGACAGAAGCGGCTTGTTCAAATTTTTGGAACGCTCCTTTGTTGGAGCACCCATCCAACCAAACCAAACAAGGATATCAGAGCTTCTGATTCATGAGTCATAAGATTCATGAGTCAACACAGTTCGCGTACAAGTCCGGATCTTGTTCTCAATGACACAATAGGTTAATACGAACTACTCTGGGAGCTGAAAAACGCAAAACACATGTTTATAAAAAAAGGATCGATCTCGAGGGTGCAGTAGTAGAGTTCCATAAGTTCTTACATATGCCCACACTTGGATCAGGTAAGGGAAACTCTTCATTAGTACATTTTGAGACATTTAGCTCGCTGAACCTGGGCAATTCCTTGGAATCGACGTGCATGGCAAGGTGATGCAGAATTGCAAAAACGGCAGCAGACCTGTTTCTGGTGGCAAGATTGATGATGTGATGGGCTTTGAACAGGTGAATAGTCTGTAATCTGAGTAACACGAACTCAGCATGCTCTTTCTTGATTCAGGTTCTTTCATTTCAGGTTTGCAAATTTAAGAGAATCATCCAGTCTGCCATGGAGAGAGGTTTTCTGTTTCCAGAATGGCACTTCGAGGAAACCACTTCTTCGGCACTGCGGACTTCAGTAAATTGCAGGAAGTCACCCATCACCACTTACTGCAGCAATTCATGAAACTCATTTGATTGTAGACATGGGCACGGTTTGAGAAAGTGGGTAATGGGAAACATACACGTATTATGACAGGGTCGAGACTATTGCGCTTTCCTGAAACTCTTCCGGGTTGACAATCCTGAAAGCCACTGCAGGTAAAAAGGTAGACCAGACGGACGAGAAATACAGCGTGCAAGGTTCCGTGTTGGGAAGGGACGGGGAGAGAAACGGAGACCAGACGGACGAGAAAAACTGCATGCAAGGTTCAGTGCCGGGGAGAGAAAAGGAGAGCAAGGCTGACATCGAGCTTTTAGAGAGCACTAGGAGAAAGAAGGAAACCAAGCAAATTCGAAACCCCGTCAGTTCTCTCAAAGCCGCGACGAGAATAAAATCCCTGGCCCCATACAAACGCAACTGCCCTGGCAATCGTAACTCGCTAGAATGCAGAAATCATTTGACAAATGATTTCTGCATTCTAGCGGATGGCCACCTCCGAGCTCGCCTGATCCGCCATCGCCAATCCCAGAGAAAGAAATGCTAGACGAAAGTGTCGGCAGGAGTCGTCTTGAGGGCGAAACGTGAAACCCCTGGTTGACGGTGACAGTGAAACCCGAAGGGTGACGGTGACGGTGAAACCCGAACGGTGTACGTATGCCGTCATCCCGGAGAGCATACAGTCGGGATTGTTCTAGCCAGAAGAGCTGTGTCGGTTTTAGGTATGGTTGCCTTGAACGTGTTCATGGCAAAGTCGGCTTCCAGAAACAAAAGTTATGCCGCTGTCTCAATTTATGGATTGAGAGAAATTCCAAATATCCCCAAAGCAAAAGCGTCGAACTTTTTGTTCTTAATGAAGCTCAGTCGACGCACTTTACAACAAGTCTTGAGCAGCATGGTCTCATGGCTCTACTTACGGCTCCAGAAGATTAGCTCACCACTGCGCACCTGCGCCAAGTGGATTTTCAGAAAGGATTCCGTCAAACGCTAGAGCTAGAGTCATGGGTATCCTGGGTGCACCTAACACTCACTGCTCCACAAATTGAAGAAGAAACGTGTTTAGGGTAAATGGTTGAAGAAACTCGACAGTTCTCAACTGAGGAGGCAAAAGCTGCGACACTGCCTAGGCCGTATTTAGAATGTAAGTGCTGTACATCCACACATCAAATTTGTTGGATCACATACGATTACTTCAGCATGTGGAACAATCGAAGCGACATAAAATTCAAGAACAAGCAAAGACATCTTGGAGTTTAGCTGGCTGCTGACCTCCGTACACCTTGAATCGAATTCAAAGCATTGATATCATTTCAATTTATTATTCTCTTGACCCAAATTATCATCAGGCAGATTAGTTACAGCTGTCGAGGACCAAGTCAATAGGAAAGAACCCCTTCAGCACACAACCCAACCACATCAAACCGTTCTAGGAGGAGCTGTGGTGAAGAAAATCATGTCTAGAGTTCATAGGTTCAGAAGGAGAGTCCCCCACGCCTCGGGCTCTGGGCTCTAGGCCCCGGTGCGTTCTTCTGTGCTCATCAACTGGCTGGGCTCCAGGTGTAGGCAATCATTACCTACTTCCTTGACTGCCACCTTGACTGCGCTGGACAAAAGTCAACCTTTTAGAGGTGAAGGTGGTTCCCCATTCGGCTTTTGACAACACCTGAACAGCGCCCACGTAGACCATCAGTTATTGATCGGCTCGACCAAAAAGCAAACTCCTGAATCGGTCACGTCTGTCCCAGAGAGTCGAGGGCGAGTTGTACTCTTACAGGGATCCGACAATTTCTGCAAGAAAAGAGCAGGACATATCACCGCCTTTCTCTCGCTCTGCTCCCACCGATTTCCACCCGGGGGCGGTGGTCATTCTATGTTCTCCGTTGCGTTGACCGATATTTTATTCAGCTGACAAACATGATTGGCTCTGGCCACTTCTCCAGTCAACAGAGGAAGTACCCAAAACTCGGGAATCGTTGGGCGAGCGATTCTGGCCTTGGAGAATCGAGAAACATGCGTCATGTGCATCGAGAGACGAGTGCCAAAGTGAGTGAGGTCCGAGTGAGGCGAGCACCTGTGCATATTCACAGGGCTCTTGGAACATTCGTCAACCGCGACCGTTGTCGGTGGCAGGAGGAGGAGCAGGAGGGGCACTAGCGGGACGAGCGGCGCATAGCGGCATCGATCGAGGCGAAGATGGTGGCGCTCGAGACGGAGGAATCGGGCAGCGGATCTCTGAAGCATGGGGCGCTGGAGTCGCGGGAGCAGTGGGAGCCGAAGAGAGACGCCGGTGCGCTGGTCGTCCTCGAATCCAAAGGTGGGGACTCACTTCCCCCTACTCTCGATTCGGGCTCCATCGCCCCACCGATGAAAGCCCATCGTTACCCATTCCTCCCTGCTCCCTGTCGGATCTTCCTGCCGACCATCGACGTGTTCTTCGGGCCCGATGTTTCCCGCGAGCTCAGGCTGCTTCTGCCAGTTCTTGTGAATTGAGGATTACTCAGGCGGTCACGGGGTGCAATTCACGATTCTCTTCCGGGAGAATCGCGAGGAAGAAAGTATGAGCACACCCACTCTGACATTCGAGCCTGAATCCTGCAGAGATTTTCCTCTTGCCTGCTCTTCAGAAACCACCAGAATGGTCGAGTCTTTGTCGGAGAACTTCCACATCCGAATGTGCGTGTGCCTGATGAGTAGAAGCTTGTCCTCAAAGCTCGTGCAGAGCCCACCGTAATCGCGGTATGTGCATCACTTTGATGATCGTTTCTGAGTGCTTGGGTTCCAAGCCGGAGGTGAATGAATGCCAGGAAGTTTGATCATCAGTCATGGCGATCGATGGAGGTAGGAGCATGGAATCCCTTGTGCACCGGAGCGTTCAGGACCGGACCTCCATCCCGACTGATCGACTGATAGACCACCGTGCGAAGTGCCATGCGAGACGTACCAGAGAGTTGAGGGCTGGTTCTTTGATGCCTCCCTCGTCTTCGTTTGCTCGCTGACAAATTATGGCTGTGTGCAATTGCAGGGAGCTGGCAACACGTCGGGTTCCATTTGACGGCTTCAATCGCTGGACCTCCGATTCTCACGTTCCCATTCGCATTTGCGGCATTGGGCTGGGCATGGGGAATGATCGCGCTCGTGTCCGCCGGCGTCGTCACCTTCTACTCCTACAACTTGCTTTCGCTGATCTTGGAGCACCGCGCTGCCCAAGGTCGTCGCCACGTCCGATTCCGCGACTTGGCCACAGACATTTTGGGTGAGACCCTGCACTCGCAAAACTCATGGCCAGCCTCAATGGGCCCTCTGATGCTTTGGCGGATCGAGGTCGCGCGCGATTCCTTCCTGATTATCAGTAACGGATTACAGTGATTGACTGCTCAGCTTCCTGCCAGAAATTGCTTACGCCCGCGAGCTGATTCGAGCACAATCTGTGCCTTGTGTTCCTCAGTAGAAGGCTGCCATGGCCCAAGCTAATTCGATGTTGGCTTGTGCGCTGATGCAGGGCCGAAACTCTCATATGGGCTTGTTTATCCGATGCAGTTTGTTGTGTGTCTAGGCGCAGTGATTTCCATTGTCTTGGTTGGAGGAATCAGTGCCAAAGTAAGCAAGTCACAACTGAGTCGACTCTCTCTCTCTCTCTCTCTCTCTCTCTCCTCCCAACGCCTTCTTCAAATTTGACCACTGAACCCTGCTCGCTCACATCCACATTCACCGAGGGTGGGACACATGCAGACATTCCAGCTCAAATGTAGCTCGAATCCGATTCATTTCACAGTCTCCTCCTCCCCATGTGGTTCACAGAACCATTGAATTCGATTGAAGAACGAAGCTCGAGAAGCAGCGAATGAAGAATGTGAAGCTGACGTCGCAAGCCCTCGCGTGCAGGTTGTGTACAAAGTATACTACCCGGATGGAGATCTGCAGCTGTATCAATTCGTCGTCTTCTTCGGGGCGGCCACGATGATCATGGGCCAACTCCCGTCGTTCCACTCGCTGCGCTACGTCAACCTTCTGTCGCTGCTGATGTGTCTGACCTACAGCTTCACCATAACCGGGGCCTGCATCCAGTTAGGTCAGCTCTGACTGCGTTCCATCGATTCTCAACTTTCCTTTCCGACCTCCGCCGCAGTTGCCGCTGAATTTGTAAGAATCTGTGACGTAGTTTGATTGCTTCACCGGGTAAACCTCATCCGGACGGACGTCGACGCAGTTCTAAAATGTTCTAAAATGCGCTTCCGCAGGATACTCCGACCGAGCTCCCCCGAGAGACTACAGTTTACCGGGGAGTGAGAAACAGCAAGCATTCGCGGCGTTCAACGCCTTGGCGCTGATCGCTACGGCGTACGGGAATTCGATCATTCCCGAAACTCAGGTACATCGACGACGTCCTGGCGTTACGTAGTCGTAGTAGGATTCGAATCTTTATAAGGAATCTTTAGGTGCTTTAGTCCTAGAGAATGGGAAATTATGCTTGTTGTTGAGGCTGCATGGTACTGAAACTTCTCTTGGAACTCAAGGATTTGCCAAGCATATGCAATGCTTTTTTTGTGTTGGTACGTGAGATGTAGACAGGTCCTCCGTCTTGTTGATTGGTTCTCCTTCTTCTAAGAGTGCTATATAATCATAAAAATATATTTTCTGATACATCAAATATATGTATTGTAATAAGGGCATGGGGCATGCCTTTTGACGTTGAAAGGGGGCATGGGCATCCCTCGAAAAATTTTGTTGTGCCTCCAACCCTACTGCTGACGCCGTCTCGCGCAGGCAACTCTGGCGCCTCCGGTCGAGGGGAAGATGTTCAAAGGACTGGCGATGGCGTACTCGGTCATAGTGGTGACGTTTCTGCCTGTGGCCATCGCCGGATACTGGACGTTCGGAAACCTCTCGGCCCCCAGCGTGTTCACCAACTTCCAAACAGCGGACGGAACACTGCTCGTTTCGAAATGGCTGATCGTTATGCCCAGCTCCATGTGCGTCATCCAGCTTATATCTGCCGCAATTGTGAGACACTGCAACTTCTCTTCCCTTGTCTTGTCTGAGCTGAGCTGACTTGAATGCATTCGTGAGAGCAGGAGACACCACGAAACTTGATGTGAAGTGTGTCTGACATGACCACGATTCGATTCGGTTTTGCAGATATATAGTCAACCGACGTTTGATCTTTTCGAGCGGAAGATCGCGGATGTGGACAAGGATCGATTCACAGCTCGGAACGGGATTCCTCGGGTGATAGTGCGCGTTGTTTTTCTGGCTCTGGTGACTCTGATAGCTGCGATGTTCCCATTCTTTGGTGACGTGAACGCGATCGTGGGCTCGTTCGGATTCACTCCTCTAGACTTCGTGTTCCCCATGGTCTTTTACATCCTGGTGTTCAAGCCGCCCAAACGTTCCATCAAATTCTGGGGCAATCTGATCATCATCATTGTTTACAGCCTCGTGGGCCTGGCCGGGGCTGTAGCTGCTGTACGCCAGCTGATTCTGGACACGAGCTACTACAAACTGTTTGCGGATGTTTGACACACGTCTCTTAGATGAGCAGATCCTCGCTTGGGAAGACCACGAAGTGTTGTTGTTGATCCCGAAAATATGTCGACCTTTGGCCGCTCCTCTGATCATTGAAGTGGATTGAACTCACATGCACCACGAACTCTGACTGTTCGTTCGAGTTGCTGATAATTTCATCGATGAGAAGAGGGTAAGGACCTTGGGTGATCAAGTGATTGGGTGAGCAAGAGAAACTCCGGGCGAAATCCCCAAAAAAAGAAAGGAAGAGTAGATTCGCTTATGAACACACAACAAACAACAATCTCCTAGAAAATAAAATTTTGGATAATTTTGCGGTTAGAAGCATTTTGTAACAAGCTCCCTGCTATAGAATAAGAGTTTGGATATCTTTTACAAACATACGTAAGAAATACTATATCTATAAACCTCGAACGGAGAGTCTTGACATTTCTCAATACTTCCAAGAAAATGATTACCTAAGAAGCTCACACAATGAACCCTCATCATTCATTATTGTTCAGATTTAAAATTGATGAAATGGGAAAATCTGAAAGATGGAGCAAAGTATTTCGGTAGTACTCATACTACTCGGTCTAGAGACACAGTAATTAACCAAAAAACTGAATGTATTGAAACAAGCATTGAGAAAAAAGTTTAGAAGAAACCCCAGTGGGCCAACTAACCAAAACTGATTACCTTATATCATTTTATACTGTCCAATAATTTCCATTGTAATTTATTTGATATTCAATTGAATTTAATGTTTTCAAAAGATATATACTCGTTTTTGTATTCTCATCTTCAGCTATGAACTGGGCCGAAGATTCCCATTAGATTTGATGTTTCTTTCTCATCTAAATTCTTTTGTGAAGCACAAGACAAAATACCGATAATAAATATTCAAACCCTTGATTTTATAGATTCGCAATAGAGACAATCAATGGTTTGGAAATTTATTGTTGGTTTTTTTTATTGTGTTTCACACGAACTTATAGATGACAAAGAAACATCAAACCAACCTAGAATCTAAGGACCTGTTCATAGCTGGAGATGGGAATACGAATGCAAATATGTACCTTTCGAAACAGAACCTGAGCAGAATTTCATCTTTCCCTCTTATTGTGATTGTGGTTTTTTCCTTAAAAAACTGCACCTTGACACCACTAGAAACGTCATAAACCATCGATCATGAGCGTGTACACTCTCCTCTTGATAAATCAAAACTGAGTTTTTGCCTTCCTCTTCCACTCTTGAAGTCACGTCCTTAGCGATCACGATCAGTACTGTACCTGGAAAGAATGAGTCGAGCACTGAAGAGCACCGAGCATTTATCTGTTCCAAGTTGTAGGTTCTGAAATTCAAACTAAAATTTTAAATGCTCCGAACTCTAAGTAACCTCCCATCCCACAGGAGGAGCCGCGTTCCGAGAGTGGTATATATTTCAAACCTTCAGAACTTATCTGTTCCAAGTTGTAGGTTCTGAAATTCAAATTCTCCGAACCCTAAGTAACCTCCCATCCCACAGTACAGGAGGAGCTGGCTCCGAGAGTGGTACAAATTTCAAACCTTCAGAACTTATATGTTCCAAGTTGTAGGTTCTGAAATTCAAATCAAATTTTAAATTCTCCGAACCCTAAATAACCTCCCGTTCTGTGGGATGGGAACGATGCGTATTTCAGTTTTGAAAACAATTTTTCATATTCGAAATATAATTTATTAATATTTTATTTTATTTATCATATAGCAATATTTTTATCACTTTTAATTATTTATGTTAAAAATATAGCCATATATATGCTGAATATCTTAGACCAATATATATTGAAAAATACGTTGCAGTCTGGTGATGACCAATTGAGCTATATCGAAATAAACTCGAAACGTCCCCACTCCACGTCATTTTACGAATCAATGCAATGCAATGAAATCTACAATCTGCCTACATCAACAGTAACGCTGAATGTGCTCGGTAGTTTGAATACTGCAAGAGACTGACTGTGTTATTATTATTATTATGTGCAAATATATTATAGCGTCAAAATGAATATAATAGCATGGAAACACGAAACGCATGTTTTCAAAGCTCGTATGGCTCGATGCTCGATGCTCGGGGTGTAAGGTTCGAGGAAGTCGAGGAATATACCGTGAAACGATCGATGAAAAGAAGAGGCGTCCGAAGTAACTGAATCGTAGAACGTCAGGGGCTGGACTCGAGATCGAGCGGTTGTGTGGGTGCAGAGAGCGAACACAGGACACGAGGACATGAATGAACGAAACAAGAGTAGGGAGGAAAGGACGGGACGACGAAGGAATTTCCTGCAGTTACTCTAATTCCCAACCGCTTTTGTCGATGCGGTCTTTCTAGCACTGTGAGTCAGAATCGGCCTGTCAGAAGCCGGGCAGGAAGTTGAGCCGCCGATCGATCTCTCGAAAACAGGAGCACCGTGGCGCGAAGAATCCGGACGCGGATAAATCCCACAGCTCGCATCATGTGCAAGCACAGAGCCGTGGACTGGGTAACGGGATCGAGGTCGAGATCGAGATCGAGATTGAGATTGAGATCGAGCGAGGATCATGTTCTTGGATGCGCGTAATTTCGATGAGGCCAGGTGAGGGAAATCGAGGCCCCGGTCGGTGTGAGTTAGAGGATTGAAGTGGAATCGGAAGTGGAAGTGGAATTGGAGGAATCGAGATGCGAACGAGGTGCGTGTGAGAAAAACGCGGGCGGTGCCAGAGCGAGAGGAAGATGCTGGCCGAACGAGGCACTTCGACGGGAAGACGTCGTGGCTTCGAGGACCTGGAGTCAGGGAAACGGTGCCGCGACGAGGATCGGGACAGAGGGAGGTGTGAAAGCGGCGGACATTTGAAAGCCAGAGAGATCGAGCGAGGGGCGGCGGAGAGACCGGTATAAGGCGGTTGTGGGCGACTGGAAGCGCATGCTCGTTCGTTCGGGCACGACGACGACGACGACGAGCAATATTGCCGCCAGTGCACAATTGGTGGTTCGGCTTCGGGATCAAAGCGGATTTGGGTTGCTTCGGAATCGAGAGAGATGTCGTCGATGGCTAAGGGCAGTTATGCGGCAGTGAGGACGGCGCTCGCTCGTGTCTGACCTGTTGCGCATGGCGCACTGGCGCCCTTCTCCTGCACGGAGCAGCATCAGCTGAGGCCAGCCGAGAGCAGGGTTATGCTGTGAGAAAGGGCTCGTTCGGATCCGAGCCACCACGAATTTGGATTTGGAACGCGTTCGTTGGTTGGGATCGATTTCTGTTGGCAGAATTGAATTGAGACTGCGCCACAGGCCGACGCGGAGGGCATGCACGGGAGCATGAGCAATGTGGCGCAAGCCGGGGGCAGGTTATGATGGATGTGTCGCCTGATGAGCTTCCCCTTTTGTACTCATGGGTAAGTTCGTCCTTCCTCTGCTCATCCATGCCTGCCCTGTACCGTAGGCCTCCTGGCAACTTCGGCAAGTCCAGATGCAGAGGAACCACGATGGGCTCGTCAGCTTTGTTGAAAGTTAGTCCAGGGTTCACGAGTGTAGTGCTTCTCTCCGTGCCGGGTGGAGACTGAATTTTGCCTTTCTTAATCGCGCAAGTGTTTTGACAACTGGAAGCTGCGCATGTTGCACAGATTGATGGAATCCCGCTGTCGCGACCCAAGCGCAATATCGCCAGGGACTTCAGTGACGCAGGTGCTTCTCGCTTTATGTGCTTTTTTGAAGTTGTCTCGTACATTTCGAAGTACGTTTGAGTGGATCGCGTGTCAATCAATCTGCGAAGGTTTGTTGTTTCGTCGAGGACGAACTCGGTGCGGAACGCCGTTAGGTTAACCTTGCACTACTCAGTAAGCTGCCGCAGATCGAGAGTCCACCTCGAGCTAATGTTCAAGATTTCGAGGTTTTTAGCAAGCTCAGAAACTCGTTAGCTTCAAGTAGATAACTTCGACTCACGTATGACCGTGTTGTATATCCTGTAAGTTCAGACACTCGTACTGACTCCCAGCTTTTGTACGCAGTGCTTGTGGCCGAAGTAGTGGCTCACTACTGTCCGAAGCTGGTGGACGCGCACAATTACAGTGCTGCTAATGGCCTGGCTCAAAAGGTTTACAACTGGAACACTCTGAATGGTACCAATTCTCCTCATTTTTTATTCAAGTTCTCTGCCTTCAGCTCCACAGCGCAACTTCAGTCTGATCACAAGCACTCTCTATCTTTGGCAAACATAATCAACAAGTAACTTAGATAGTTGCGATAGAACCCAGCTTGCGATAATTGTATCCCAAAGTGGGTTCTAAGCTCCTTTTTGAATATATTTCAATTCTCGCTGACTCGATATGAGCTTTCTGACGCGTATTTTATTTCGGACGTATGGAGCATTAATGCTATATTCGGCTAGGAACCGATTATCATTATTGATTCCTGTTAAGTCTTCTTTGAGTGGCAACCTGGCGAGAGTTAGTGCAATTTAGGTCTTGCTTTCCTGTATAGATGACCTTTTACTGAATTGAGAGCCCTGGCGTATAATGACAGTCAAGGTGTTCCGCCGCCTGCACTTCTCCCTGACAAAGGATGACATCGAAGCTGTTGCGAATTGTGAACCACAGATGATTGAGCGCATCTTGAAGCTTCTGAAGTACAAGGTATACACGCAATGCAGACCTCGCCGCCTGATTCCTCTTGATTAGCTTGAGAACCCGTTCAATTCGCACTCCAGCATCCCCTAGGGGATGCTGCATGACTGCCTTCGATACCTTGAAATCCGAAACATATGCAAGTGTCTTTGGAGCCTTGCAAAGCTTCGGCATACTCGACACTTTGCAAATCAGAGATAGATTAGGGCGGGCTCATGTCCTCCCCTTCAATCCATGCGGAAAAGTCAATCGGAGATAACAAATTTTCGTTTGATAAAGGAAGCGAGTATTGAAATGAACGCACAGTCTGCTACAGGTCTGATGATGTCAACATTGCTTATGGAAGGGAACAAATTCGATTATTGCATTGCAAGTATTTCATGGTGCATACATATCTGGACTATCAGATGGCGAAATACAAGCCCAATGGGTTGAGTGGAGAACCAGTGAAACCCCAGAAGCCTGAAGAGCAATATCCAAGCAATGCCAAAACACGTTGCTTGGGGGCTGCGTCACTCATGAGTACTTCCCTAAAGCTCACTTCGCTCTTTTCTGTGGTAGAGGACCATGTAATAACCACGTCGGTATCGCAAGCGTGTGAGGCATAGATATTTTAGAGAAGCCTCTTCAAAATCCAGAGCTCCTACATTCTTCTGCAGTGAAGTAAGTAAAGAACAAGGAGACGGTGACATTTGCTTAAGCGGGAAATAATAAGTCTGTCAGCCGGTTTTGTGTGCAGGATTGGCCCAAGTAAATCAACCAAAAGAGCAGGAAAATCGGGAAAATCTAAGGCCAGTGCAGGGAAGAGAATCAAGGGCCAGACAAGCCACACCATCGAAAGTGTAGAAACTCTTTCTTAGTAAACGTACTTTAATGATGGAAAAGTCATTTGTGTATGAACATGTTGAATGAACTTCTTCGTCCTTTCTCCAGAGTCTTCGACGTGGAGAAAGGACGAAGGGAATGAGCTTTACTGATGATTGCAGAGTGTCTATGTTCACTTCTTACTGCCAGCTGACGTCTGGGCCTTCGTGCATTCGTCACCTGTTGAGCATTTGAGCTTCCTTGGGCACTCTGCCAAGAAAACAGAGATACTGAAATGGGTTCTCTTGTGACGAATTGTTGATACAGGCACAGTTCACAAGATCAGTACCCCTCAGCAAGGGCTCCGGTAAAGTTGATGCACATTCTCACGCCAGTCACGTTGATAATATTGATGTACGTAGAGTAATGTAATCACAAAACATGTTCATTAACTAAAAATGATGGGCCACGAACTAAAATTGTTCCGACGGGGAAGAGCTGGAATCAGCAGAGTCCTCGCCGAAGTCAGGAAGTGAACTTTGAGAAGCTCCGGGAAAAGGATGCACACATCCGAGAACTGGGCGAGACGATTGAGGTACATGCAGCAACAACACACCTAAGTCAGAAACCTTGACGGCAAGATAACCAACAAGTTTAGATGCAGGATTAGCTTCAGATCGCTGGCTTCGGGAGTACAGGACAGAGCCTTCATGTTTTACGAAAGCATACCAGTGATACAGCAGGTGGCATGGCGCACTAATTGAAAATGGGATGGGTGAACAGCTTTTGGAAGCCAAAGTGAAGAAGCTTGAGCAGCTCGTGAGGCTGAAAGAGCACAAAATTCAGGTTTTGAGTGGAAAGCTGACCCTGAAAGGTGGTCGTCCATGAGCACTCAGTCCATTGAAGGTTTCAACTGAACCTGCTCACAACTTCCAAGTCCTAAATCGTGGCCAGTAGTAACCTTCAACTTTTGCCTTGGAATACAGCGTTGCCAACAAGATTCCACGAATGAAGGAATCAATATTAATATTACATATTAATAATATTACAGAATTTTATATTATTAATATCTCTGTGCCTCTGTGCATCAAGTGGCTGTAGTTTAGTGGTAAGAATTCCACGTTGTGGCCGTGGAGACCTGGGCTCGAATCCCAGCAGCCACATTTTTAAAACTTTCGCCTTTTGCACTGCTGTTACGCTCTGTACTGTCGACACAACTTCCTGCAGCCGTAGGTGTAGTGGGCCGTCGTCAGTAGCTTGGATTCTGAACGCCATCGGCAGAGTGGAGGTGACGTAGGATGTGCTCAAGGTGATGTGGATAAAGTGGGTTCTGGACTTTTTTTTTCTCTCGACTGACTAGTTACTGCCTTGTGCTAATATCGCTCAATAATGTTGCTGCGACCTGCAGATGGTGTTGCCGAGTGGAGGCGGCTTTACACCGGCTTTTTAAAATGTAACATGATTCTGTGCACGATGGCAGGAGTGACATTCCAAGGCTTCGAGGCCCGCAATCTCATTAGGCTATCAGGTAGTTTTAAGGCAACATAGTAGTGAAGTCAAGAGGAATGTGCTAAACACGGCCTGTTTGAACCATGGATAGCTGCTGCCATCGGGGTCAGGTTTCGAGCTTGACCAATGTCAGTCTGTGTATATTAACTACCTGGCTATTTATCCTCAGAGACAAAATGTACAATTCTTTGGTCCTGTTTTGATATCTAGGACATTAAGTCGTTGTCGGATGGATGGCATCCATTCTCTGTTCTTATTATGCCTCAGCATAATTGGTGGCATCAATTTTACAGTTCTGCTCACCTACATCATTGTAAGTATATCCGCAGATGAAATCCATTATTCTACAATTGCCCTTGTGTTCATGTTCAGCTACGTACATATTTCATTTGAACATGGTGCGGCAATACAAGACCAGGAAGTTGACGGAAGTCATCCGCCAAGGTGGAACAAAACTCATATCCCAGTTGAATATATGGGTTGCAAGCAGGTGAATACATTTTAGCCTTATCAGTGGTCCTGACTCAGTAAGCGCAGCCGAGAATCCGTTGCACAGAGTTCAAAACTCCAAAGGTTGGATCACAAGCGACGCAGGACTTGCCACCGTTTTTCGACTTCCTAGTTTATGCGGGATTCTCAGAGTAAATGCTCGAGTTATATCACACATCTGCTTGAATGTATCAATGTTTCGAACAAATGTGCAAGGAAGCTGAAGCACAGTACGATCGTCTGCAAAGATGAACATGGGAAATTCCTACCATCCTCTGCACAACCTGAACAGATAGTTAAAGTCCATTCGGAGCCTTAAACACACACCTTCAAAAGCACTAAATAGCACAAATTTTCGAGCATATGATCTCTGAGGGCCTGGAACTCGAAACAAATCTTGCACCTACCTAGAGTTTGGAGCACCTATAACTACTCCTGCCATAGACTCGTCGCAACCTTGGGGGCTTGAAGGTGTCATCCAGAACAAGCAAGTAACATCTTGAGAATCAAGTATCTCGACGGCATTAATTATATGTTGTGAATTAAGCTAAGAACTCGATCATTGCAATAACTGGTAAAATATAGACTGCATTGAATAGAGGATACAGTTTAGTAGTTAAATTCTTTCAGGTCACCTGAAGAGCTGAATAGTCACCATCCACTGTAATCTTAAGTTTCAGATTCCTTGTTCGCATGAAAAGCTAAACGAACCGCAAACATTGCTGAAATTCACCTTGCCATTCAGGCTCAGTCCATTACAGCTAGAAACTATCGGATGATTCTCATGTGGGGCACAGATCAAACCAATGGAGTGCTTTGTATGTTGACAGTAATAACAAGTAATCTAAACTCGAGTCAGAATTTCGGTCGAGGTGGTGAGTGCTACGTCATGTCCTAAGCACAACAGCTTTGTTTGAAATCTTTTTGAGGGTTAGATTTGGTGTGAGCAAGCTATGGCAAGAGCGTGAGGACTCATCATATCACGCTTGTTGGATTTTTCTGATGTGAGGTAATGATAACAATCTAGCTGAATTCGAATTGGAGTTTGGGTCAAAGTGGGAAGTCGTACATTGGGAGTTCTGAACCCAACTCTGTTGCTCAAAATGGACTTCGGGGTAAGGTTAGGTATGAGCACGAATGAGAAGAGCAAAACAGTCCTCGGGACCCGCTGTCGTGAGAGACAACTGCAGAGACTTCATCTAGAATGGATCCATTTAGTTCACAACTATACTCTGAATATGTTGAGTTATATATCAAGAACATTTGAGTTGTCAGATTTCAAGTGCTTCAAGCACCCAAAGAAGGGATTTCATCTAGAGAAGTGTGCACCTCTATCGCATCAGAAGCTCCTCACATCAGCGGTGAACTGCTGATTCAATCTTATATTCAAGCTTCAAGCCCTCCGGATTCTCAAATCTAAGAGAAGAAGGCTCTTATTATCATTTCCTATGGAAGCTACTCACTCTTCTAATGACAACAAAAGTCTTAAAAAAATATTATAGACCCGAAGTGGGAGGGATGGATTCGGTCTTCAACCTCTGCAGAGGCTTCATAACATGTACAAAATTCCAGAGCATCATATGTTTCATGAGGACCACTTGTACGTCTAAAGATAAAGAGTAACCAAGGGGATTCCAGCTTCAAACTTCACATCATGGTTTTCAATTAACTCATGACTTCATGCAAGTTCAAATGGTTGACCTGGCTTTAGAGGCTGCTCAGAATATGAACGTTTGCAAATTGCAAACGTAAGTTTACTTGTCAATATGTACATCCGTGACAGTGTCGATGACTCAGATGATGTCATCCTCCAGTGGCGCCGTCCATCACCAACCGATCAATCTATGGACCTGTATGATTGTGCATTCTTGCACTCTATACACAAAGTATCGGAATCCTTTGAAGAAGACAAAACAACCTATCACTATATCAATCATCCCTTACATTATACACAGGAGATACGTCCTAGTTACCTCGAGTTTTGATAGTGAATAAGTGCACAACAGGGTAGAAAATGTACTTGCAAGCTGCCCCACCAAATGTGAGGGCAGAAGAACGACAACTATGTTCGTTAGGACCAATTCAATGACAATGTTGAAGAAAGCTCATTAGGGCATACTTTGGAGTTGCTTCTCCATCTGCTTCGCACCTCGAAGCACATCCAGTGCTTCTCCTGTCCGACCAGCTCTTTTCAGTTCCACTGCCCTTACCTTCTCCTGTTTTATTCTGTCCTCCAGCTTCTTCCTCTCTTCCTGTGCTTTGGAAGAAAATAATCTGGGTGCACCTACACTTGCCGATGGCTTCTTTTCCTCCTGAACCCTGCTAGGCAAGGGCCTGGCTGAGACACCTTCATTAACACGTCTTGTGTCTTGAATTTCAGCAGGTGCTGCTGTTGTTGTTGCCTGAGGTGCACGTCTTGCAGGTGGCTGACTGATACTTGCACTTCTGTCTTCAAAAGCATTACTAGAGGTAGAGCTGACTGGACCCCTTTTTGCAGGTTGCTGATTACTGATGTTAGACCTTCCATCATTAGAGCTGCTTAATGTTGAAATCGATTGCCTGCTTGTTGACATCTCTGAATTCGAGGATTGAGTGATTCTGGAAACGCTAGGTGGACTGCTAGCTGGTTTAGTAGAATTACCTCCAGCGAAATCCCCATCATTCCAACCAATGCCCTTCAGAGCTGCCATCAACTGTGGATCGAGCAGGTCTTCTACCAAACCCATGTCCCCTTCATCATGTGCTGGCTTGGATGGATCCAGGTCCTCCATTTGTTTCTCCAAGGTCTTGGCGAGCTCGAATTCTGCCTCTGCCTCCTCCAGCTTTCCTTCTCGTCTTAGACCTAGAGCTTTCCTCTTGTGAGCCAAAGACTCTCGTTGGAGCTTCATTCTATCCTTCCCTTGACGGACCTGCTGCTGCATCTGTTGTTTGTGGGTTTGTGAAACAACTGGTGCGGCGGAAGGAGGAGGGGGAGTCTCATAATGAACTCTCGGTGGAGGTTGAATTGGTGGAACAGGGGCACTAACTGACTTGAAATTCTCATCCGGGATAGAAGTCTGTGTTTCCAACTGTTTTTCCAGCAATTTCGCTTGCTTCAGCTCCTCCCTTGCTTCTGAGAGTTTTCCTTCCCTTTTATAAGCGACCGCCTTCCGCTTCCGCATCTTGATTTCGTCCTGCAAGTCAGATGTTTCCGCTTTCGGTGGAGGAGGCCCAGCTATAGGAGCTGCAGCCTCGGCACGGGCCTCACTAATACGAGCCTCACTATTAACAGTTGGACGACTAAGCGAAAGGCTCCCACTAGCAACGTTGTCGACCTTAGCTTCAAACATCGGCGACGAGTTTCCCACCATTTCCCTTCGATCGCCTTTTGCAGAAGGTGCAGGAAACTCATCCTTTACAGACACTATGGGGATAGGCTGTTTTGCAACGGATGACTCCGCTTGTGGTCTTTTTCCTGTTTTCATACTTGGAGGTGCCATCCCTATACTTTGGAGAGCAGCCAACATGTCTGGATCAAAGAGATCTTCATCTTCATCACTATCACTTTCAACAGGGACCTCCTTAGTCGGTGCACTCCAAGTCTCACCACTTAGCAGATCCAAGGATCCCTGCCGTGAAGATTTACGATTGCCACTAGTATCTGATGTTGGATGATCGAAAAAGGGTGCGGTAGCATCTACTGGTGGACCCATATTCGTTCTAAATGACGTTCCTCTTTGCACCTCCTTCACATGGCTCTCGCTCTTAACCGATTCATTGCGCTCGTTGAGATTTCTGCTGGAAGAATTCAATATGGATTGCCAAATTGGATCTGGCGCCACATCCACTGTAGGCTCCTTGACATACGGTGGATTCTCGTACTTTCTGCTTCCACTTCTGCTTGTATCAAAGCGCCCGACTTCTTTCGGGGTTGCTTCAGGCATTCTCCCAGAGTCCAGGACGGATTTGAGTGACACATTATTGTCGAGTCTTGCGAGGGCAGGCAGAGCTGAAGAAGACGACTTAGAAAATTTGTTGACCTCCTTCGCATCGGGCTCAGGCTTCCAGCCGAAGCCTTTCAAGGCCTCAAGCATCTCTGGGTCTTGCATGTCTGCATCTGTCACCTCTTCATCGTCTTCATACTCATAAGCTATGGTTTCTGGAAGACTGCTCGTTTTGCTCCTAGACTTCTGGAGCAACTTCTCATCCGCTGATTCGACCGAGCCAGTTGCCGCATTCTCAATCTCTTCCATCTCCTTTTCCACTAATTTGGCCTGCTTGAGCTCCGCCTTGGCCTCCTCGACCTTCCCTTCTCGCTTCAAGGTCAGCGCCTTTCGCTTGTGAGAAAGCAGATCTCTCTGTAACTGCAGTTTCCTCTGATGATCCCTCGCTGTGTACTTTACTGGCTTGTAAGGTTGCACGGGGGCTGGTGGACTATCTGGTTCTTCTACATTCTCGGGTTCCTTGTCTTTGGCGAAGGTATCTTCCTCTTGCCATCCGACGGACTTCAAAGCTGCAACCAATTCAGGGTCCATGAAGTCTTCTGCACTGACCTCAACTTCCTCTTCTTCGTCCGCCGAAACATAACCCATCTGAGACAACGGCAAGGCTGGAATTTGTGTTGGCTTCCCGAACTTGCTCCCTATTGTGATCGGTTTAGGCAGGCCATCGGCCTCTAACTCTACAGTAAGTTTCTCCAACCTTTGTTCGAGAACCTTAGACTGGCGAAGCTCCTCCTTGGCTTCTGCGATTCTCCCACTCTTTTTTAAGGCCAGTGCAGATCTTTTGACTGCCAAAATCTCGTCCTGCAGGCTCTTCTTCTCCTGAGGGCCCGGCTTTACATAGGTCTGCAAAGGCGGTGCAGTTTCATCCTCTACATACCCCATGGCTCTCAGAGCAGCCAGTATCTCGGGGTCCTTCTCGTCTTCCTCATCAACATCTACAGGATCGTCTTTATCGTCCAGAATGTCTTCTAATTTCATCTGCGTTGCATCCTTGACGCTTGCCCTCCCAGGAGCTGGTCCTGTGGGTACAGGCGGCTGCCTCCTCAATACTTCCAGCTGTTGCTCGAGGGTTTTGGCCTCCTGGAGTTTGGATTTGGCCTCCGCAATCTTGCCTTCCCGCTTGAGTGCTAAGGCCTGTCGCTTGACCGTCAGGATCTCACTTTGCAAACGCGACTCCGAAGCAACCGATGCAGCAATGTGCATGGCTTCAGGACCGCTTGTAGAGGGAGCTCGGGATCTTTCCATGGCTGCTGCTTCCTCCTCCCATCCCATTTCTCTAAGGGCTGCGACCATGCTGGGATCATGAATATCGTCATCCGTGACATCTACATGGGCGTCGTCATCGTCAGCCAAAAAGGACGGTACCGAGAAGTCGACTGGAACCTGTCCGGATTTCCCTTTTCCCAAATCCAGTTTTGCTTCTTTTTCCAAGCTCCGCATCAACTTGGCCAGATCATCGTCATCCGCGTCGTCGTCGTCGTCCTCATCCCCGAATATTGCCATCTCTTCCAGCTTCTTCTCCAGCAATTTGGCTTTCTTAAGTTCCTCTTTAGCTTCGGCAGGTTTCCCTTCCCGCTTCAAAGCCAGAGCTTTCCTCTTATGAGCCAAAATTTCAAGTTGAGTTGGACTTTCCTTTGCCGGCTTTTTTGCACTTGCTTCCTTTGGCAAACCGTCGCTGATTTCCGCGAGTAAGTCGAGGTCAGAAGTTGGACCTTTCTTGGGTTTCTTCTCGACGAGATCCGCGTCGTCCCAGCCAAGATCCTTAAGTGTTTTGAGAAGATCGTCATCTCCGCTATCCTTGCTGGACAACCTCCCCCTCTTCAAATCCTGTGATTGATCCTTCACATTCGCATCTGATGTACCCATATGTCCCTTGTCCTGAATGCACCAGCCAAGAACGGAAGCCTTCAGAGCAGCACTCGCATCTTACAAACGAGGCAACCCAAAACAAGTGATTCTGTTGACATGACCAAGTTCAGAACTGGACTTCATAGCCTCCGAAACGTCTGTCCTTCGATTCCTGAATAACATTTACCGTCACGTGTTACGACCATGACTTCAGAACCTGTCAGTATGGATGTTAGCATGAGGGGAGCATACCTTGGCACTTTCAGGAGATTCCTTGAGTTTTTGACTCGCTTCTAAGGTGGCCTTGCGTTGAATCTTCTTGAGAGAAAGTTCGAGAGCGTCTGCTTCTCGTCCGAGCTCCTTGAAACGCTTGTAAGCTTGTAAGGCTTCTGCGTGTTTACCCTCTTTTTTAAGACCGGTGTACAGCGTTTTCTGCTCAATGGCTTGATTTCGTAATTCTTCTGGCGTGAAGTGAGTCTCTTCTTGATGTTCTTCTGTTACCTCTTTCGAAGGAGAGACATGTGCACTACTATTTTGGCTGCTATGGGCAGATTTAGCAACTGCGCTATTGTCATTGAGTTCATCGTCCCCCGGTTCATGCCTTCCAGACAGAAGGGCGTGTACATCACCACCTAGAACTTCCTTGAGCAATGAGTCATCCTCTGCAGCGCTGGCTGCTTTGGCACCTGGAAGAAAACCAAAACAGGTCAAACCGGATACTTGCAACTCAATACCTCGGTAAGTAGGGAACAGATATTGATTGTAGTCTTACCTTTCTTGCCTCTGTTTCGCAGCTGAAATCGAGCAGCTTCTTCCAGCTTCTTGCAAGGATCGCAAATTCGAACAGGGGCGTCTCCTTGCCCACGCAAGACTGCTCTCTGACTCGTGCAATTGCCACAGAAAATTCCTCCACATCTGCGACAGTGGTGCTAAAATCACAGTCCAAGTCAGAACAACAGTCATAGCAAAAGGTCCGAGACTACTGCTAAAAATGTTACGATACAGAATATCGTTATTCACATGAAGATGCAGAAAACCGCTCAGTCGATCACGAGTCCTTGGCAGCTGTATCCGATACGGACCCAATTTACTGCCTAGTGTTGTAGTTACTACGTGTAGGTCTGCTTTCTCAAGCCATTGAATCAAATCAAAAACCGTCTTTTGATTCTCAGCATGAATTTCACCATGAATAAAAACCGAAGGTATAAAGGAAGGTGATCCTCGGTCAAAATTATCACAGAATCTCCAACATTCGCTGACTGGGACCAATAAAATTCATCCGCGGTTGCATCTTCCAATTCATGTAAAGAAACCTACTTTAAAAAAAGGCCACCAAATCCCTCTGACAACCACCACCATCCAAAACACGAACTGACTCTGGCGAGTCCATACTCGACTTCCGGAGCTTAAGAATTGCTCCAACTGATGGTAGAAGACACTAAGATGTTGAAGAACCATATACTATCGCTTCACGCTATACATGAGCTCCGTGGAACCACAAGGTGCACAATGGAGGAGTGCACGAAAATAAAGAATCAAGAGCACTGCTGATTCTGAAGTATAAATTACGGCCTCGCGCCCAGAATCAATTGTTTTCTAGACGGTTCGTAATAAGCAAAAAGGGAGCTTTTCCAATCTCCATCGACGAAATGGAGAGCGGAAGACTTGGATGTATAATTTTCTACAGTTGAGCTCAACTCTCACATTTCCGGCAAGAGCGTCAGACTGTCGAACCCGTAGCTCAACCAACAGATGCATACTGGCAGGGAAACGTAAACGCGGAGTTGGAACCCTGGAATGAGTGAGAAAGACACACGGCGATCACCTTGCGATTGAACATAGTGAACGCTCCCTGACACGTCTGACATGACGACGCGTCTATGACCCATGTTTTGCCCTTGGCTGACGGCTTCGCCGGCAGCCCGATCTTTTCCAACATCTATCCTCGGCACCGACAAAATTCGCTGCCAGAGTCCGCACAAACACTCTGAGAATCAACCAAGCAAAGCATCCAATCGGCGCTCCGAAACTCTCCAGCAAAATCCACCTCTCGTCAGCGCGCCGGGCGGAGCTCTCCAATTGCCACGCCTTGCTCCGGCAGATGCCCCGACGCAATCGATCGATCCACGGGCACAGAGACCTCGAATGCTCCTCCGGCACCACACCCCGGCTTCAAATTCTGCTCGCTCAGCAACAAATGCCACGCAGTAAATGCGCGACAATGCCCCACGCCACAACTGCAGAACGCACGAGAAGCGTCGCTGACAAACGCCGGATCTCGACGCACACCTCGTCTCTTCCGGAGACTAAAAAAACGACGCACTCGAGTGCAAATTGAAGGCCCAAGTTGCCGACATCGAGAGATGACGAGAACGAGAAGGAGCGAGTGCAGGCGCAGCTGAGCCTTCTTTCTCTGCCGCTGCCACTGGCAGTCGTCGCGAGCCCTGAGCACCAGCAAGAGCGTGGACCCGGTGACAGTCCTAACTCCTGACATGCCGGTCAGTCGGCGTTCCCGACGTCGCGATCTCGCCCGCCCTTACTCTTCGTGACGTCACTCTCCCCAGCCAGGGATTCGGCACTCTGCTTTCGATTTCCTCGCGTCGATTCTCCGGACGTCGCGGTCCCGCGGTTCATGAAAGACTCCTCCACTTGAACCCCCATCCCCCTCCTAAACTTCTGACGTGAAGGCGCGGATGCCCACAATGGCTCAATATAACAACTAGATCAAGTGAACTTTTGTGAATGGTTTACATTATTTATTTTATATATATATATATATATATACAAAGTCACTATATTAAACACTCATTGATTCCATATACAATTTTTATCTGTCAATTTTGGAACAATTAGTAATTTGCCAGCATATTCTGTAAATGAGTGACTCCATATACAATTTTTATCTGTCAAATTTGGAACAATTAGTAATTTTCCAGCATATTCTGTAAATGGATAGGTACTCAAAACTAATTATTTGTTCCGGTTGCTATACATGTTTTGCTTATGAATATTCACATTTATAGAACATCTCGCAAAGTAGCTTCATTGATAGCCCTCTGAAATTGCCTTCGAAACTAGTTTCCTCACAACAATATTCTCTTATGTGGAGACTAGAACATGGTGGACCTACCTGAAGATTCCTCATGACACATGCAAGTTTTCACTGGAGCGGAAAGTATCACGTTCTCCCAGTTTTGCATAAAACATAAATTGATGGATCTTCGACTGATGGCAGCCGAGGCAAGGGGATCCACTCACACCAGATGGAGTTACTATGGAGGAGCACCTGGATGTTCTAGAATAAACAGACTCTATGTGTCACATGGAGGAAGATGGCTAACTAGTGCACAACATGTACTACATCATGCGGGCAACACGCTCTCCGATCTCTACGGTCCTAGAACTTGGCACTTTCCAATCCACCCATGGTAGAATTGCACTAGGAAAATCCCACAACCTTCAAATGGGATATTACACTTCTCTGCAAGAATGGAATCCATGCTTGAATACAGAGCAACGTGGAGCCGTCTGTAAGTAGTGGAGATACGTTTATGGTCCAGGATGAAGCACCTAGCACTTGGAGACGCGCCCAGTAAGTACTTCAACATTCATCGACAAAATTCTGCAAGAGCTCAAATTCTGCAGCTGAAGTTAGATGATGATGTAGAAACACGAGAGCAAGCTCAGATACTTTGTAGGGTATGACAGTTTTACGCTGATCTTTATAGTCTAAAGAGAAAACACATGAAGACCAGATACTACATCAACAACTGATAACTAGGGTGCAAGAAAATATTTTTGATGCCGAAAGAGCAATGCTAGCTACCACATTAACACTTCAAGAAGTTGAAGAAGTACTTTTCTGGCTACCAAATAACAAAGCGTTTGAAGTAGACAGAGTGTCAATAGAAGCAATGCAAAAACCGTGGACTCTCATGAAACACTTCTAAGTCAGAACGTTGTAGAAGTTCTGTACAGACAATGTACTAGCCAAAATTGAAACTTAAGTGAAGGTGTGATTAGACTCATCCTAAAATCAGTCAACAAAATGGAGCTCAAAGATTTGAGACCTCTCACAATGCTCAACACGTATCATGAGATAATTGCCAAACTATTAGCAAGTAGACTTCAAATTCTGCTACCAGCATTGGTGCTTCACTAGACAATGCTGGTCACTATCTTCGATCAAGATAGTGACTGAATTGTGAGGATTCATCCGCTCTTCACGTCGTGCTAATCTTACGTACGAACAAGTAGTGCACATTCCCGACGTGTTAGATCACAGCTAACGCACATCACCGGCAAGACAACGCACATCACGCGTTGAAGCCATCTGCTGCCGACGCTCTATCCGCATCCTTTGTACCTTTCGGAGAATGAAGTATAAGCAGCATTACACAGGTGTTGGTAGCAAATACGGAAAGACTTATTTTGGAATTCACAAGACGTCTTCATCTCGGACATACTCAGCCTCAAGTATGTAGTCAACTTGATTTTGCGACAACATAATTCAGCATCAGCACTTACGAAGTTGGTGATGGGAGAATTGAGAAAATTCAATATCATACAAGTAGCAGAATCATGGAAAAAGAAGGAGATACTCAAATTTGCATACATCCAAGACGAATAGAAAACACACGATCAAGCCTCCCACCTAGTTGAACTCTTTTTGCGTAGATTTTTCACGTCGAAGTGCCCAAGCAGCTGCACACTCAAATCAAATGAGGGATGAAATCTAAGGTAAAAATCTGTAACAGATAGCTTCTCAATAGCAGCAAAAAGAGTGGTATAGAGGAAAATCACATAACATGCCAACCGCTGAAAGTTTTCAACCACAAATGGGGCACCTTCAAGTAAGAGGAAGAGTGGAACACGTTCTTTCATCAACTCTAGAAAAGCCACAATGTATACAAATTTTGCGTGGAGGATTCTTCAGCAAGGTTTCTACACCAACGATCCAGTGCATAAAATTGGACATGGAAACAGATGCTGCCCAAGAGTATGCGCATATCCTGAGATAGTCCAACACATCTTCTTTAATTCTCCCTTTGCCCACTACTCTACCTCAAGTCGGCGGTAGCACAACTAAGGTGGTGTATCTTAGCATGAGAAAATATCTTCAAGTCGGCTACATCATTGTTACATCTCCTTGAACTAGGCGTGCAAAACCAACACAATTCTCATGCTACAGAACAATGGATGTCAACTACATAGTTATGCAAACATCCATGACTTGGTAGAACTCATTTCCTGTATGAGCAAGAAATATTGCTAGTCAATCTTCATGCTGGGGTTAGGAATACTATAGACAAAGCAATAGCCATATGAAAAGAAAGTTCAGATGCTACTCCCAACACACATATGCTTAGAACTACAATATTATTAGAGAGTACGCTAGGTAGTGTAGTGCACACAAGGTTAGAACGGTGGCTAAAGAAGAAACTAGACAAATTAGATGTATCAACGGAATGTTAGGAAGCCCTCCACACGACGGGAGCAGCAAATGTATTGGACACAACACAGCACTCTCACATGAGAGGGACAAACCAAGCTTGAATTACAACTCAACGATGTCACAGTCAAACTAAGACAGGTTGTGGACTTCAGCATGGTACATTTCTGAATTGATATGTTCATCGGCTGGCGTACGTGCGGCCGTCGGCTCGTTTTTGCTGTCTTGCAGTATTCGAGTAAGACCACTGATAAGATGACTATAATGTTTGTACTATATCTCCCTGTTCGTTACAGTTTGATTTATATTCTTAGCATGTGGCGCACAAAACACGAAATCATGCATTTTTCTGCAGTTTCAATCAAGTAGCTTCATTCATATCAAAATATTCATCAATTTATGATTTCTAAAAAATCTCATTGTACATATGTCGTTAAGAAAACACCATCCATAGAATAAACATAAACATTTTTGTACGGGCGCTGACATAGTTGTTATAGTCCAAAATTTTAAGTTTAAGAAAACTGCCTTTGTTAATACTCCTTAACATCTCACTTTAGTTGATGATTTTTTTTATGGTTATGAAGCTCTTAGAACTCTACCGCGTAAAAACCTCATGCGCATTGTGATATGTAAACCATTGTGATGTTCACGAAACTGATCACAATCTACCTTTAGATTCCACATGTGAATATATCATTTTTCAACATTATTTCATATATAGTTTCTACAAGATAATTGTGTAATTTTATCATAATCATCATGGAATTTTAATGTGAGTCATTTGTGATTTTAAAACTATCATCTATTTACACATAGAGATATTATATATTTGCTCAAATGAACATTCAAAAGAAAAAGAAGATGAATATTTAATTAAGGATGTTTAAGCTATATTGTTCCAGCAAATTTAAATGTAATTAAGTAAGAAAATATATGTTACTACAAATACTTGGATGAAATAAAATGAATTTTCTAGATAATATAAATTACATAGTCAATTATAGAATATCTGCATTATAGATTTGTACTAATATCACATGTTTTAAGAATGAGGAGAATCTAGAATTTGAGAAAATATGGTCTTATAGAACTGACATTCAGTTTGTTTCAAAAAATTTGTATATAGTTGATATTGTTATGTAACTTATTTTTTTAATTGTGAAAATACATTAAAAAATGAATTTGTATCAAATTTTTATAATATTAAATGTTTTAAGTATAAGGCACATCCAAAAATATCGTACTTGTAATTGAATCATCAATGTTATTTCATAATCACATTAATTCATTGGAGATATATTTTCACTTCGTTAGTAATCAAACATGAAGTAATATAAATATAAATATATATATTTTGTCCAGTTTGAAGTAAAATAAGATAGTTTACACATCAATTTCCATATTGAACTATATATACCCATAAATATAACATTGTAGCAATTTTGAGAGACATGATGATTTTTCCATGCAAGGTAAGCTATTTACTACTTTTTTTCGAGCTACTACATGTAAAATTTTCTTTGCAATCGAGTATATGATATTTCAAGTCAATCACTAATTTAAAACTTGTTTTAATTAAATTTTTGGAAATCTGAAAGTAATTTATTTTTTGATGTACAATTTCTTTCAAACGAGAGTGTATTATATTTAAATTTTCATAACTTTTTTGAAGATAAATTACATGAATGCATGTAATGAAATTTTAGTACCATACAACTAAAGGGCATGAGAATCCAAACATCCACAAAAAGCCAAAAAGTATCTTTGTCTGTTTGTAGCACTCGGGCGGAGAGCGGGCTCGGGTCTAGTACTAGCTTCGACGGTAAGGCGGCTTCTTCCCGCCATTTCTCGGTTTGAATACGAAGCGCCTCTCCCCTCGGAAACTGCGAGAAAGAGTTGAAGGCGACCGCACGTTGCCGATGGTTCCAGCGATCGCACAGGAAGGCAATGGAATTGCGATCGGGCAATCGAATAGCGGAAATCTTACGTTCGACTCTGATTTGATGATCTGTGTGTGACAGGAGGAAGTGCCAAGTTCGCGAGGGGGGATTTGGGATTTGGAATTTGGAATTTTGGATGATCGATGCGGTCACAGGGTTTTGTTGTTCCACTACTTTCTCGTGTCCCAATCCGAGAATCGAGAAGCATTATGTGAGAATTGGTCAAAGTGGGCCGTCCTTCCGGTGACAGTGGGTTCTATCGTTGAATTGCAAACTTCGCGTTTGGAGCTGGCGTAGAATCTTGTCGACGAGTCGGTTGTGGTTGTGCATCGAGAAGGAAGCAGGGTTTTTCGGCTGCTGGGATGTTTCCGAATATGTTCGATTCTGTCCATTTTGGGTCCATTTTTAGGAGAAGGTGATAGTGTGTCGTTCATGCGTGCATTCTCTACACGGAAAGGGAACCTCGCAGATATTGTTACAGAGAGCTGGACGGAAAATGTGTCCCGGGACAATGGGGAAGCTGAAAGAGCAAAGTATGGGAGCTAACAAGCCAGATGTCGTAGTACCTCGTGTCCTAAACGAGTGCCAGCATTCTCAGGCCACTCATCCGAGGGGGATAAAGAAACTCGTCGAGTGTCGTGCGATGGATAGAGATGGATTCTTTAAAATTTGGATACAGTGTATGGAGCCGCTCTTTTTGGTGTCGAAGAGGGAGCCGGTTGTCGAACGGATGCTAAAATTTGCAGCCTCCTTCACAGCGTACTGGGATGAAGCTCACGAAGATGATTGCGAGCATTTTGTGGAGGAATATTTGGGTTTATTACTCAAATGGGCGGACGCCTCTCACAAGTCAGTCAGATTTCGAGCCTGTCAGATGATTTCTGAGGCCAGTTTCTACTCATCAACGAATTGGCGATCTAGCAGTTTTTAGTCATGAAGTGATCTTTTTCCTGGCGTCATATTTAGATAACATATACTGTTGATGGGCAAATCCGAAGCTAAAACTGCCACACAAAGTCCGTAGAAGATCATATGATCAAATCTTGTTGAATTGTATCGATTTTCTCAACGAATTTGATTCAGAAAAATTTGATTCGCTTCCTTGTTTTATACTTTCTACAGGCTGGAAGAGTTATATTTCTTCGTAGGACCTGAAATTCTGAAATCCGAGGTTCATTATGGGCTGCAGGTAATATTGAAACTACCAGAGGACATACCAGTGGTTGACGAACTGTGGGATAACATAATATCAAGTATGCAGAGACGCATGCAGGACAAGCTAACCTCGGTGCGAGTATATGCGGCACGGGCCCTATCACGCCTTGTCATTACGGACGATATAGAAAACGATAGAACTGTAACAGCATACCGTCAAGCATTGGATTTTGATCAAAGTGCGGTAAGTGTGCACTCCTTCACTTGCGAGGGAACTCATGGTTGATTATCTGTCTCTTTCTATCATTGGGATAGAGAATCAAGAAGCAAAAGTTTATATATCTGAAGCCAGTGCATGAAACCACCCAATATAGCTCGTCCTAGTAGGTTCCTCATCACGCTCTATTCTACTCTTAGAGGTATGAACGGCTTTTGCGAGTTACAATCTTACGATGTTCGACTCATGAATTGATGCGCTGTAACTGAATCACTCATCAGGAAGTTAGAAAGATGGTTGTCATGTCTATGCCTGCCATGAACGTCACAGTTGCCGACATGGTGGAACGCACTGCTGATATCAGTGAAGTCGTGCGGAAAGCAGCTTACCATATACTCGGAACCAAGTTCCGGATCCAGAGCTTGAGGTTAGTAGTCACGAGGAAGCCATGACGACTCTTTATTTGAGACCTTTCTGAAAACATCTGAGATTCGACATACGGGTCCAAGTTGTGGAAGCCGGTGATTGTTACAACAAGGTTTTACTGCTGACGAATCCGACGATTGGTTTGCAGCATTATGCAGCGTGCTCTTATTCTTCAGAGGGGATTAGCTGAAAGAGTTCCCGGTGTACGAGCTGAGTGTGTCGAGATGTTGAAATCAAACTGGCTGGAAAGAGATTGCGAGGGAAAAATGATTTCCTTGTTACGATACTTGGATGTTGAGACTCACGAAAAGGTTGGTGAGAATGTAATGTTGGAGCTGCTGAAGCAAGATCTTGATGTCGCGGCCATCTGTAGCGGAGGTCTTCGACAGTTTCTTCCCAGTGACAGTGCAGCAGGTACTGGCTTCTAAAACATACTCAGCTGAGATGATGTACTTTTGCCAAACTTATGGTCTCTACTTCGGGCAACGTTTGACGTTTAGAAGCTCAAGTAATTTGTTCTGTAATCCACTGATATTTCGATCCTACATACGTTGGCAGGCGATGAACTTCGTACATATAAAATTCTAGACGCAGAATCAGCCCTCTATTGGCGTATGTTATGCTCGCATCTCCATACCGAAGCAGAGGTGATTAAACTCATTGATCCTAAAACTCTGAATACATTGTACTCTATTCTCTTGCTTCATGTAAGACTGCTATGGGTTGTTTAGTGTTGCTTTTTAATTAGTTCGAATTTTGTATCGTAAGCAAACGAGGCAGTCAGTATTCTGTTGAAACTATGATACTCGAGGCACTAGCTTGAGAGATGCAATATGTGGGGTCATTGAAGGCAAAAGGATGCGATGCTGCCACTACAGGAGGTGCAGAAGCGGTTGTGAAAGCTGCTGCTGCAGCGGATAGCAACGACTATCTTGAGAGCATCTTACCTCCGACCGTAGCTGATTATGTGCGTCTCGTAGAAGCTCATGTGCACGGAGGTATTATCCAGGAGTTACTAAATCCGATAATTAGGTTCCAAGTGTTCAACTAAAGTTTGTTCAACACACACTTCGCCCTCTCAAGTGGTTTCGTTCATTCACTTCGTGTTCATGTTCGTTGTAACCGCAACTTCCATCTCATCTCATAGAGTTACGGTGTGAGGGGTTGCATTTGGTCACTGAACATACTGCAAACATGTCCATATCTGGTGATTCTCACAGAGCTCCTGTAGTTGACAGACGTGATAAATTCCTGCTAAAGTTCAATAGGTTTCCGTATGAAGAATACGTCACAAGCGAGCAGACTGTTTTGTTGGCTTCTGATGTCCTAAGCCGAGCCTAAGAAGATCGTTTATGGTCTCTGTTTCAAGCTTTGCTGCCAAAGTTGCTTGCATCTCTGCCCGCATTAGCTTCATGCTGTCATAAAAAACAACAAACCGGGTACCTGTCTCGCTTGTAAATCCACCATATTCTTACTCCTCGCAGGCCCGGCCACTCGGTTTGCCGCACGGCAGTTGCTCCTAATCTCGAAATTGATGAACTTCATCGATAATACAAGTCGCAGAGAGGCTGCTCTGCTCTTACAATTCCTTCTCGAGCGATCGGCGGTATCTGAAAGAAGTTTGGATGAAGTGGTCGGAGATGGCTTGAGTCTTGGCGGTGAAGAGTTGTGGGCAAGCGCTGTGGCAGAGCTGGCACACCATGTGCATGCTTCCCCTGGAGAATTTGCTCAAGTCGTGTCTGCATCTCTCGCGCAACATGCTCGTCCTTGTCGAGAAGGCGGAGCAAACATTATGCAGTGGTTGCATTGTTTGGCTATGACTGCTCTTCTGCTGGAAAACATAGACTCTCTGCATCAACTTGATGGTCAAGCGATCGAGCCTCAAGAAATTCAGGATTCTCTGCTGCTACCAGCTGTAAGTTTGCGTTCGCATTGATCTGTAAAACCCTGGCAAAGTATCGCTGAAAATTCAAGCATGAAGGCCAAGTTTCGAGATAGACTATCGATTCAAGCTTAGTGACAGGGTATTCATCAGCCTCTACAAACAGCGGAAATCGTAGTACGTTGGACGTCTTTATTATATTTATCGTGATCATGACTGCCAAATCATGCCTAACCTCGTACCTCCTCCTGTTTTTTGAATTTAGTCAAATTCTGAGATTTGTTTTTGTGCCCCAGGTAAAGCACTTACATCCAGAAGTACAAAGAGCCGGAGTTAGATGCTTGGGCATCTTCTGTGGGCTTGAAAAAGTTCCCAGCTCACGAGGAGTGGAGCAACTTAGACTGTGCCTAAGTTTGAGTGACCGTTATTATGTACAAGAGATGGCCTTGAGGGCTCTGTTTGATCTCATCCTTCAGCATGGGGCCACAGGATTAGACCATGCTCTTGGAATACTACCTGATATTTCAGGAGTCCCTCACCCACCAGGGCCTCAAACTTCGCATAAATTCCGCTCAGCAGATGATAACTCTGAAAGAGAGCAAAGCATGATCTTGCGCCTACCGTTACTTGAGCTACTTGCAGGGTCGTTCGACCATGATGATTTGACGAGAGAAGAAGATGAGATACCTCTGAAAACTTGCATTGCTGCGGAGGGATTCGCGAAAGTGCTCTTGCAAAGCAAACGATTTCCGGAAATCGGGGTTATTCAGGATGGTGTCTTGGCGAAGCTGGTTTGCTTGTACTTCAGCTTTAGTACCCAAAATTTTGCTAGGTACGTTCACCTAACCTGGACCGTTATTAATTGCTTCTTTTTGCAAACTTCTTCGTTTTTCACGAACTAAGGCGAAAATTTGCACTTGCAGACTCAGGCAATGTTTGAACGTTTTTTTCCGCTCCTACTGTTCTCAATCGGTCAACAATAAGGTAACCAATGTCCCGCATGTACTGCTGTCTTCTGGTGAAGTACTCCTTGAAGTCTGAAATGCCACACATTTGTCATGGTAACTATTCTTCGTCGAAGTTTTGTGGTGACAGGTTTGGGATCTGGTTGTCAATACTGTAACTAACTAGTTGCTGTCCTGGCAGAGAGCAATTTCGAAAGTTTTTGTTCCGGTTATGCGCAAGGAATGGCCTGGTATTTACGGAAATCGAGAGAAGTCGGGAACAGTCTTAGCAGCGAGAAAGCATGCAGCTGACATAGGACGCTTCATGCTGCTTCTACTTCAGCTCCCTATATTGGTCAAAGAAGCTCAACACGTCGGTAATACAACAACTGTTGCACCTCGTGATGAGAATGTGATACAAGATGGCGATGAAGCAATCAATGAAGGGCATGAAGAACTTGCGATCCGGATTTGTTCTGAGGTATTCGATTGTGAACTTTCGAAAGAAGTAAATTCGGTCTTTGGACATAAATATGGACGATGTTATAACTTTTAGAATAACTCGTAGGTGACCTTTTTTGGCTATGAAGACAGGCAAGATCTGCTTTTCCTATTGGAAATCTTAAGGCAGGTCAGCTTTACGGGGCAACCCTTCTATTAAGAAAACATTGACTACCAAGTAGAGATATCTCAACTTGGTTAATCTCTCACTGTTCTGGTCGACTTTGAATTTGCAGGTGATTTCTCTCAACGCAAAGAAGTCTATGGCAGGCAAAACTTATATTGCAACCCTATGCCGATTCATCCCTTTACTACGTTACCGTGCTTCCCAACATGAGGAAATCAAGTGCTTGTATCAGATCCTTCCAAGGTAAAGTTCACGCCATGCTAGTTACTTTCTTCTGTCAGCAGATTATTTGATGTACTGTATCTGCCTTTGTGGATGCAAATGAGGGTTTCATGCGTGCCTTCTGTGCTTTATCTGAAAGATGTCCAGGTATCTCAACATCCGGCAGCAGAAATTTATTCCCTATCACAGACATTACTTCCAGATCTCAGGTGGAGACTCCATATGTTATGTACTGTAAGACTGCGCCATTCAAGGTACTAGATACCTTTGGTATATATGTTTTCTGAATCCATATGGTTTGAGTGACGTGAATGATGGGTGCGCAGTGTATTCGAGAATCTTCCTCCAGGAGAGAAGACATTGCTGAAAGAACTGAAAGAGACCCGAGAACGCCTAAAGGCATTGGATAAATCACCTGACAATGTTCTGACTGACGAGCAGATGTATCAAATTATTGGTGAGAACCTGGTGTTGAATGAGCTTTGATTTGCTTTCGTTACGACCTTTATGTGGGAGCAATACATTTGAAGTAAGTAATTATATTCTGTGCAAGGAACCGGGTCTTTTTCTAGCAGTACATTAGCAGACTTTGAGCAATATATCATATGCGACCCTGTCTAACTTGGGATCCCATTTTAGAGAAAATCGGCGGCCAGAATGCTGGAGACGGAACGAAGGTACCTGCGGTCGAAAGCACCCCTCTAAAGGCTCGTACAGGTACAGACTCGTAGTTCCTTCTGAACATGGATTGCGGTGTCCAAAAACTTTCAAACGGCTACTAAAAGCTACCATACATTCTTGCCTTTCTTGCCATCTCTATACGTTTGTTAATGTTTTCATCAGTTCACTTCTTCTGAATATCTGCAGGGAGGAGAAGAGCATCAAATAATTCTCGAAATTCCTCACGTACTTTAACTCCAGTCCCTCCTTCTACCCGAACACTGCGAACGAGACCGGAAACGCTCTCGCGCCTCGCAAAGACACAGGCTCTTAAAAACCAGTCTGCAGCAAAAGTCTCCAGGAAGGATCTAGATTCCTTGTACGAGAGTGCTAGTTCAGACCTTTACTCGGATACCACAACTGCGTCAAGCTCCGGTAGTGAGTTCGAGGTACGTAAAGATAGTCGTTCGAAAGCTAAAGCCTCGTCAAAAGACAGTGGAGGACTAGCAGCATCAAATCGGATGCCACGAGCTTCTATAGATTCAGATTCAGCTACAAGCGCTTGTTATAATGGTTATCAATCGAAGCCGGCGGGCTTTACCAGTGTAGACAGAATTGTTAGTGAAGGCGAAGAAGGGGAGGACGAAGCAAGCCCTCTACAAGCGGAAAAGAGGATTCGACAACCTGGTGGAGTCTCACGGATGAGGAAGCTTGAAATGGAGAGAGATTCGCCCCCTATTCTCTCACATACTGGTATCGAAGGCGCATCACGGGAGCAGTTACCCGGTGGATCTGGTGCCGTCTCTGAGCGACCCCGAGACATTAGGAGCGACGAAGCAGCACACGCTTGCACCAAACATGAGTCAGTGCCCACAAGACGAGGGAAAAGTAGCAAGCCTCGGAACTCTGTCGAATGTGCTGAAATGGGGGCATGTAATGCAGCAGTTGCCACATCCAGTCTTCCCATGGCTAAGACCATACCGGGCAAATGGAATAGCTCAGCTCAAAGGAATATGCGCCAAACTCCCAGAAATGGACCTTTGGCACCCAATATTACGAACAAGTCAAGCGTATTGAGCAGCTCCTTCGAAACAGACGACGGTTCCTCCGAGTTCGAGGCTGTGACTCCCAAAAGGCTTTCACAGGTTCTTTAGAGGTGTCTCATTATCCTTAGCTTGGTCTTATCTGACTAAAGCGAGTGTACATCATTGTCTACCAAATCTACGTCTAGTCTCGGATGAGCCGACAGGAAGGTGGTCATATGAGTAGATGTTGTCCTCAGGTCTAGATCCTAATCCAGGCAATTTCTGCAAACTCTCAGTAGCTTCCTTCGCAGGTGTTCTGTATGGTTGGATATCCTAGTGCGGAATGGTGTGGCCCGCCTAAAGCTTTAGCCTATAGAGTGTGCAGACTTTCCCCCTCATGTCGCCTTTGACTTAGAAGTGTAATATACTTGCCTTTTCTTTCTGGTATTTACATCTTGTACGGTCCCGTGTCCTCAAATGAATGAACTGGGTTTGTTTACAAAAGGAATTATGTAGCGTGTGTTGCATGCTGTCTATGAAACTCGAATTACGGCATGCAGACTGCAGCAAGCTCTTAGATGTGAGATCTGGATAACATCTCGTGCAAGGCGAGAGTGAGATGATTGTGACGACAAGAATGTCTGGGAAGCTGAATCATTTAGTTTACAGTGAATATATGAAGTAATCATGATTTCCAAGTCAGTGAAAGACAACCATATACTGATTCACAGTGTGTACATTGCATCCATTTCACGTGAACTTGGTGTCAGAGTCCTCGATGTCTTTCCCAAGCTACAGAATTATTTATGCAATGTGGTTTCCCACTAGTCCGCTCACGGTTTTGGTGTCAAAACTGTGGGTACTTAGAACAAATGCGTACTGACGCTCTAGCCTTTCAGAACCCATCTGAATAAGGGCCGGTTTTCAGTAAGCAGAAACTGTGGGCTCTTGAAGACTAGGCTTTAGCCCGAGTAGTCTGTAAGCTCAACCTCCGGAGCCCAACTACCAATGACAGGTTACCACCGTAAGGTATTTTTGCCTGGTCTGAATTCGAAAGCTCTGCATCGATCTTCTGAAGGTAGTAGGTGCCATGGGTATACATATAATATGCCCTGCTAATTTCAGCCTGCAAACTTTTCTGTTATGGTTGTCATGGATACGACGTGAATAGCCGTCCGAGAGTTGCTTTTTCAACTCTCGGACGACGGGTTTTACCATTCCGAAAAGTCTGTGATCATGGCCAAAGGTAACTGTAAAACGGTAAAATTTTAAGGTGCTGCATTCCGGCCCTGAGTTCCATGATGATGTGCATTTACTGACTCGTAGTTTCTTGCATCAGAAAAGACATCAGCGTCCAGTTTCAAGCGTTTGGAGGAGTCTCTTACAGCAGTCTTGGCAGTTCTTTAGCCTGAAGGAGTTTGATCTCGAGTTAGACTACAGGTAGACAGTCAGGTCATAGGCCGTCCATATCCTTGAATCTTGGATGTCCGTGTCATAGACTAGCTTTACTGTCACTCCCTGTCTTCCTGTCTACGATTTCGTGGATCTCTTTTAGCCAAGTACTCCATTGTAATCAGAATGGATTATTGGAGCAACTGGAGGACGCTGTACGGCCTTGTTCTGCACGAGTGGCGTAGATTTCTGGACGAGAGAAGAATTTTTATTATAACCTGGGAGACTACAGGTGACTCCATACTTCCTGGATAGAAGGATTTGGTACGTACCCCGAGCCCACCTAAGCATTCCAATTCTCCAAAGCGCTCGAGCTCAGAATCTGCCTCCTTCCTCAGACATTTCTCCGGAATTTCAATTCCAATACCTTTTTGTAACTGAACTCTCTCACCGTTTCCACCATATCTGGCTCTTGCCTCGATTGCTTCACAAAGTCCAAGTAGCTCCTTTGGTACTTGTGGCATCTGTAGAGCGAACTTTGTACCTTGACGAGGCCGAAGAGAAGTGTTTATAATGAGTGTCGAGAGGCTCTCGTGCAGTCCAGCCGTCTCTGTGCAAATACTTGTAAGTTCAGGAAAGTGGAAAGGGAAAAGTGGTGCAGGTGTCAACTCTAATCGGACTCAGTAAGGTAGAAATTACCGTGGACTTGTTCCGGAGTACGTCACAGATTGTTAGCTTTCGCCCCATGCAAGGCATGACGGAGGTACCTGGTACTAGCCTTGTCCGTAGACCCCTTTACAGTGTTCGACTTATGAATGAACTCTATCTTCTCTGCTGTCGCCACTCACTTTCATTGAGAACTGTTGCACATCTTTAGTAAGCAGTCTACACTTTGTAGATTGCCATGTCTAGTAGCTATCTAGCCCTGGCTGCCAGAGATCTGATCACCTCGTCGTTGTTCAGCGGCTGCCACTCTGTGAGGCAATGGTCGAAGTTCCGCTCCAGAAGGCCTATCTACTGAGATCTCAGGACATGGTACGATCTCTTTCTGATTTGTTCCATATATGTTTATATACTTCGATGTGTGGGTGCCACGTTCCTTCCATGCCAACCCAATCCACTTCGTAATGCTCCACCAGGGTCGGTGGCCGTAGTAAAGTGCTTTCCATACTTCACTCTGACGACAAATTTGTCGGATTGAGATCATCTTACCGTAGTAACAAGCTGTCGTTCATCTTCCCTCGAGCAGTGAAGTTGCAACGGACAACACAAACCATGGATAAGGTGATTACGCTGCAATTACAAAGATGTTCCATGGCTTCCTTGGTTTTGATCTTTGAGTACTTTGGATGATCACCTTCTCTGCCATGTTTGGAAATAGTCAAATCGATTTGCAGAAACTTTCCTGGGCTTGCATGAATTGCCTGGTTTCAAAAGAACAATTCCGCAACTTTCTGAGTGGTCGTGATTTTTCCAGTCTGTTCAAATGCCGCCTGATTCCATGAGGTCATAGATGGGCAAGCAAGCACTTCACGAGTCTAAGAGTTCTCCAAAGACTTGGTCGTTGGTTAATCTGTACCGTTATTTCAAGCACAAGGTTGTCGGCCTTTTGACACCCGAAGTTGCCGCGAGAGTACGGCGTGACAAGCAGTGCACAATTGAGATACACTCCCAGCGACTGGGCACAAGCGTCCAACCCTGCCACAACGTCTTGTCTTATTGGCGTAGGATCTCTCCAAAGCAGTGTGGGAAATTTCTGTTCCCTCGGATGCCTGTACGACCAACAATCGGAGAGTACCGGTCTGCGATTGTCGTACTCCATGACTTTGCTGCGTTAAGGTTGTGGAGAGAATACATTCATAACACTTAGAAATCATTGTAAGTCTGCTTGTGACTTTACAGAAAACAGGATGGACTCAGTTATGAAGTCATGCCCATGCATGAAACCAAGGTCTTATAGTACGCAGAGTAACGTATGTGTTCTTCGTGCAGTCATTAGCTTGCGTTCTGATCGTACCGGAGAAGTCTATTTTCTTCAATGTCCACATACGTGATTCTCTTATTCTTGTCCGGTGATGGTAGTTTCTCAATTGAATCCATTCCCAGACATAAGTGCGATTGGTACGCGTAATATGGGCCACTCATCTTCAGTTCTGTCCACATAGATGAAACCCATGAAGACACCTCCTACTCGTTGCGAATTAGAGACTTGTGCATTTCAAGGAAAGTATCGTACGCGGTAATGATCCATTTGAAGTCCTAACATATGAGCTGGTGCCTGCAATGACGAGTACAGTCGCCACCCACAATCGGAATCATTTCTCATCGATTAAACCACTCAATTCACTTCTGGAGTAGTTATGATCAAAATTGACCCAGACAGTGGTTAAACAGACGATACTTCCATATTTCATATGATAATTACATCGTGTGCTCGGTGGCAACATGGCGCATATTCCCACAGCTCTGGAATGGTAAGATTCTTCTGACTGTGGAAGTCAAGAGGGATAACAGATAAGCACACTGATAGCATGCGATGAATTACTACGTCAACACCATCAGCGTACAAGGGGAGGAATCGCCATACTCTGAGGTGTGCTATAGCACACGCTTACTTCGTAAAACCACGTAGGCAGAAGATGACTTTTATTTTGTCTGGTCTGTCAACAAGGTTTTCAGGAGTATGAACGTATCATATTTTGAAGTAGAACTCTAAAATACGTTCTTGTCTACACAAAAGTTCGACTACGAACCATAGATTGATACGATCTCCTGAAGAAACACAGAGTATCATCCAGTCTATCACAATTCCACGCTATAAATTGTACATGAATGCTGCTCTTCGGTGCTTTATTTCAATTCTTCTCTTAATAAACTATTTCATCTACCACACGGTTTCATGTAGCTATGAAATCAATTGTCGTGAACTGTCAATAATGACGGCCAAAATTGTAGCTCATCTCTGCTTTTCTTGAGCTGCTCGTGGTATGACTACAAAGAATTACTTCACACATCCGCAACGAGCAGAGAGCTTGTAAGAGATATCTGCATCCAACGACCACCATTGAAAATCAGATCCAGCTGCGACAGTCTACGAAGAAGTAGGTCTCCTCTGTTTCCGGCAATCAAGGAAGAAGAAAGACTGCTCAAAGAATCAGGTCAAGGGTTACTTTTTAATTTATTTTATTTTAAATCCTGATGTTGGACTTCAATCATGTGTGCAGGATACTCAACAGGATAATAATGCAAGAAAGACGTAACTAACCTTCTCGCCGAGCTTGAATGGAGGTAATCCTTTGTAGGGACAAGAATTACAGCGGAAAGCGTCACCTAGTCCACACTGCAGCAAATAGCATGATCTCATAGTCAGATATTTGTTCCACCTTCAACTCTCAACATGAGCACACGTCTGGCGCTATCTCCCTACGCCAAATCACACAAGAAACAGCCTGGAAAGAGAGCAGGAGTGTCTCAAGAAGAGGATGATACAGCCAGGAGCACGAAAGTACGATCTACTCGAACTCCGGCCAAGTACATTAGTTTCAAGGTGATTACATAGCACCACGCTGAAGTTCTAAGAAAAAAATAGAGATTTTTTATTTATTTTCAGCTAAGCTCTGTGAAAGCAATAATGCTAGATCAAATACTTACGCTTCCACAAGCTGATTCCGGGTTGTTGATTTGGCCAAGAGTAAGCTTGGTCTCCGGCTGGGCTTCTTGAGCTTCTTCAATTTCGGCTCGGCCACAAGTGCAGTTCTTGCATGCCTTCTTTCCGGTAGTCCCTACTTCGCAATCGTCATCTGAAACACGAACCCATATCGATCAGGACAGTATTCTCCAGAGGAACTTATGGTGCAAAAGGCATTATCGAAACACTGCTCCTGCTAAACGAGGGCACAATCTACCAAGTAACTTCATGAAATTATCGTCACGCTAACCAACCTGCTGAAGGTTCTGGCTTCTTCAAATCTTCTTCAGTGAGCAGAGCGTCCTCATCAACCAACTCGTCATTATCCAAATCCAAAGCTGGATCCTTCCAAGACACTACTCCATTCACTGCCGGAGTAACATTGATATTGAAGTCATTAACATCTGAAATCGTCACCTTCGGAGAGCCATTCATGTGAGCGCCATTTTCTGCAAATAAGAAAGTAGTTTAGCTAAGCAAACTCCCCTGAACACCCCCACCCCGCGCGATCACCTGTACGGGCTCGGCAGTGTAGTAAAGACTTGGGCAAGGAGTCATGACTTACCTTGCTTAACTACTGCCTTTTTCTTCAGAGAAAATGACGATCCAGTTTCCCATGTGGGCTTTTGTACTTGGAACTGCAAGAAAGTGACACCTACACGGGTTAGTTGGAGAAGATTGGTCAGGACGAGGTCATGTGCTTTGGAGCCTTGGCAAATCACATCAGAATAGACGACTCTCGCCTAGAGCTATATCTTTTCTTCCCACTTTGTTCGCGAAAGCAAATGAAGAGGGGCAACATTGTGACCCGAGAGCTCAGCTCCTTATAAAAGATACATACCGCTACTGGATTGAATAGAGGTCCAAGGCTAGCAAATGTTGATGCCAATCCGACTCCTTCAACGCACTCCACTGTAGTGGATCCGACAAAACCAGCGAGCAAAAGACTCCTTTGTAGCGCAGCCTGCGTCTGAACGACCACAGAGGACAGACCAAACTCCTGCAAGAGAAACAAATATGACGTCAAGTTTGTCAACGCTAATGAGAGAAGACGTGGAAACAGTTCGACTACTGAATCTTGGAATTCCTGTGGCAAGGCATGCCATGTCTACCAAAGATCAGGTCTAGCTACATAATTTCGACTGGGTTGTCGGTCCCGAAGAGTGCTTCAGCTCATTCTATGCCTTTCATTCGGCATTCAAACTGAAGACTGATCAGCGGGCCTGAAGAACGACAGCCACCGGCCTTGCGATTTGGAAATCCATAAGCCTTCCACTTGTCATCGACATTCTTAAACGCATCCAGCGAATTGTGCAAGGAAGGATGACCACAACTCAAATCAAAGATCCATCCAGAAGATTTTAAAAATATGAACATCTGAGCTGTGATTGAAGACGTTCACATTCATGTTGACATACGCAAGGCAGTGTGCTTGTAGCCACCGGCACACAGAGTCATGTCAGCACGAAGATCTAGGATAGTGACCGCGAAGATCAATGTACCGAACAGGTGGACTATGTGACTCGCATTCTTAGTAACATTGACAGAACGTCATCCTCCTACCTGCGCTTCCTCCGCTAATAGCTCCCTCGTTGCAAGTGGTTCCTGAACGATCAAAGTGCCTCCAGGCTTCAAAATTCGAGAAACCTCTCCGAGGCACAAGGACGAGTGGTGACCAGGAGTCTCAGCAAGGGAGACTACGACATCGACAGATGCAGAGTCGACCTGGAGCTTACCACCTGAAAAAAGGAAAACACGTAGAACAATCCACAGGGTTAGCATCGATGTCGTCCAGGAAATTCAAGCACATCTACTTCAAAAAAACCGAACGCGTGATGTGAACTACGTTCGGCCACCGCTTGCGCGCTGCTTCGAAAATCACAGGCCTCGACCGGAGCTGTGATGCGACGAGCAGAAACCCGAAGTCCGACACGAATGCTCGCGACCCATTCCGCAAGAATTCGACAACAGATCTCATTGCGTGAAGCTGAAAGGGGGGAAAATTATTTCCACGAGAAAGAGAGCGACGGACCGGCAGCAGCTGCCTGCGTGAGAATCGCCAAACCCTTGCCGGATGCGGTTTTCTCAGGAAACGCTTGCAGAGCCCAGACGACGACAGTGGCCGGCAGCACAGCTACATCCGTAACCAACACAACGGCTGCTGCGTCTCCACCCATGGCGCCAAATCTCAGCCCCGCGTCCACCACACACGATCGAACCCTGTGATACGCAAACCTGCCAAGGCCGCGACGAGGCCCGGACCACCACCACACCTCTCGATCAACAACAAACCTCTCGACGACAACGAGCACGACGATAGGGTACAGAGAAAAATCCGCCCGCCACACTTCTTCCTCTTCTTCTCCACAAAAGCACCACAATGGAACACCTCCAACAATGAGATCTCCGCGTCGTCGAAAATTCTGCGCCCGAGTTTTATCCTCTCCCTTCCCTTCCCTTCCCTTCCCTTCCCTGGGCTTCGTTCGCTTTCTCTTCGTCTTCGTGGGCACTGCCTGCTGCTTCTACACAGAACTGGCGACAAAATCGTACAGGCAGCGGGAGGGGGGGCGGAGGGGGGCGCGGGGGGCGCGGGTGGGGGCCGGACAGGACACGCTCCAAACCTCGTCTTCCTTTCCGCTCGGTGTCCAGTGCCTATGAGCCGAAATCGCCTTTTATACTCCCGCCCTCGCTCCCGCTCCTCCGTCTCGGCCACCGATGCTTCCGGTGCCCCGTCTGTCCTGCCCTCGTGTTCGGCGTGCGTCCGGTGCTCCGTCGTCCCCAGCCTAGGGTTATCGCACTGAATGATGACCGTGATCCGGTTGTCTCCGTCCCCTCTCCGGTACTCGGTACTCCGATCCGACTCATCTCTGTCGGAGACGTACGTCCTCCTCCTGCTCCTGCTCCTCCTCCTCCGTCCGCGCCGACCGGAACCTGCTGCCTCCGTCGGGGTCGACACCATTCTCGCATTCCTCGGCGCTTTTGCCGGTTCGGGTCCGGGTCCGGGATCGGGCACGGGCTGGCGGGGACTGGAGAGCGACGTGCGAGAGGAGGAGCGTCGCGGTGGCTGGCGCCGACCCGTGCTCGCAGCCCGCCAATTGTACGTCGTAGGCTCTGGCTGTTTAATGTCCGGCTACCGCACCCGTGATTTCGCCCGCGATTCCTGCTAATTATTTCTGCTTTGGCGCGTCTCTCGAGCCTTGCTCCGCTCCTCCGGCGTGAGATTCTCCCGCACTGCGCTCTCTGCGAAGCTCGTTCCTCGTTCACGTCTGCGCTTTTCCCTTCGGTCCGCGCTCGCTGTCCTAAAGTCAGTTACAGAAGATTCATGGGCAGTCGTTCTTTATTTCCCTGGAGACAGTACCATTCTCTAGGCCGATGTCATTATGAAGTCCTCATCATCTTTTCTCGGTTCCTTCGACCTCCTCGTACGTGCGCCTATCTCTCATGCACCTTGTTGTCCCTTCCATCCACAACTCTATAAGTGTGCTCTTTAATTCTTCCTTTTCTTTGTCAGATTTTATCGTTTAATCATTGTTTCTAAGTTTCCTTCCAAAGTTCCGAAGAATGGAATGATACCAGGCCAGCACTTTCCGATTGTCTGGTCAATCATCGTTAGGTACGTACTACGTAAAGATCAAGTGGACAAGAGGGATCTTCGTTTTGCGAAACACAGAATTGGGCCAGTTTGGACCCGAGACCTAATGCAATTGCAGACAATAATATGAATTCGTAATACGAAGAAGTCGCCGAAAACCATTTTGTAAAAGTGTCTCACTTTTTATCAGGTCCAATCTATAGAGTTGATAAAATCATAAAACTACAAATGTGTCATACCGCATCTTGAGTCATCATAAAAATGGACTAAATTTAATGATATATATATATATATATAAATAATGTGTTTATTTTGGACTAAAAGTTGTTGTGTAGACAGTCGATACATTGAGCTAGTGTAATTTACAAAACTGTACTCAAGAGATTATATATTATGATTATTTGAAGCATTTTTAAATCATATTATTTAAAACTATTATTTTTTATTTTCACATGTCCATTAAAATAAATGAATTAAACAAAGATAATAGACATTCATATTTCGTTTCCTGTATTTGAAGAAAAGTTGTAATATGTGAAAGAATCACAAATTAAAGTTCTAAAAATGATATACATTACATTATTTTCTATTCAACATCAAACCCATGACACTCGACTTAGATAATTTGGATTTGCTGCTTGGTCTATTGTATAGTGAGTGTAAAACCATTGGATACTGACCCATGTTTAATCCGCGTGCGTTCGTACAATTTTCTGTATCTAATTTGTACCCTGGTATCGCGATGATCACCGATGTCAAGATGCCACGTCAGACAAAGACATCGGGCATATTGATCTCGGAAACCGTCACCAAGAGATCGGCGCTCCTGCTCCTTCGACAGTCGACACCTGCAGCATCCGTCGATCCACTTCCGAAAACGGCCCGATCGACGGTCCGAACTACTCTCTCTGACCTCCTCCCTTCAGAGTGACACCTGTCCAGATAACTTCCGACAATACCTGCAGCCTGAATCGACCGGGACATTCTACGATACAACTGTCAGTGACTGCGCGCAGTCGGAAGCCGGGTTACGCAGTTCCCTCGATGGTCGAGGGGGGCGGACGCGGTCGGGGCTTTACCCGAGTCAGGATAGAGTTCGATAGACCCCTATCAGCAAGTCCAGCAGAGATCGGGGGCAAACCAATGGGTTGGAGGGAGTGCGGGTTGGGAGATAACCGAAGACCGGGTGAGGAGAGATAACGGAACGGGTGGCCGTGAGCGAAAAGACGGGGCTTTAGGAACGTCGGGCTCTTACAAGATTAGGTACAGAGAGGCCAAGAAAGAGGTAGGGTTGAGGGTAGGTGAAGGCAGGCACGTAGTGGCCGCGCGTCGACCTGCGCCAGACGTATGCGCAGAGGGCTCTTGACTGCCACTTGGAGGTTTGCAGGCTAGATGGCACTCTGACATGTCTGCCACTACGATCGGCAGGGACTACGTGGAGATTCCACGTCAGAATCCACGCGCAAAGAGCCATTCCACCACGCCGGAGGCGTATGCCTACCACGAATGCCAGTTCATGGGACCGGCTCATGATTATTCCGGCTTCTCCCTCACATGATGCATGAGCTCCCATGTCATGTGCGCCCTCTCACCGGGAACCCTCCCAAGTCTTCCCGGGCTGATCCAGATACTCCCCGCCGTCGGCCCCCTTCCGACCATCCCCGTCACGGGACCTCTTAACTCGACGTCGCCGAGGCGGCGCCACAGCCTCGGGCCCAGGCGCTCACAGAGGGAACGGAGCAGTTCGCACGTCGACCACAAGTCCAGGCCCGACCATTTCCGGGTTCGGGCCAGCTCCCAGCCTTGCTATGGAGACCGGAAGGCGGGTCCCAAGGCCGAGGAATGTTGAAGCGACCACCGGAGTACCGCAGTCGATCATCGAAGATCAACTTTGTCTTGTCTGTGGAATTTCATCTGTAGAATGCTCACATGAAATAATAAAATTCACAAATATAATTAAAGGATTTCTTGACGTACGAGCGGGTCACGGGGGACCAGTGTCGATCGAATATATTTGCATGTTGTCCGGTTTGGAGTTGGACCGGAGCGCACATCCGGACTCGCTAAATCGCGCGATTATGGCACCATTATGCCTACGATTAGTTTGTATTAGGCCTTCGCAATTAACGGCTTTCATCCTTTATCTCATCTGGGGAATTTATGCAACGAATCCCTCCTCTTCTCGAACTGCTTTGTCGAATGGATGCCGAAGGGTGGCGAAGTTGGAATGATTAAGACTCGCTAATCTGGTCGTTAATCCGTCGGGAATGATCTACACGGGTGAACTGGGAAACCCATCATTGGCCTGGGAAATCAAGAGCCCAAGAGACCGAGTCCGCGGCTGAGTCAGCGTTCGCAACGTCCTCCTCCTACTTCTTGGGAGCAGTACTATCCTCTTACTTCTGTCGTGGGCGACGGGCTCCGGCCTCACTTCGTCCGCCCCTGCTCCTGCTTCGGTGAAGGTGCCGCCACTCTTCAGATTCTGGACACCGATTTTTGGCATACCTTGGGAGGATTTGGTCTGCGCGTTGCGCCTCTCGCCACATCTTGACAGCTTTTCAGGTCTGCGATGAGACTCACCCCGCCAAAAGGTCGATCGGTTCTACAAAACCTGACCTCTAGAGTGGATTTTGTTCCTGATTTGCCAAAGGTTTCGCTGAGTTCGGATGCGGCTGTTGTGGCCAGCAACCGTCATGTCTAACAAGAATGAGCCATAACAGTGTAATATTGTAGATGAAAATGCTGGCTGGTGGTGACAATTTGTTCATTACGCGAAAATTCTCGTTCACTCTTTCCGTTTTGTCCTTGATCATAGTTGAGCTATATCTATGATGCTAAACGACATACACCGGTCAAAGCCATCGATACTATTCAAAGATTCTCACCCAAACAACCAAGGCTCTCAATGTTGCAATGAGTTCGCTATTCTAATCTTTTCAAGAAAGTGTAAGTTATTTACATTTACAGTTCATTGTGCCCTCGTAGTTTGCTCATCAAAATACTATTTGAAGAATTTCTTTCGCTACATTGGATCTTGGCATAAAAAACGTCGATATCCAATGAACTTGATTTTGATGACAATACTCTTATTTAAATACAGCCGCATTGCCAAACAAGACCACATCTGGTCTTGGATATAACATCTTCATACCTTGAAAATTCTATTGATTATACTCCAGCGCAAAGACTTACAACACTTTTACCCGCGGCCCAGGGCCTTCCAACATATATTCATACAGATGTCAACCTTGTTCAGATTACGTCGGATTCCTCTCCTGGTGCGTAACCAGGCATGTCTCTTTTCTACTCATAGCTTTTCCTCAATAGATTACGGCGATCTTGAAATCGAGAGAGCTTGGAGATTGCTGATTCTCACTCCGTGAAGTTCGCCTACCAGAACACACCATATCCAGAGAAGCTGCGTTGGGGTCTTAGATTAAAACAAGTCCTTCGCATTGGTCCATAGACACTCGCTCTCGCAAGAGTCTTAGGCATCGACAAGCTCTTCGAAAGAAGACAAAAGTCCTTGCACCAGTCCTACATTTGATCAAGGTCTCCTGCCCGAAGTCCTCTGGATGTGTGCTCCTGGTCTTCAAAGCCGCAGCTCGATTTTACGATCCAAACGCCTTGATGCGCACCTAGGTCGTTATCGAATCATATGGAAAATCATGGGAACAATGAAATATGGAGCCGAGTCCTCATGGAGACTTGAATCGCCTATACATGTATCGAATATAACTATATACACTTTAGAAGAACGTAGTTGTCATTTCGCGTATAGTAAAGTATAAGACAGTTTTCCATAGGACAAAATAAAGAATATTTTTATTGAATGTAGAATTAGTAATTATCGATATCTGTAAAAATATTCGAAGATAGAAAAAAAATTTGTTTGAGATTTCTAATATTGTCTATAACTCGGAGAGCAATGGCGGACCCGGAAACAAGATTCGTATGATACGATACGACCTGAAGGAACCGATTGCCGATCGAGGAAGTTGAGATGATGAGGGATGTGATGCGATGTCTCCTGCCTGAACTCTGAGCTCAAGAGAAGAGACGAGAAGAGAAGAGAGACAGAGTGAGAGGCTTGAACGTCCCTTCTGTCGAACTGGCTGACAATCGAGATCCGCTGATTGGGCAAGGGCAGGGTGGCACCTTCGCTGATCTCTAGGAAGAGAGTTGAGCTTCCAGAATCCGACCGAGCGCAGAGAATGAACCAGATGCGACTCACGTTCGTCGATGTCCGCGATTCTAGTACTGTACAGACCTGCAATTGAATGTCAAGAAGTCGGTACATGCTTGCCGCAGCCCATGAACATCATGGTCTTGTCATTTTTCGAGGCGAGAGAATTTTGCACACGCAGGACTGAAGATGCCACGCATCGATTCCTCCTTCGACGCATTCGCCTCCTTGCTGACTAGGACGTGAACTGTGCTTTTGCTTGTAAATAGAACAAATAACTTCTTCTTCTTCTTCTGTCTTCTCTGTCAGAATTTCAAGGACAAGATCGAACATTGTAGTTGTGCGAACAATGTGCAGTTCTCGAACGGGACAATGAACATCAGCTTTACTTACCTCCTCTGTCAGTTGAGTCAACCGGTCGAAATAAGCGGAGTGCAGCTATAATGCTTGAAAAACAAGTTTCAAATTCTTGGCCTTATTGGAGGCTGATTTATCTAGAATTAGATCGGTCAATATAGGGCTGTTTGGACAAGACATGGTTCGAGAACTGGAGTTCCTGACCTCTAATTCCTCGCCTTTGTCCCATTGCAGACGGTGGACGGGTTACCACTAGAAGAGCTCCTCGTGCGTCAACATTTCCTTGATACTGCGTTATTGGTAGAAGAAGATTCACACACGGTTGTCTTCGACGTTTGGATCTAGCAGATTTGTCCATTAAGCAAATCACATGCCAATCCATCAATTCATTATCTGGAAAATCACAACTACAATTGGAGATTAAGACAATCAAGAGATTCGCTCCACTGTTTGTTCCTTATGTGACAAAATTAGCATGACAGGTCGTGGAGCTCCTAGCCTGACGAGTTAAAAAGGGACCCTCGGAGAATTAGGACCATCTTTCTTTATCATACCTGACTTATACATATGGTCACCGAAGTCATGTTCACATCCTCGGCATGTTCACATTCAGTGCTTTCCTGGTTCTTGGATTTCCTTTTTCATTCTTGGGAAAAAAGCATGCGCTTTACTCTGTTCAATGACAAATCATTGTCCTAAGTTCTGTCTTTTCAGCACATTGTACCAGCAAATGATCAACAGAATCTTGGTTGGGACGAATACAGGATCACAGAGAAGGAGCAAAATTGCTACAAGACTGGCTCGGGCTATGGCTAGAAACCCCATTCAAGAAGCTCACCGTCTCTGCCTCTTCAGCTCAGGGTATCAACGGGCAGCGAGGGAACGAGGTATACATATACTACAACAGTGTTACAGATAATACTACAACAACAACAGTATCAGAACCGAGATTGAAACTTCTCTTACATATTCTCAAAATTGGAGCCCAGAAATGAGTCATTCAGACCATCTTGTAGTGAGTAAATAGTCGAGCCAAGTGCGATCCCAGTTCGAGGTAGAGACCCATGCGACCAAAATGAACCATTTTGCAATATAATAAATGGTCAACCCCGGGGACCCAAAGGGTCAAAAGGCTGAAAAATACAATACAAACGAAAACCACAAACAAGTGAAAAGACTCCAAAGTCCAATACCTAACTAGTGCCAAGAGCACTGGAACGATAACTAATAATGTCACTAATATAACAACATAAATAAAAAAGAACTAACTGTAACAAAAAATAAAAATTCTTTACATCTATATTATGAGTCACTCTAATCTTTGCATATCTAGTGCAAGTAAGAAATACATGTTTTTCATCCTCAACTTCTCTTTCATCACATAGCTTACAAATAGGTTCTCTCTTATCAATATTAACCTAACATTCTTATTCAATTCCAAGCCTATGAGAACCAGTTCTATACCTAGTAATAATATGACGCAAGTACGTAGAGATTCTTGCAAGTAGTTATTCATGTTCACAATAAACAAGGATAGGAGTCACATGAAGTTGATAAAACTGCATCTTGGTGCCGCGCTTGCTCTAAATAATGTTCAGAAATTATTACTTTAAACTTTCACGTAATGCTATAGGTTGTAGGTCCCAGGGTATATGCAAGATGTTCCTCGAGTGGCTTGGATACTTAGGGTCAGAAGTCTTTCTAAGTACTCGTCCGCAAGCATGGCCTTTGAAAGCCACGACTCAAATACGATTGCAGTCGAATCTCGTTTTATAGGAATGTCGTCCAATTTGAAAACTGTCTGTTGGCCTGTGGGAGTGACATGACATTCACACGATGGTTCGCATCCAATTCCCGCCCTTCCATCTGCGCGCCCCAGATTTGCGTACGATTCTGACCAAGGTCTCTGCGTAAATACGAAGACTTACTCTCGAACGGAAGCAACGGTACTTCAGTACGTACGTACGTAGCTCATACGACGACTCTCGTGCATGGCCACAGCTGACAGCCTCGACTCCGTCCGCAGTCGGTCAGATGTCTGGGCCAGCGGACGCAGTCACAGTCGTGGTTGGCTCGGCCGGAGAACGCGACTCGGGTTCCTCTTCTCGTCTCGTCGGGAGCATCGCCGCGGTACGGACTGACTGACGGACTCTACGTGGTTCAGAGGACGGTTGGATCGCCACCTGCCTCGCAGCAGCTCCAGCATCTGACCGACCGACTGACTGACGGACTCTGACTTGCAACCTGGTTCATCGAAACTGCGACGTGTAGATGCCAGGAGGAAAATGTGCATGGCGCTCTGACCAACTCTGCTATCTGCTCTGACGTGGCTGACCCCGTGCAGCAGACCGGGTTTCAATGCACGAGAGCAGTGGTCGCTAAGCTTTCGGGGTCTGCAATTGGTGGACTCGGTTTGTGGCGGACCCGGAAGAAGCTCGGCCATCTGAAAAACAATTGACATTTGGAGGATGGCTGATGTTTGTCTTCTTCTCGAAGCGCTCGAGGATGCGTTTCGAGTACTGTAGTATATATTGACGGAGAGCCAACGGCTGACGATTTTGCTCTGGAGAACAGATCGGCAGGTCTGTCTGAGCCACATGCTGTTGCTTCGATTCGATGGGCGGCTCGCTGTGGCTGTGGGCCGACAGGCGCACTCGCGAGTCCGTGGCCTTATGCGCAGTCCAGAATAATAATCGTTCATACAGCCCTGACATTGCTCGTGAAGGTCCCCCCCATTCCCTCGTTGTTGCTGAAGAACTCGGACTCGGGTGGTCACCCACTCACCCGTTGACCAAAACGTGCTCTCTGTGACTCTGTCGACCTCCCCACTTCCGCCTTCTTATGAATTCTGTCTCATGGCTAAGCATCCTCTGCGCTGTAGCGTCCCAGTACTCGTCTTCGAGTCCACTGCACAGCAACTCCATGTGGCCGACGAAGTACAAGAGTTAGAGAGAGCATGTGTCCTCGGGAGGATGAATCTAATGATTCTCGTTCGATGTCGTTGGCCTCCTTCAATCTTCGAGGATCTTGTACCTCTCTTTCATCTGCTCCGTCACTCTGCTCCCACTAACCCATGATCATTCATCTTTGTGCCGATCCACAAACATGAAGTATTTGAGTATGAGCCGGGACTTGCCTGCAGAATTGCACTGCATGAGTATCAGAAACAACAATGAGTGTCTTCACTACGACGACTACAAGGAAGCCGGGAAAGATGTGAACTCATCATTTCATCATAAAACACGGCGACCTTTTCGAGGCTCATTCTGCTTATAATACAAGCTTGCCAAGAAAGTGAACATTCTTCAATTACTTCATATCTGAAGTTAACTGAATTTTGCTAATGGGTGCCATCTAAGCAACAATCTGATTGCCATCTTGATGCGGGTGTAGGACAAATGTGTCCATTTATGTCTCTATACAACGTCAACCAGAGGAATGGTGTCATGATACCGAGGTACCAAATGTAGAAGAATGCAAAAAACTTCATCTTCCATGGTGTGCATGGCATGGCAGGGTTCTGGAACATCGAGAACTTCTGACACCGATTGCAATCGTCACACTAAAGATGTTTGAACAATCGCAACAGATCAAACGAAGATCCAACTGCAAGGCGAGAAGTCTAACAGGCATGAAAAAATTCAGTGAAGTGAAACTGTATGGAGAGAGAGAACTCTGTGATCCATAGCTTGGGATGCTCCAAGGTTGGACGCTTCTTGCAGGTTTGTATGAATCTGGAGGAGTCTTGAGAACGGCTCCTGGAAACCAAACAGACCAGCGTGAGCTATTTCCTGGTGCTGGGGATAAGAGCCGACGAGACGAGCATTTGCTAAATAAGGGACGCATGATGATTCGTTGCCAGCACATGCTCTCCATCGAACGAATGTATCTCGCCAGATTTGATTGTTTTGTTTTTTTATTACTCCACCGTGACCAGACAACATCCTTGACACACAGGAGACTCACGGATTCTGCTGAGTCGATACTCCGGGGTATGAGAAGCAAAATAGCTTGCACTTGGCCTACTTACTCGCTCGAAAGAGTAAGGTCACATGTCTTCCTCCATCTGGCAATCCTTCGATAGTATGTGAAAAGTGCAAGTTAGAAGGGATCCAACGAAATTTCCGGGACTGGGAATGTCGTCCTCATGCTTTCGATACTAGCTTGACAACCACGAACGTGTTGATTGACTTGCACTGAGTGATGTGCATTAGCCCTGGACAGATGTGTTTGTGCCCCCAACTGGCAGCGAAGAATTCCCATTCATGCAAGACCACATTCGCAGGCACGTCTTGTTTGCCAAGGTTTTGTCGGTCAGACGATGACCTCAACGCCAACAATCGCTTCGTTTCGGCTTCGAGTGTACTTGCAAGCGTTCAGCTGTTGCAGCATAGTAGCATGCAGTGTGCTGGTTTGAGAATCTAGTAGTCTGGAAGGTAATCAGAACAATCAGCTCAGGGAGGGGGTTAGGCAGGGTTTTGGGTTTATGGCTTTATGGCTTTAAAGGAAAGATGAAGCGAATTTGATGACATCGCTCCGGACTGTGAATCTCGTCTACCTGAGCGCGTTGAGTGTGCTCTGAAAGGCAGTGAGACGCAGGGAGAATTGAAAGTAGAGGGCTTCAGAGGAGTCCCCTGTTCCTTTTACTGCAGAATGGTCACTTTGAGGAGCATGATCGAGGCCAATTTCTGCACGCAAATTAACCCTGAAGCTCAGAGAGCTCTGAAACCAAAGTGCAAGATTTCAAGCATTGGTTCGAGTTTCATGTCAGGAAATCAGCAGAGGATGAAAGAGGAGGTGAGGTTTTCTCGTCTCAAGGCCTCGGATAGAGTGGTGCATCATGTTCAGGCGGGCACGCGGCCGCCAGCGCACAACTCGCAGATGCACACTTTGGAGCTGCTACGCCAGGGGCTACTCGGGCAGCATCCTGAAGCGGCACAACTGAGGGAAGTGGCGGCCTTAGACCTGAATTGCCTCACAGAAGCTGCGGCAGAAGTTCGAGATCGTAGACAGCATGCTTCTATCGTCACGTTCTCGCCCAAAGTGTTCATTCCGCTGACCAGAGTGTGCAGAGATGTCTGCGGATATTGCACCTTCTCTCTGGGCCCCAAACCGGGTCAGGCCGTGTACCTTACCATCGAAGAGGTTTTAAACATTGCAAGAGCTGGTGCTGCAGCTGGCTGCTCCGAGGCTCTGTTCACTCTTGGGGACAAGCCCGAGCTTGTTTACCCGCAGGCCAAATTCGAGGTAAGTTTCGGGTAATCGGCCGCATTTTTATGACACTTTTCATCAAAACTATGTCGAGTTACATTTAGTGGTTCGCAAGTTTCCTCTTATTCCGACTAGAACTGAAATTTACAGTAAATTGTTTGATTGGCAATTCGACGATCCAGCTCAGTGACTGTAGCGTACTAAGTTTTATATGTTTCAGGAACTGAAAACATCTTTGCTTTTAGACGTCAGTGTTTTTACTTCATTCCTATAGATTTAATGGAAGTCTTCCATCCTTACTGCATCCTCGTTGTGCACATCGGGGGTTGATCATCAGACTGAGTATTGTTTGTCGTAGATATTATTATTTAGGTGCAATCATTCGGTTTAGACATAAATTCATGTGTATAATTGACTTGAGTGTGTTTTTTTAAGGTGTCACAATGAGATGCATAGCTTTCAAATCATCCAGCATTTGTTACAAGGTTTGTTCGGGCTTTAATTGCAGTCTAACTGAGCTTCTACTTTCTAAATTAATCGAACTTCATTTAGAGTGGAGATTGAAGTAGCGAGTATACTGAGATTTGATTTCTTCTACCGCAGCTTGCTGCTATGGGATATGCTACAACGATAGACTACGTTGCAGAAGCTGCCAGGTTAGTACTAGAAGAAACTGGTCTGCTTCCCCACATTAATGCAGGTGTCATGGAAAGAGATGATGTTGCAAAACTTCGGCGTTTCTCTGTAAGCCAGGGGCTAATGTTGGAGTCCATCTCGGAGAGGCTTATGGAGCCTGGTGGTCCGCATTTCAATTCTCCAGACAAAAACCCGGCAGCACGTCTTGCAACCATTGAAGCCGCTGGTAAACACGTCCGACATAATCTACTCCCCATGCTGGTCTAATCTTGCGTTGGGTATCCGAAAGGAGGACATTTTTGTGAATGAAACCAAAACCTGCGCAAATCTGAACATGGAATAGACCGAAAGTATTACGTTCAGTATTACGTTTAGGCAGTGAAGATAACTTGTGTAGCCACAGCTATATGATCTTTAAAGACAACAAAATTCTGTGGATGCAGGTGAGGAAAAAGTGCCTTTCACGTCTGGTCTATTGATCGGAATCGGTGAAACCCGAGAAGAGAGGCTGGACAGCTTGTTCGCCTTGCGTGAGCTTCATCTAAAGTATGGTCACATTCAAGAGCTTATAATACAGAATTTTCGTGCAAAAAAGGGAACGAGGATGGCGAATGCACCAGAACCACCTCTTGAGGAGTTGACGTGGACTGTTGCCATGGCGCGTTTGACGTTTGGCTCCGCAATGAGTATACAGGCGCCTCCAAATCTAACTCCCAACGTGTACGTATGATGCTGACTGAGTCAGGTGTATCCACCTGTATTCATGCCGGTACCTTTTAGTGCAGCTCTAAAGACGTTTGCAACCAGTTGCAGTATCTCTTCATCATTTTGATCTCATGCTCCCTTCACTTTGTTATGCCCTTCGTTCGATCCGTTGGTCTGAGTGAAGTAAGAGGGTTCACCGGGCTGCATTGCTCTCGCGAGTCTGGTTTGCAGGACACACCAGCATTTTATGGATCATGCTGTTATTGTATGACGCTCGAAGTTCTCCCAGAAAACCTCAGTGCAATTTATTAAGGGATTACACTAACACTGTATGTTACGGAACTTGGATCGTTACTAGTTTACTGAATCTGACAACAGAAAGTCTTGGTACACCTTCCAAAGTTGAGAACGTGTAGGATTAGACTCAGACATACACCTGCATGTTTGAACAGCCATTTAGAGGACGAAAGCAGCTGGAGGGCGCTGATCGCTTCAGGAATCAATGACTGGGGAGGCGTCTCACCTGTCACTATCGACTGGGTCAATCCAGAAGTAAGTTGGTGAAGTAACCCGTGCTTAAATATTCTTTTGTCAAACTGGTGATCAAACAGAAGTCTAATTTGTTTTTTGTTGTCCTCTTTGTGTCATAAGTCTTTTGCACTATTAGTAATCTGAACATTGGAACCGGCCTTCCTTCCCCCGTGGACAAAGTATACACTTGAAACCATTGTCCTCAACGAGCTCCTAATGTACATCACATTAGCATTCATCTGTTGCAGTAACTAATCACCGCAAGCGCTCGAAATCAGACGGAGCATCAAACTTGCATCTATTCTGATAATAATTGCTGGTGCTTGTGCAGGCCCCGTGGCCTCATCTTGAAACTCTTTCTGCAGCAACTTCGGAATCTGGAAAGTCGCTCGTGCCTCGTCTTCCACTCTACCCGGAGTATATCCGACAGGCTGCAACATGGGTGGTGCGTGGTCTACTTTAATCTAAAGGAGAAACATCAAGCTCTATCTTTTCACGCTGCTGTAGGATTTTCAGTCAAATAGCTGCAACAAGATCCTAAGTTGAGAATCTGTGCAAATGTAAGCTGCTGTGAGTCCTTTAAGTATTCAGACCTTCAAATTTCAATAATCCGCTAAACAGCGAGTTTCGTGCAGAAAGCTATTGGATTAGCCTTCAGGACACCATGGTAGTCTGAGTGGCGATACCGCGTTTTTAATATCTAATTTGTTCAGGAGCCATCTATTATGAAGTCGGTTCTCAGGAGCTCGAACAGCCTGGGCTATGCCCGTGCTGAGTCCTGGTCTCCAGGTATTGCCATGGACGAATCTACGATTGCATATTCTTATCAGGGGAGCGTTGCCGTAGAGAATGACGGCACAATGAAGGTTTCAAGGCCCACGACTGGGGGACTGCGTAAGTAGACCAAGACATAGTTTAGGAATCTTAAAGCATACTGATTCCATACGTTTCTGATCTGTAACTTCAAACTTTCATGAATCAAATATCTTCACCACTGTAAGTGATACACCTGATCTTTGATAGGATGTGGTTACCAGGGACAGGAAGTTCAGAAATTACTGAACTTGTCCAAAGGGCTCAGATCGGTGAACAACTTGCAGAGGTGGGTACAGTTTCTCGTGTTCTCAAATGAGCTTCGACTATTGTGATGAAGGTTGTGCCCTTTAGATCAGAGGTTTTCAGTACTAAATATCAATCAGTTCAGAAAAATAAATATGTTATGCTTCGAAAACAGGATTCAAGAAGCTATCGTTAAGTTTCATTATGCTCTTATGAGCGGCTTGCTGAACACCTGGTGCACTTGACCAATTCTGGTTTGGTCCTAATTCTTACTAGAGATCTAGCATTGCTGATCACTATATTGTTGATAGTGCTCCGGCTTTGACGCAGCCTTTTCTCGAAACAGGAAGTAGAGATGAAGCTACAAGAGAATTTATTGATTTAGTTACCCTTCAGAACTCTAAATTGTTGATAAAGAAGACAAATTACAATATAGTTGATCTATGAAGTTGCATGTTACGCAGTTAGAGATCACGAAACTACTGGAAGCTGTGGGACCAGATTTTGAGTACATTAGGAGTGCGGCTGATGCCTTGCGCAGTCGTGTCAACGGTGACGAGGTAAAGGAAAGATTGTGATTCTGCATCGTACCAGTTTTGACTATAATTTCCATAAAGCATCTGTCTGAAGAGTATAAACTAATCGAGAAAGGTAAGCAAAGAGCTTTTCTAATCGTATCATGAGGATTATTTGCTTAAGTATGAAAACTAAATCGAAGGGTTTTTTTTTATTTTCTTTTCGTTGCAGGTATCGTATGTTGTAAATCGCAACATCAATTACACCAATGTTTGCAGCTACAGATGTCAGTTCTGTGCTTTCAGGTGCATGTTATAACTTACCACTATCTTTTGCCCCGGTGTGAGCTCAAACTCAGAATCCATTACGTACTTCATGATTGTAGTTGCTACATTCTGCTATGCTTCTTATGGTGGCCACTGAACCAAAAGTACGAAGAATCTACTGTTCGGTGACCCTCCTTGCCCCGGTTGATTAGATCCACTTATAGTGATGAATTTTCCTGGATGCGAAGATGCGACACATGTGTCGGTGACAGTGTTCAGGTCAAAATATTGCTGATTCAGACAGAGGTTTCGTTTTCAAACTAGTTTCCACCCGTCAGCAATGTAAGGCTAGTAATTGTATCTTGTTCTGACCAGCAAAGGGAAGACTAATGAAGAGCTGCGAGGAAAGCCCTACAGGTATGTAACTTACTCTACTGAAACAGTTTGATTGCCCTCTACTGGAATTCTCGTCCTACTAATAATGAAGATTGGGGGACGCTTCCGTGAATAGACTGATATGTTGAGAGCACCAAGAGTACGACTGTTACAAACCTGGATCAACACCAGTCTTTTTCTCTGAATGTACAGACTTTCCTTGGAAGAAATAGCTCGCAGGTCTATCGAGGCATGGGAAAGAGGTGCCACTGAGGTCTGCATGCAGGTACTTGTCTTAAAGCGTACAGTTTCTGACGTATTGCAAGAACTTGAGCCCATTCGCTGTTTTCGCTGATGTAATGCCCTCTAGAGGCTTTTACGTAATCGACTCAAGTGACTTGCATACAGTAATCAGGTATCCTGGTCCGTAGTACGGGGATGCTAAGGTTTTGTTTCTGAACCTAAAGAGGTGACTATGGGCGCTTATACTACTGTCTGTACTTTCCGATCTTTCTACTCACGTATGTACGTGTGCTGTAGGGAGGGATTCACCCAGAATTCACCGGGGAGACCTACTTGGACATTCTAAATACTGTCAGGAAGGCTGCTCCGAAAATTCATGTTCATGCATTTTCACCTCTGGAAGTATTTCAAGGAGCTTCCACTCTCGGCATCAGGTACGGTCTGATTCCAGCAGGTTTATCAGCTTCGATCTGGTTTGGTCATCTGTGTCGACATTGATGTTAGCAATTGTAGAGCTAGACTCTGCATACTTCGCGTGATCTTGTGAAGTTGAGGGTGTTGACATCGTCACCCTCGTGTGCAGTTTGGAGGAATATTTGAAAGAGCTTAAGAAGGCTGGTTTAGGCTCGCTACCAGGCACTGCTGCAGAAGTAAGTACTTGGTGGGCATGCAGTTCGCAGTTCGCATCTTGTCATGAAATTCAATTGTAGTGACATACGCTTATGGACTTTTTGAGCTTGAGGTATCTCATCGCAGATGACTCTACACAGGTACTGGATGAAGAAGTTCGCAGTGTCCTCTGCCCAGACAAGATAAACACCAGACAATGGCTTGAGGTGAACAGAAGGCCTTCGTCTTCTCCCTTCTTACTAAGATCAATAGTAGTTCTTTGACTAATACGCAGGAAGTATGGTATTTCTAGCTATAGGATTAAATACTTGCTCTGCGCTAACTTTACAGCTTTCTTAGATTAACCTCAAAACTCTTGAAATCAGTTCCTTTCTTCTGCCTTTTAGGGACATTTGTCACATATCTAACCTGACGAAAGACGTGGGTGAAGATTATGGAGACCGCTCACAGTGTTGGACTACGGACTACCTCGACCATAATGTTTGGCCACCTTGATCGTCCTTACCACTGGTAAGTTGTGGTTTTCCGCCTCTTGACTTTCCACTGACAGTCACATACACAAAGAGAGCTGTCCTAGTAATGAGATGCTTTCGCCAGCTGCATAGAATTGTGATAGATAATGAAGATAGTAGGATTTGCAATACAAATCTCATAAATGGTACCGGTATTGTTCCAGGGCACGGCATCTCCTGCATGTGAGAAACCTACAGATGAGAACAGGCGGTTTTACAGAATTTGTCCCGCTGCCTTTCGTACACATGGAGGTTTGTGTCAGTCTTACTAGCTTGAATTAAATTCAACCTACATGAACACACTCGAAGTCGGTATTCGACATCAAGGTATTTGCTAATACAATTTTCTACTCGAGATCTTGTTGCTGCAGGCACCAGTCTTTCTAAAGGGAAGAGCTAGGAAGGGACCAACCATGCGAGACTGCATTATCATGCACTCGGTGGCGCGCCTTGTTCTTTACCCTCACATCACCAATATACAGGTAATAGATGTTCCTTTCCTTAATCCTAAATCTGTCATGTGCCTCAGGGATGTCTCGGGAACCTTAAACTTCTAGATCTCTTTGGTCTTCCGATCTACTTACCACCTCTGTCAGGACTCTCCTTTCCGCAAATGTGATCGTTGTCAATGTGTCAATGAACATGCCATTCACGATTTTCTCTAGCTTTCAAGTAAAGGATAAATATCATATCTCCAAACTCATGCATCTAGAACTGGCGCTTTCCATAAACCTCCTGCGGATGAAGGGGTGGGTCGATGGGTGTTGCATGCGTGCTACAGGTTAGTTCAGACGATGGAACGTGGGGTCCGAGCCTACTGACAAAGCTTAATTCGACGCAACTGTGCAGGCATCGTGGGTGAAGATGGGCCCTGGTGGTGTGAAAACCTTGCTGGCTGCGGGGTGCAACGACATGGGAGGCTCGCTCATGAATGAGAGTATCACTCGTGCAGCAGGCGCATCTTATGGTAAGCCCAATCAATGATTCATGGGGTTCAGTCGATTCGTCGACTGGATTCGGCGATGGCCGTAGAAAGCGCAAATCATCAAGGGGACTGTAATATTTCTCATTCGACCGCATTAATCTCGTTCGTTGTTCGTCAGGTGAAGAATTGCCGCCCCACGAGATGGAAAGGGTGATCCTCGCTTCGGGACGGAGACCTCGACAACGGACTACTTTATACGGCGAGGCTCCCGCAGAGCAAGCTCAGAGATCCTTCGGTGCCAAACCTCTCGTACCCATTCGATGACGTGGAGGAGCGAGTCAGATGTACAGCTGAACTGGACGTCTAGCGCCGCCACATGGACCGCAGTGACGACGCAGCCGCTTGGACAGATGTCTGTCGTCAGCGGGTGCTCAGGAGTCTTCCTCAGAAGGAGAAGGGGGTTCTCCGTGGGCCTCGAGCTCGTCAACCACCGAAGGAAGCTTCACTCAGATGACGCAAATTGTTGATTGCACAACTCCTGTTCATATCTTTACGATCCATACAACATGCGTTGCTCTGATGCGTCTTCTCGTCACGATTGTTTTCTGCTCTCATCACAACCGGAGTACGAGGAAGACATCTCTGCTCTCTTTCTGTTAATGTTGGTTTCATGTACGTATGCACTTGTCCGTACCGTTACTTCTCACATCACTTGTAGATGATACATCCAGATCGTCAAATTAGGATTGCAACATTGAGTTAATTGTATCTGTACCTGATATAATAATTTCCGAGTTCTCAATGGGTGAACATTCCTTGGACTACTTTAGTTAATGAATCTGGAAATGTTCTGTTAAGAAAAAAATAAAATTTCATAATACTTATACCTAATGATATATAAATGTGTACATAATCCTATGTTTATTTTTAAAGACGTAAAATATTAATATAGATAAAAATTAATACTTTATATCACGATATTTATGTATAATTTGTTAAAGCAATCTGGATAGTATATTGAACTAAAAGGATTTAATTTCTTTAATCTAACAAATTATCATTTAATATTGTATACTCACACATCCCCGTATGAATAAGATATAAATTGATAGTTTCAGATTATTGTATAATCAATATGCATTTCTCACTACCGTATCCGAAAGTCCTTAGTGTAACGAAATTTTTTCGTTTGCCCACCAATAAGTTTCCCTTCATCAATCTGCAACTCGCTGGAACCGGTGATTGCAATCTTGTCCATTCAGTTTAGAAGAGGTCCTGCGGACACGAAGAGCAAAAGCCGATTAAAGTATTTGGCCCACGAAACAACCCAGGTCACGGACCGGTTGTTCCTAGGGGCTGTAAGTCGGGTCAACTCGGGATAACTCATGATCTATTGAGTATAGCGCGGATAATCCGAACGAACAGTTTTACAAGCATATCGAACTTTCATCCGCATGAACGAGAAGACCCATGACACATCGTAGAAAAAACTGTGCGATCATCTGCTTGTTGCATACGATTCACATCCATTATTCCACGATAGACAAAGAGAGCGATGCACCTACTTCCCCATTTCGCGTCAGAATGTCACCCACTACCAGTTCGTGAGTAAGTAATTACACTATTCATGTTCCAAACTTGACGACCTGCTCACAGGACACATGTAGTCTCCACACATTCAAACCTTGATTCTTCAAGTCTTTAAGTGTTTGATCTGTTCCATGTAATTCGAAGCTAAAGAGAGGACTTACAAATCACCACGATGGATCCAGCAACTTGCCGGAACAACCCTTGTTAGATCCAGAATAGTAGTAACTGAACAATCCATCAACCACTCGACCAAGTAAATAGCCCAGAATATGAGCTGCAGAAAAGCACGGCTGTTGTCTAGTCACTCAATATTAGATGTCTACACGACTCACCAATGGTAATGTCCATGCGTCGGGGCCAACCACCTTTCATTACTCGAGTCACATCTCGTGCAGAGTTACACACTAGCCTAAATCCAGAAGCACTTCCCTTCAACTGCCTGACTGCTTCTGAGACTCCCTAATGAACAAACGCAAAGACATCAAATGAAAAATCAGGACCACAGGTATAAGGAGCCGGGAAGTGTCTGCATCGTGACTGGACGAGACATCCAAGGTCTATAAGGGAAAACTCAGAGATGCACCATTATGGTCAAACGAAACCTGCGCGGCGCAGTGCTCTTCTTCACCTGTATCGTAAACAACCCCAGCAAGACCTAGAGGAAAAGCTCTGACGATGGGGTAAAAGAGTCCATTGTCGGCATCCAATCGGAGAGCAGACTAGACCCCGAAACTCCGGAGCCATCCAATCATGAGAAGACGAAAAAAGACGAGATCGACATCATACACCCGTCCGTGATCATACTCAGGCAACAGCGACCTCCCTCGTACTTATACGCAAGAGGGAGGGCGTCCGTGGAAGAGTGAACCTTGTCGTGACCGCGACAGCAAAATTCACTCCAAGAATCTGTCACTTCTGTAAGGCGAACAAGATTTCACATGCGCTCTGCCAGATTCGCCCCGAAGAACAAGTTAGGTCGGACAGATTTTTCCGAGCCCCTGAAATTTGCTCGAGCATCGTCGTAGACTGGTGGAGATCGCACCCTTGGCACCCTCGACCCGTACCGACGGATGGCCTGGCCTTCGGGCCATATTAATTTATATAAAACAAGATGATACAGATTGAAGTTAAACATATACTTCTTCAGGAATAAAGAAAAAATTGCCTTCTTCAACAACTGAATATCTTGGTGACCTTTATGACCTTCTCCAGTAAATGGACCTTTCGGTTGTGGATCTTCAAAATTAGTATTTTGATTAGTCAAATCAAGCTGCTAATAAAGCAATAACTAATGGCCCTGATGCAACTATGAAATCAAGCTTCTAAATTTATTTTGGTTTGACTTCTCTGTTTTAAAAAAAAAAAATTAATTGTTATTAACAAAAATATTTTTTTAAAATACTTCCCATCGTCGATACCTCTGGGAGCCGGAACCCGAGAGGCTCCATCATCCTCCGACTGTGGTTGGTTGGTACGCGTCGTATGTTGATTTTGGTCACCCACCGTCTACATAGTACAGGACGGTGATTCATGAAGAGCAGACCCTAACATACCATTGAATATAATCAAATTGGATAAAACTTTTCTGCAATTTTCAAACAACTTCAGTGAATGTAAGTATAGTCCGTGTTGACAACCCTGGTTTGTGTCCATCTACTCCACTTTTTACAGTGCCGACAAGAATCATATGAAACTTGGAGTTTTTATGTCTTGCTAATGGCACATATATCACACTACAAAGTGTTCTTTAAATAATGAAAATATTATTTAAAAAAATATTGAATGATGTTTAAGTGTTTAATTTCATATCTATTTAGCTGAATCTTTATTGGGTTCATCTCTCACATTCATTCACCACAAGGATACATACTAGTCAGATTCATGTGCAATAAATCTGTAAATAATTTTTTATTTTCTATATATTTTTTATATATTATGAGAAGAATTGTACTAAATATAGAAAAATCTTGATCGTTTTACTTCTTTTGTTGAGATACCGACAGGCAATATGAAGACATTCTAACTTGGTTACTTTAAATTATTGCAAACTATATCATCTGCATGTATTTTGAGATAATTCTAATTCCATACAACTGGATGATTATCAGTAGTAGAATCAAGTGACATTGTTTAGGTCATTTTATGTTAAAAAACTTTGTTAATAAGAATAACATTTATGTCATGAATAAATTATTTATACAAGAGAACTAGTCTAGAAAGATTGTAAAATCTACTTACTTATTCTCCATATGTTGAACAAATTTGTATCTTAGTGATTTGGTTATCACATAACAACTAATTTGGTATGTCAATGAGTATTTTATTCAATTTGCACAATTCTCAGATTATTCTAGTTGTTAGCCTAATAAATCATTATCATGGATTCAAGATTTCTGATAAATTATTATCAGAATCACCTTGTTCTAGATTATGCTACAAATATTTGTTACTCAACTCAATGTCTAATTTTTCTTGGTTGGTAAAACTGCAATTTTCTCCAAATTCAAATATTAAAGTGAAAAACCGCAATGGTCATTTCTATTAATTTTTTAATATCATTCTTTCAATTGACACATTCAACAAATGCATTTGTTTTAATATGTTTATCTATTTAATATATCGGTATTTATACTGCTCGAAATCTATACACAAAGTGAAATAAGATTTTGTCGAAAGAGAGGAATTGTATGAATTTCAACCATGAAGCTCACGAATGCAGAAGTCTACGAGTGACTTATTGTTGTGTTTGTACATGAGCATAGAGTGTGTGTGTGCTATATGATCTCTGGTCATATAGCATATGACCAGAGGCTTGGTCGACGAGATGGTCACTAAATGTAAAGACTATCTCATTGCACAATGTAGGTCGCAGTGGTCGAATGCAAGTGCTGGACCATGCCTACATTGACGCCTTTGAATCAAACGGTTTCCAAGAGTTTCGATTCTTCTTGATAAGGTGCATCATCGGTTCTTGCAGTCCTATGGGATCGAAGTGGGTACAACACATTTCGCTGTACAGTATGAGAAAGGTGCTCCAGGATGGCCTGGGCATGGGCATAGGCGTGGCTGCGGCGGAAGTATCTTTTGAAATTGCCGCTGCTTCGGACCTTCACATTAATCAGCCGGCATGGACCTCCCCTTATCACAACAGAACTTGCTTTTCACGAAAGGCATACTACACAATAATCGGAGGTAGGTTTTCAGCAAAAGGTCTCGACCGAAAAGAAATTCCGTGGATGCCTTTTCTTGTGTCCAAGGTCACGTATTTTCGATAAGCTCGAAATTCGCTTTAGCAATTTGCAGTAAATCGTACGTTCAGGAGGAAGGAAGGAGTATGGACATGCGCGGCGAAGGGAGTCGGATTCGGAACTCTTGATAACATGAAGGAGGAGGAAAAAGAGTGCGCCGCTCGTAACAGAGACTGCCTTGCACGGCAGCGTCTTGCGCATGACGTACGTGATCGAAGGCTCGCGTTGCAATGCACGACGAGCAGCGGAGCAGAGCAGAGAAGGGGAGGAGGAGGGGGCCCGAATAGCAGCAGCACCGAGTCGGGAGACGTTATATGGCGCGGCACGACGCGCCATTCGCAGCGCCTGCAGGTGTCGGCGATGGGCGCGAGCGGCGGGGCCCCCGAGCCAGCAGCGTCCCTTGGGTTCACAAGCACGAGCACGATGAGAGGCCCGGGCTCGGGACCCAGCCGTTCTTCGGAAGACGAGGAGAGACTGACCAGTGTCTTGGAACAGCCGCTCTTGCAAGAACACGGGCCAGGCCGATAAGAACGCGCGACCGGCACCGAGAGGTGGGCGACGTGCTCCGTGGCCATGCCTACGACGGGGACGCCGGACGGAGGACACGCGTGCGTGCGCTGCGCGGGGGGAAACCGGAGCGCGCTGCTCTTGACGCAAAGGGGGAGGGTTACAAGAGCGGAGGTGGCCCTTAGGTCTCTTTTCCGCCATGGGCCGGCCTTTGGCGAGCGAGCGAGCGAGCGAGCAGCTGGCCTGCTAGCAGCAGCAGGGGACGAGGAGGAGCGAGGGTCCAAGAGGCCGAGAGGAGGTGGCGGTGGTGCTGCTGCTGCTGAAGCACGAGCGGGGCGAGCTCAGACCTGGTCGAGTTAGCTAGCGGGCTGCGGAAAGGGGGAGCAGATTGCGAGGTCTGGACGGACAGATCTGAGGGGAAAAGTCGTAGCGGGAGCGGGCGGAAACTGCTGTCGGAGGCGGAGAATCCGCTTTTGAAAATTTTGAACAGTGTTGGAATACGGCGAGTTTCTGATCTGCACAAGAGTGGCGAAGGTGGTGGTCAGCCGAGGAGAGAGCCGAGCCGAGCAGAGGCGATTGAGGCTGCGGCTCTGGGCGAGCTGCGGCTCTGGGCGGCTGAGCGCTCGGTGAGATTAGGCTGGCACATTCGTGGGGGACGTCGGCTTATCGGAGTGCGTAATTTATCGGCAAGGGTGCGTTCAGGACCGGGTCGGAGAATTTCGATTGGCCGTCAGGTGAAGTTGTCGGGAAGGAAGAGAGTTTTTGTATGTCCACGTCGTCCGACCTCGGTCGTGGGCAAGAGAGCTGTATGTTTGAGGCGCACATTTAGTCGACTTCATGGGGCGGAATAGAGAGTGAAATCTCTTGCGCTCCGATTATGGGACCGATGCGCAAGGGCCCCTGTTGCCGAGGCAGAGGGGATTGCCAGGGGTGAGACCATTGAGGGAAAAATTTGGAGGTGTAATCCGTTTTGGGCTATACAGGGAATTGGGGGACCTGTTGCCCCCGCTCGATTGCAATTCTATGTGCGACCAATAGACTCAGGAAAAGATGGACGGTGATGACGAGTTTGGGGATCTATACACAGATATCGGTCCAGAAGATGGGAAGACCTTGGACCAGTACGGCGGTGAAGGGGACGGGGATATGTACGACGAAGACGATGAAGCGCTGCTCTATGGAAGTTCGACGCCGTCGCTTGCTCCCTCGTCGAAGGCTCCTTTGATGCCCCCATCTACAATCCGCAACAGCGGATTACAAACTGGATTGGCTGAGAAAGAAGTGGACAATGACGAGCTGCTCTTGTATGGCCAGCTGTATGGGGTCACACTGGAGACCACTGTCAAGGCCGAGAGCCCTCTGCGCCGAGTTGAAAGCAAACCGATCTCCAGCTTCAGACCGGAGAAGATCAAAGACTCCTTGGATTCCAGGGTGCTGGAGAGCGGTGAAGACAATGATTTTGATTTATCTGAAGAGGATAGGTTGAATAGTGCCGGAGATCTTATAGGGAAAAGCATAGAAATACCTCTTGGAGGCGTCGGCAGCAGTGCTGGGGGTGGAGAGAGGGGTCTGCCTAGAGATTCTATACCGTTCCCCCCTCGAATGTTCGACGTTTTTTCCAACCGGAGCTTGGCACCAGAAAACGATACTACTAGTTTACTTAGATTACCGCACGTGAACGATGTATCAATGCAAATCAGCTCGCCACCCGGATTGTCTAGCAGTGGCCATATTCCAGCCGAGTTTGCTGCTGAAGATGATATCGAGGAACAGCACATGAGGGAGGACTGGGAGGAGGGTGATGATGTCGCTGGTGAAGAAGGAGGGGAGGCTGATGCCGAAGAGTGGGACGACAGCGACAGCGAAGATGACCTGCAGATTGTCTTGAATGACGAAGCTCCTATTTACGCTGCGTCTGAAAGACCTGTGGACGGGGATGTAGCTGAAGGTAGTGAGGATGAGGACGAAGAAGACTTAGTTATAGTAGCAGGTGATGATGATGGACCCATAGAGGAACAGGAATGGGAAGAACAACCATTAGCCACGGATTGTCTCCCTGGACTTTCAGGAGCTCCGATACCTTTAGGATCAGAGAGGCCTCCAGGTGCGGAAGAAAGAGGAGCCAGCGGGAAAGGAAGCGGAGCCGGAGGAGCGAGTCCTGGTGTTCCACGGATAGGCTACAGCGGTCAAGGGTACCATGCTCCCTACATGCAATTCAAGGTACTACAGATCACTCTTAACTACGGGAAACCATAACTCTATATCTGGTAGCCCAGAATGAGGCAATTGCGATGGACCATTACATTTTGGTCACTTTGATGTCAAGGGTTTTGTCCTCGATAGTGAACTTTTATTTATGACATGCACAGCTAGAATGGGGCAGTGGGAGACTTAAAAATGTTCATAGGATGGAAGCTGTACCGTCATGAAGCATATTCACAGTGGAATCCAGGAAACAGGGAAAGTGCAAAATCATAGTCATTCGGTCTCTGTAACTCTGATAGTAAATTAATGTTTCACTTCAAACTACTGCACTATTAAACCCTTCACTTAAACTCAAATAGTTGTAGAGTGAACCTCGGCCAAGGCTGGCGATGTCTTTTCAGAATCCTACTTTGTAACGTATCCAACTTCAGTTCATGTCCCTCAAGATCAATTTCATTTCCTTTTTCCCCAATCTTACTAATCTTTCTTGAAATGCTTTCAGCGATATTGCATGCAATGAACTTATCAACTTTAGTACCAAGTCCGTTTGCTCTGTTCATCCAGCACGCAATACATATACGATTATTTTTATTTCTTTTATTAGTCTTTGCTTCCAGGTTATGTGACGGTGGGTATACTGAGAATGAAGAGCATGTATTTGTTACTTCTCGTAGGTAGGAAGAGATTAGGCTTGCTCATAATATAGATATGGAGAATTTCTATTCTTTATCACAGTTAGTTTCTTTTGATTTAGGTTGTTATATTAGGGACATCATTCGTTACGTTCTAGTGCCCTTGGCACTAGCTAGGGATTGATCTTTGGGTTCTTTTGCCTGGTTTGTGGTTTTTCGCTTACATTGCGTTTTTCAGGCTTTTGACCCTTTGGGTCCCCCGGCTTGATCTATTACCATTTACCTTTTATCCAAGTTTTGTTGCCCTTCATCACCGTAAGCTACTCACCAACCGCTGCACCATTCGGTACATATCAGCCATGCCGTATCCTCTTTAAGAGGTTCTAAGTTTCGATACCGAGAGGATGACGCTTCATTTCCAGTACATTGCAGGTCAAACTGTACTCGGTGCTTCGGTATCCTGACAAAACAAAAATTAGGCACCCTCGGATTGAGTGATATGTGGAGGCAGTTGATCGCCCATTGAGTTCCGGATCGTCTTCAGTTTCCTTCGTAGTTCACAATCTGCAATCTTAGCCCCTCTTAGTTCCAGCTTCCACACCTAAGTTACCTACCGTTTTAGTCATCCCTCTTGATCACATCACTTAAAGCTAATGACATCGGTGTTGACTCTGAGGATCTATAGAACAACAAGAACCCGGTATATAGATGGCACCGTATTGAAGATTACCAGGGCATTGCCTAAGAAAACATCATGCTGCATGCGTACACACGGTTAGTGGGTAGAACTTGTTCTCTTCGATTCCAATTGTAGCAATATATTATGCAGCTCCCTTATTGTTGAGTACATTCTTCCGTAACTCGAGTTTTTTGTCTTCGAAAATTGAACGTTGACAAATATTTGAACGTTTATTTAATCAACGTCTTATTTGCGGAACTTAGGTCCACTTCTTTTGAGTACCACTCAACACATAACTTTTTGACTTGTTCCACTTTATTATAGACGTATAGGATATTCCAAGACCAGCTTACCTAAAAGCAGACCTAATTTAATCATTGCGCAGTTTTTGTGGAAAGTTCACTTCACCAGCCTCAACATCGTCCCCTCTTGCCCCACTCTAAGTCTGAGGTACCTCGGTTATTATTCATACGTGATGTGCCCTAATTTCGATTCCTTATGTACCTGTCTTTAAAAGCCCCGGGGTCTGGTATAAATCATTGACATTCCTTTGAGCTGAACTGTATGTTTTCAGGTGAACCCTTCTAACGAACTAATTAAAGCGCATCTGACCTAGAATTCTTCATGTGTGACGAACACACCAAACCTCTGTTGCAATTACTGGCAGCTACATCTCTTCTGCGACTCCAGTCCCATACTCCCAGGACGGCGAAGTTTGGATCTCTCAACCCGAAGGTTGAGAGAAATACTGTACATCACTTTTCGCAATAATCTGAACATCACCAAGTGCTGCTTGCGAAGATTAAAGCTCCTCATTTTTTCCCGAAAAAATGAGGATCAAGATGTATTTAGTTCAAAATGTCACAGGCTGTCATTTTGTGCATGTTTTGAAGATTCTTGTGTTTGGAAACCACTTTTTGGTTGATGTGTCCTCATCTGGCGTTTGGAAACCAATTTTTGGTTGATGTTTCCTCATCTGGCATTAGGAAGGTGTATTTCGGTAGTAGTAGAAAAAAACTAGCCAGTATGTACCATATTGTATACGTTCTCAGATAATTTTGGGCAATAAACACGTACAGTTCGTCTAAAGCTTTTACTAATCCACGATCGGATTTATTGACTTCAGCTCCTTCTACGAGAAGCAGCAGCTTTTGCAAGCCTCATCGCCTTGTGATTGAGTTAGCCGAATATGATAAACTTAATGCAATACTTTTTGCTTTGGCGATGGCGGGGTAGGGAAATTGGCCCTATACATGTTGTCAATCCAAATGTAAAGCATTTCTTCAAACTCAATGAAACAACCAAGAAGATTTGAAAAATGTTCTCTTTAGGTTCATCAAATATTTAGTCAGATCTTTTTAGGATTTGCTCCGCATGTCTCACACATTTTTTATAGCTGCTTCACTAGCACTTCACTTATGAAGCACCTTCGACTGGAAGCATCGGTGCTGTTCAACTTATATCACATCCCTAAGACTCATTTAGTAGTTTAGTTTAGTGGTTTCTTTGACATTACAATAGAATCAAAATATTAAGAAGTGATTCGCCTAATTAAAAATTTTGTCATAATAAATTTGAAGACCTGCCTAGGTAATTTCTTTATAATTGTTGTTCCAGTTTTAAACTGAGAAAAAGATCTACAAGTTACATATGAATCTCTCAAAAGTTCATTAACCATTCTTGGTAGGTTTTCCCTATGCTTCGTGTTAAGAGAGGAGAACCTCGATGACTATTCGTTTACCGAACGAATATGGGATTATGTATATATACTTCATTATAGAATGTTAGTGAAGTTAACTGATTTCCAGGTTTTCCTTTAGATTGTCGGGCAATAATTTTGACAGCTTCTCCCATTTCTAGTACGAAGTGATTCGCGTAAGTACGCACCTACCAGATAAGTACGCACAATCCTCCCAGGATCAAGGTGCGTACTTGGTCGGGAGACTACTGTAATACGATGATAGTTTTCTCTACTGTAGCTTCAGTGCGACTGAATCAGTTGTATTCATGAATTCACTCCGCAATGGACTTATTGGTTTAATTCGCCAACGTATGGGGGATGGTCAATTCGTTGGTCAACATCATCTCACACAGGCGGGGAGCCTATGTGCACCTCCTTGAGAGCTTCATCACCCGGGGTTGCATATTCTTTACTGCACCTTTGGACTTTAGTCTGGAGGTACTGGTTGCCTCCTTCACTTGTGAGTATGGAGCGCTCCAGTCTACTAGACGCCGACTTTGCTTTACCTCCAGCTGAAGTAGATATTATAGTTTATGGAAATTCATGAAGATTTGAAACTTCTAGCAGGCGGACAGCACACTTTAATAGGCATCAGATCAATAAGCCGGAAAACAGCTGCCTTTTGACGACCGAATGTATACTTTGTGCCATATGTAAAGGCTCAAAGCTCAGGATTGGGGATCGTTATGAAGTGCGAGTGAAGTAGTCTACTCATGAAACGGACGCTGGAAATATTGTTCAACTTCCAACTCTTTCGTCGTCTCTACTTGTCGCATCTTCACACCTATCGTAATTACACTACTATAAGGAATAGTACTCTTGGCCCCTGGCCTTGACACCAAATCATATTAAATATTGTTCTACGGTGATAAAGGCAAAGATGAATCTGTCAGCTTAGTCTTGATAAATTTCTGTGAACATCTGATGCAGTATGTGCGACCAGGAGCTGCTGTGTCGTCCGGGATGGCCCCACCAACTCAAGGTTCACCACAGCCCTCGGTCTCAGGTGGAAGAGGTGCACCTGGTGTGCCGGTCGGAGGATGGGGACCTGGGAAAGGAGGTTCCGGGCGAGGGGACTGGGCAAGTGGTGGTGGAAGAGGTTCTTCTGGACCGAGGCCATCTCAAGGTGGTGGTGGCATGACCCCTTGGGGTAGCTCACGTGGCTTTCCAAATGGGATGGAGTTCAATCTTCCGCCCACCAAGTAAGGCATCACTGAACTTTGAAAGTTATCTACAGGATTTTTGCTGTTGAACATCATACTTGTGGATTTACATCCGCCGCCGTTGCAACATCCGTCTATTGTCTTCAGCATTTTCTTTCGCAATTCTCTCCGTTTCTGTATCTTAAGATATGTTTTCCAAGAGTCAGTGATGAACACAGATGTAAGCTTTGTGCGTTGACTCATTTGTGGCCCCAATTATGTAGGACTGTTTTCGATGTGGATCTTGACGGTCTGGAAGACAAGCCGTGGAGAAGACCGGGCGTGGACATGACGGACTTTTTTAATTTTGGATTCAATGAGAACACATGGAAGCAGTATTGTCGTCAGCTGGTACGGCTTTCTAGCTCGTCATTTCTTGCACGGGCCTGAATAGAGTGAATGATAATGCATTTATTGATTGTACTTTCATTTTCAGTGTTGATGTTTTCGCCTTTCGAATCAAAATCTAGTCGCTCGAGTTTTACCTGCTTTCACTTGTTTATGAATCAAGTTCCAGATATTGTCGCTTGCTTGCAATTTCTAATGGTTTTCAACGAGTATTCTGCATCTATGTCCACATTGCTCCATATCAGGAAGTTATTTCCCCAGTCGCAATCAACTAGTTTGTAATGTCATAGATATAATAGTTCAGTTGAGATTGGTTCAAGTGAATGGAAGTGGTTAAGCTATGATAAATTGATTCGTTTGCAGTTGTCCTCACCGCTCCTTGTCGGTGGCAAGCCTATAAGTAAAGTATTAAATATCTTGTTTATATGTCATGCAATATGATCAGGCCAGATACACTGTACTCATAGCTATTTTCCTTTTACAGCCCGAGACCATAGACTCTGCCCCATAGCTGAGCGGAGGCTAGACATATAAGCAACTGGTTTGTGCAGTCTAATTATTATGAATGAAAGCTTGTGGACTTACGAGATCCTCACTGTCTCATACTGATGTGAATTGTCTTCATATCTTGATATTTGCAGGCGCAATTACGTCTTGAAGCCACTATGCAGAGCAAGATTCGTGTTTATGAAAGTGGCCGTTCTGAGCAGGTTAGTAAGTGCAGTCAGTTGGTAATCGTAGGAATCGTGTTGGAATATAGCTCGCGGTTCATGTCGTTTCCCCTTTGCACGGATTTCCTTTACGACTTTGTTACGGATTTCTAGCTGCCGCTGTTGTTTGTTTATCTAATAGATCGGTGTTAAGTAAGACTAGGCCCATGAGTTTGTGAAACATCATCATGGCAGCTATCAAGACGTTGAGTGCAGTTTATTCATTGATACGAAACTAATCTCTGCTAAAAAGCAACGAAGCTTTCTCTCAAGTCTCGCTCATGTGTATATAACAGGAGTATGATCCTGATTTGCCCCCTGAGTTGGCTGCCGCGGCTGGCATCCAAGAATCCGGTGATCCTAATATGCAGCAGCAGCGACCCCAAGATGGTGGTCCTGGTGGAGGAGGTGGTCGTGGTCGTGGGTCTGGACGTGCTCGGATGATGCCTGTATGTTGTCTCATGTGGTTTTAATTTTGCAGTGCTTTTCTTTTATCACATGGCCACGGTTTCATCGCCAATACTGAGAAATTCACTTCCGACCCATTAAAATACTGCTGTTAATCGTGCACTTTCGTACTGCAATGTAGTAGGAGCCCGTGACTTCTCGCCATTTCATGCTTCACATGTATTTCAATGCTAAGCACTTGAGCCAAAGACATTTTTAGCAGTGAAAGTCAATAGGAGCTAGAGTGACTTCTAAGAGTGAAACTCTGCTTACTTATGTTTTGAACTCCCGACGAGGGTTTGTATCACAAGAGAGGCCCTTTCTCATTTCCCATCTACTTCTATCCCGTCTTCTCTCTCTGTAACGTTGGCACCAATTAGCCAGGTCATGGGGACTATGTTCTTCAGGCTATCACAGGCACCCACTATTGACTAGGCTAATTTAAATTTTTTCAGCCTGCTGGACGTGCTATACAAGTTGAGGGAGGTGGAGGAGAGAGACGCCCTTCAGCGGATGTTCGTCGTCAGCGTACTCGTGATTCTGATGCAGTTATCCAGGTGAAACCTCTGTTACCTCATCGAATCGATCTAGCACATCTAAAACTTAGCTGCAGGATTCAAATAGCATTCATTTTCACCTTTCTAAAAAGGTTTATCAAGCTGGTTCTGGATCCGTTCCTATTTTGTTCTCAATAGCGTTGTTATGTGCCATATGTGCCAGTTTTGTCGGAGCAACTGGTAGCATTTTCTGAAATGGTCATGGATACAGGATGTACCCGTGTTAGAAATGTGGGACCTCACTTCTCTAGTGTCATCCAAAATCTACTTTGTGAAAAAGTGAATCGGATACAGAAGATCATATCGAATGAAGGAACCTCACATTAAGGCTTCAGACAGTATAGATGTCGTAACATCGGAGCTATATTACCCAATTGTGATATTTAGTAGTGAAAACTTTTTACCCCAACTTTAACCGTGAGTGCATTGAAGCAACATTCTTTTGACCAGTATGTTCTGCCTTCTAGACGGTGATGTAGATTTTGTACTAATGCGATTACTCATGGATATGGTTGCAAAGGAATGCAATAAAGACGGTGTCTTTATACTCAGGTTTCGTTACAAGTATCCAAACAAACCTTCCTGTAAACTGATGACATGATTTGAAGGACTAATTTTGACTCTCTGGATCATGTCAAGCAGATTGTATTGCAAGATGCATCTGAAGAAGATCTTCCTGCCTTAGTCCCCCCACTTGACTCTGGGATTGATGATTACATTGAAGAGGATGAAGATCGCGGAGGTGGTATGCATGAGCAAGAGAGAAGATTTTACCGACCTGGAGGTCCCCCTCCTTGGGAAATGGAAGGGCCTCCCAATATGTGGGATAGAGAAAATATGCCAATGGGGCCAGGTGGAATGCCAATGGGTCCACATGGAGGTGGCATGATGCCTGGTCATCGGATGGATGTAGAAGGCCCTGGTCCATTTCCCGTGGGCCCTGGAATGGCCATGCATCAACCAGGCCCGGGACCGAACTTTGGGATGTTCCCTGGTGGACCATTTGGACCACCCCCAGTCGGAAGGTAAAAGTTGAGAGTTTTTTGGTTGTGTCGTTCATTAGGTAGTCTAGTCCCGATTTTAGTGTGTATACCCACAAAGCAGTGACCACTTCATTTCCAAATGTTATATTTGGGAGGTAAGTTATAAGAAATTCCTAGAGGTGATTAAATTACTTGTTGATATTAATTGATGATCATTCTAATATATATCTCTTGTTCATTCCAGAGGTGGAATGGTAAGGCCTCCACTTTACAATGGTCCCAGGCCCGCTCTTCCGTTGCCCGTCCCAGGGCCACCACCAGAGGTGTTCCCTCCCATGATGGTTCCACTTGAGTATCACGAACCTCCTAGGTGAGTTAAAGAACTCCACTCTCTCTGAAACAAATCGTGTTTGATAAAAATTTGCCTTGTGCATCTGGGCACTCTTTGTTCGAATTTCCTCAATTCCTTTGTGTTTGCTCAAAGTCTTTCGCTCTAAGTAACACTTCACTTTGATATGTTCAATACCATAATAGGTCTGCAACACTTTCTTAAGTGTTTTAACATATTTCTGAGTTGTTTTCTGATCTCATAAGAATATTTTGCTCTTTGATCGCTCTCCAGTCCGTGGATACTAGCATGTGTCACAGCATCACACCCTCAATGTCGAGTTGAATTTACCTCCATTCACCCTACTGTATTCTCTTCGTGAGTCGTAAGTGACGGGTAACTTTCGCTGGCAGGACTGTAGTCTTTTACTAACGAGCCATGGAAACTAGAAGTACAGTTAACGCTATCTGAACCTGAAGTTCATAGTTTTAGAGCTCTCGCTAATCACTTGTCAGTCTGTTTTTTTTTCTTTCTTGTGAATTTGTCTTCATCAAGTTTATGTATTTTTCAAAACTGAATATTTTGATGATATGGGTGTTCTTTGTTCTTTAATCCTAGAAGTCATCGCTCATTATGTGCATATTCATAGTGCTTAGTACCTAGTACAAAAGAACGAGGATACACAAAATGGTAGCGAAAAGGATGGGACCCCCATCAAGTCTTACAAGGATAAGCTTTTTTTACTCAGTACGAAAGTAGAAAGGAGCACGTACCCTCAATCTTCGATGACGAAATTCGTTGTATGAGATCTCTAGTCGTGAGGGAATTTTCATTCCGATATCATTTCTTCTATTTGCTTATCTCTGTATTAGACTTGATGATTATGGCCTGGGAGCTACGAATCCTTTATCGTAATTTGCTCCCTCTTGGTTTCCTTTTGATTATGTTACTATTGGTGATGTCTTTTTTTTTTTAAAACAAATCTAAGAAATGATCTCTTGATCCTTCCTTGCATCAGTCGTACTGACTTTTCTCACTAGATTCAGACGAGCACTAACGCCTTAGTTCATATCTTCTTACCTTCCGTCTATAGAGTTTGGATATTCCACCATGTTTTAACCTTAAACAAACATTATGCTTGTTTCACCTCAGTTTTCTTGCACATTTTCATCCTCGGCTGCGTTGTATCAGTGTTTAGTATGACACATGACCATCAATGGACTTTTAGTGACCAAATTAGTACAGTATTCTTTTATCCTACTATCAATATCTAGAAATCGAATTTCAGAAGGCCTTCTATAGTCTATTATACTTGTACCTGTATGTGAATGTCATCTGCTTCCCTATATACATCGTTTCAGCCCGTCGACTGTTGTCTCTGTGTTTGTCTTTCGTATCCGTAGAATCAAAGCTCGCACATCTTTTCCTCTTTACTTTCATGATACCTGCTAGCACTTTTCTCCCACTTCACAGTTATTTCATTATAGTATTTCGTGTTTCCTGGATTGTGATCTGCTTCCGTTTGGCGTTTGCTCTCAGACGCATACATTGGCATCTAAGTTTTGTTAAGGTTGCATTTAGTAGATTACCTATCCGTATTGTATGTGGAAGAATGTGTTTCTGACCTGTAGGTACAACTTCAACCTGACTGTATTGGCACATTTTTTAATTTCTGTCTGGCTGCTCGTTGAGTACTTGGACTATCTTTCTATATACGATTGAATATAAACTTAGATTATGGAAGTGAAGAGTCACCCTTCACTTCCAAAACATGCATGTTTTGGAATGATTTCGTTGTTTCCTCTTCAAATTGTTAAATACATGTTTTGCATTCTCCTCATTTTAATGACCTACCAAGTTTTGTATTCATGTCGTTTATGTGGTTATAATGTTCCATGTTACTTCATTGACTTTGAATTTTAACTCCAAACGAAAAATTAACACTACGCTCATAGTTAACAATGTGCCGAAGTGCCTTCCATTTTGGAACTATTTTTTTGAAGATGCTCGACCATCGTAATCTATCGATCTGTTCGCCAGATTGCTGGAACAAGCGGGTAGCTTTTCATTAGCTTCCCCCTTGTCATCAGCAACCAGCGGGCTTTTCATAAGCTCGCTGGTTGGGCATTCATTCGTCTTCATCGGAACTCATTTCTTCAGAGGCTCCGTAGATTCTAGTTTTGTTCTAGCCATGATCTACAGTAGTTCTGGGCAACAGACTGTCGTCTGTTGGCTTTTCAAGTTCATCTGGATGCGTGCGGGCCATGGAGAAACCTATTTACCTATACATGTATTCACCCTCGTACCCATTGATGAAGCAGCCGAGTGAATGTGATGGGACGCTTTCCTTGTAACTATTTTGGATGATCACGGGATGCCTTTCATTCATCCTACTGGCACTTCCATACTTCCCATTTCGTTGTAAGGATTTTTCGACAGCTGCATTTGTTCTGCTACATCCATTTGATTCCGATTTCCAGTTTTATTTTGCTTTTTTTTTTGTCAGCATGTCTGCGTCTATTTGTTTCTCTTCAGTTTCATTCGTTCTCTGCTCTTTGGTTTTTGTCTGCTTGTTTCTTTCCATTTGTTGCCACGTAATTTTCACCCATGAGAATACTACTTCAGTCCGAGATTAACGGCTTCATCCGATAACCATGTAAAATTGCAGAGAATTGTTTTTTCTTGTGAAATTGAAATTTTTATCTTTGGTTGAACATTAGCGTAGACATTCTTGAGATGTACATCAGAGGATTTATCGTTCCTCCTAAGTACCTTCGACTATTCACTAGTTTTGTAGCGAAGCTGTATAGAAAATCTTTTTTTCGAAAGTCAAAGAGTGTCATGCATCTTGTCTGCGATTTCTGGATAACTAGGAGGGAACTTCCACGGACTCAGATTGATCTGACGCTGAACCTTCTCATGGTAGTGTTATGTTTGCCTTCTACATGATTGACTTAAGATCACTGTTATGAGTTAATTACACCGTAGATACATCAAATTTATAAACTTAACTTGAGAAGGACCAGTATATCCATGATTTTGAGAAGAATAAGCATAGCTATATGTTATAGAGCATATGTTAAGTACCACAGTTCTACAACTTACGTTTGAGACCCTCTTGTTGATTGATATCACAAGCTTCACAATCATAGGATCTCAAGGGGATTCAAGATATTCATACATGGATCTATTTATTTTTTCACAAGTAGTAAGATTACGCTTTCTTCTTCTAGCATGCCATATGTTAAGATTCATCATCGCTTATGGTTTCGCTTATTGTTTTTACAGCTGAGATATTGTTTAGGGTTGAGTGAAACTATATATCATCTAGAAGATGGTTGCACTTCTTGAAATCGCTAGCCAAAGAATCGCGGGTTGAGGAAATCTTTCTGCCTAGTAAATTGTATTGATTACTTGTTCAATCTGTACACAGAAGTGTGTACAGTTCATAGCCTTATTTCTTAGAGTCCTCGCTATGATATTTGTTGGCATCGAATTTTGACCATTGTGGAGTTGAAAGTTTTGACTTAGTTCTCTCTTTGAGGCAACAAATCATTAAATGCATATACATGTTCTGTCCCATGGAGAAATGCAATTAACTATGTAAAAATAGTTTAAATTACCTTGAGTTGATGAGATTGGCAAACCACTAAAATTGGCAAACTCATCCTCGGCTATACAGTGTTATATCCTGGACACTAGATATTTTGTTGGCAGTTTATAGTATGAAATGAAAGATGAAATGAACTTTATTCTGCATTTGAAGCTCATTGTGGTCATTAATTTCGAAATAAGCTCGAGTCATTTGCAATCCATACTTATAGTTGCCACACCCGAGTCTCTTGATCGGAGATTCCCATCTTTGCGGATATGAGGATAAAATGAAAATATCATAGCAGCGTATCACAAAATCCTTTTGTATATTATGTTTAGTTACTATCTATAGCTTTTATACATGGTGAACAATATATATCCATGTAGCCCGTTGAGGCTACGCGGATTGTGTCGCTTTCCTGCCTGATTGAAGTCATGCTTATTAAGTACAGATCCACCAACCAAGTATGTCTTACTACTTTGCTCATCCTTACGGAATGGAAGTCTTAATGGATACATGGTATATTTCGGTGCCAGCTTTGCGCACTGGATTTTTTCATAGATCAAACTTTTCTCTTTGTACTTGGTCGTGATGCACGTTGGGATGTGTACAGCTCCGCGTTAGCTTTGGGTACTGGATCTTTTTATAGTTTGAGGTTTTTCCTTATCGGGTCTTAGTGCATGTCGGAATTGGTTAATATTAGATGTGTATATCTGTACTGGACCTTTATACAGATAGAAGTTCACTGTGTTCTTGGGACACCATTCATGCTGGGATCTGTTATTGTGGGGTGAGTAGATGTATCCCTAATGTATCCTTGTTGTAAACATTCTTACTTTCATATCTCAGCTGATACTTGAGAGCCAGAACTCGGACTAATTCTAAAAAATGATAAATTTTCTAACAATTTCTAGGCAGTATGTTTTAAATACACCTTGTTGGACGTTGATTTGTTCCATGGATTTGCTATGGACTGAAACTAAAAATTTCAACCTCTCACAAAATGCACTACCATGTTTGCTCTACTCTTATGGTTTCCTAACTTGCATTGATTTGTTCAGACGGAGAACACCGCCTCACCTGACTCCTCCTCGAAGGACTCCACCGCAAGGGTTACCTAAGGAGTGGGATGAGGAGCCCAGCAATGGCAGTGGAGCTAACTGGGGGATACGTGACCCCCGCAATTTGAGAGAAAATAAAGAGTACGATGGTAATGGAGACTGGCCTGCTGACGATGGAGAGAGACGGGATGGCGCTTATCCTGCAAGGCGTGTGAGGGACCATGATCGATCAACACTTCGAGAGAGAAGTGTTGACGAGCCCTCAGTAGACCATAGGTCGGAGGAGCATAAGAGATCCATGTCGCGTGATCGGCACTTGGGAGAAAACGACTGGGACGGTGGTTATAGCTCACGCAATTCGAAGAAGCAAAAGGTCCAGATACCAGCAGAAACCAGGTCCAAAGACTATACTCATACAAAACCACAAAAGAGCAACCCGATCAAAGAGGAACCAACACATAGTTGGGATATTTCAAAAGAGCGATTGGGCGTGGAAGAAGAGGTTTCTCAACAAAGGAGGCTAGATGCAGGTCATAACAAGTCAGTCGAACGGAAAGGACCTACATCAGCTGATGATTCATATGCTGCCCAACGGAAGGAGCCTGCATGGAATAGCAAGCAGGATGCTGATGATTCTTATGCCACGCAGAGAAAGGAGTCCACCTGGAATAGCAGGCCGGACGAAGAATCCAAGGAGAGGAGACAACACCGAGAGAGGGAGGAAGCTCATAGAAGGAAGATGAAGGAAGAAGATTCTCGTCAACATCGTAGCCGGGAAGATCAAGAGCGGGAGAGGCGAACTAGGGAAGATCTGGACAGAGAGAGGCGACATGGCAGGAAGGAGAAGGAAGATGAAAGGTTAAGTAGAAGCGATAGGAGCAAACGTCACGCCGATGATCACTCTTGGACTTCTAGGGAGAGAGACGAATCCCGAGCTAGAGAAGAAGCCAAGAGAGCATCTGCTGAAAGGGAAGCGGAACGATTAAAGGAGAAACGCAGGCGTGAGGACGATAGAAGCAAGGTCAAGGGACGTTTGGAGGATCCAAGAGATAGTGACGGGAGAGGACGTCGGTACGACAGAGACGACGAGATCCGAAATTGGGACGACAGACGAAAGTATGACGAGAAAAGCAGTCGTGTAGACAACGCCCATGTAGCTCGCAATCACTCCATTGAATCTCGTAGGACAGGAGATGACCCGCGATCACATAAGGATAAGCGTGGTTGGGAAGGAACTTCAACGAAGGAAATACCCGGTGACCGTAATGGGTCTGTCTCAGGTGTAGGTGATGACAAGAATTATCGTTCTCATACAGATGGTAGTAAGAAACGCAAGGTTGAAGAGTATCGGACAAGTGCTCAGTTTGACAAGGTACCATGGATCTTTTGCTTGCTTTGTCAGCCTTCCTCTTGTTGTTCATGCTTCACTTGCCACTGGAAAGCAAGTTCCGTCACAATGATGGCGTTGTATGGTAAGCCATGTTCATTGTGCTTTGATATAATTGTAATTTCACTAGAAGTTCATACTCTAAGAAAAGTTATAGTTCCACTTATTTTAGGGATCTTTCGTTTCTTCTTGAGTAAATTGTTCGCGTTATGCTTAATTCTTTGCAGCTTGATTTCACGGTATGCAAATTGTTAAATTGTTCTGTGTTCAACGAGTTTCTTTCCGGTGATCTCTGTTATTTAGGGACCCAAATTGTAGAGATTCTTGCGCAACGTTGTCAACATGACTTTTTGAGTCATGTGGATCAAACGTGCGTTCTAATGATCGCTCAACAAAGGGGATCGTTAGTTGCTTTTAGGCCCTCAGTGATTTGCAGCATCTTTCAAATGCCCTTGTTTGTTGGAGGAGCTCGCATTAGATCTTGACTCTCCAGGGTCGTGTCCTCCTGATGTTCTTTCGTACTTCCTGTATAAAAGTGGGACGAAGGTTATTCTGACCTCTGACTGGAACGGAGTAGCTTTGTTGGGATGACTGGTCTGAGCTGGAGGTTGACGGCGGTAACATAGTGATTAGGTTTGAACAAATTGGACTGGCGGGAGTAATTCCCCTGCGACTGTGACCTATTTGTCTGTAGTTCTAGGAGACGTTATACGAGTGTTCATCTCTGTTGACTGAGACAAGCATGCAGGCTTGTTAGTAGCATAGCTAGCATAGGTAGGCCCCGTAATGCGAAAGATGCTAGTTTGTACAAACATCCAATATAGTTGCAAAGATGATTGAAGTATGACAACGGCTAGAAATTTTGATCTAAAACCTGTGGGGAAGCTAAATTGGTTTTTTGATCAGGCATCAACGAGGGACTCAGATGAATTGGCTCCATCAAGCGCTCGACACAAGGACAAAAAGGTCGGACCACCGAAAAGAGGACAAGATGATCATTTCAATAGAAGGCCACAGGAGAAAGACTCCGGATCCCGGCAACACCGAGGATCTAAAGACGACAAGCCGCAACAGTTGGACACTGGGTCATCGGAAGACGAGGAAGAGGAACGAAGAGGACGGTCTAAGTTGGAGCGATGGACTAGCCGGAAGGAAAGAGATGCTGTTGCTGCACAGGGTGCAGAGAACAGGAAGAAATACCAGAGTTCTGACGTTGGTCATGAAGAAGCTCCGTCGACCAGTCAACATGCTGGTTCAGATAGGCAGCTGCGTTTTCGAGAGCAAGACTGGAAGGATGATCGCAAGGAGAAGCAGCGTTTGCCTTCATACTCATCAGGAAAAAGGCATTCGGATTCAGATGTGAAAGAGTCTTCTACTCCAGTAACAGCTGCTGTCGCTGGTGGCGATAGTGCGCCAGATCCTCAACCAGCTATTGCAAAAGACATTGCTGAGAAGAGAAAGGAACGAATTGAACGGCTGCGATTGCAAGCGGCTGAGAGGCAGAAGAATGGTGAAGACTCCGTTCCTCAAGCTGGCTCAGTTGAGGAAGTGAAGCAAGAGCGTCCAGCTAGGAAGCGAAGGTGGGGCAATGGATAACGTTGTTTCATTCTGATAGTCATTTAGAATGTATTTTTAGACATTCGCTTCAAAATATATACATCATTTGCACAGGCACGTGCTTGAGAAGTAGGCCTTTATTTGCGGGTAGTTCTTACTTCTAGAGTGGACACGTTGTTCTGAGGTTGAGGTCCTCAAAGCAGAAGTTTGATGCTAGTTTGGAGTGCCTTTAAAGTTGAGTGATAAGGTCTGTGTTTGGTAGGCCTGTCGCCCTATGTTGTGGTGCCACGCTTTGCCCATCTGATGTTGAAATAAGTATCGGACTCGGAAGTAGGCAGGCGATCCCTGCTGTAGTAGTCAGGTTTGGAGCATGGGGAAAGTATGGCGAAGATGATGCGGCTGAGTCCAGTACATGAATCCGGCAGAATGACAGAAGTCGATCATCCACTTTTGCATGTGTGTTTCCATGGATAGTCCTGCATTCAGAAGGAGTTGAATTGAACATGAAGAATGTGTTGTAAACGCCACACATTCGTTATCATACCATCAAGGCTGGAGAAGACTTGCTGTAGCTGAGCCAGAGATTGGAGCCATGGAAGGGTGTGAGCTGTCACCCAGAAGGGATGTTGATGTTATTGAGATGCTGGTAGGGAGTCCTCGAATAGAGTAAAAACCCCGTGGTGAGCTTATTCGTGTTTGTTTAGATAGGAAATAATTCTAAATGTGTAGAAAGCAATTTTGCAGATATACTAGAGGATCAGACTTAGGAAGCAAAATTGAAATCATGACAAGATGTTCCGCATGCTTGGAACTCGGGTGCTTTGTAAACAGGTGAACCAAACTTAGGACTGTATAAGCACACACTATTCTGTAGATAGCGATCCTGTAGTCAGCTTCGGCTGAATCGCTCGATTTGATGCTGTGAGTGAACTGCTCCTGCAGGATGGGTGAAATGCACTCACTGTCAGTGCGGTGCCAGTGGTTACCCTTTGAGGTGGGCCTGGACTCTGAGATCTGCCGTGAAACACGTAGCATGATGTCACAGAGTTCATATGATGTTGACCTAACATTCAATACAGGTGAAGCACCTGACGGAAAGTTATCACTAACGTCTGTAGGCAGTTCCACAAAGGTGGTGGTAACAAAGGTCGGGAACAAAGCAGCGTAAGCTGTGGGTGATGATGACGTCCAAAACCTATTCTAGCTGAAGTCAACTTGGTGCTTACTGAAGTCGCAATGATTGAATCACTCACCGTATCCTACACTGATAACCTGATCCGTACCAGTGAAACCTCTACTGCCTATAGCTCGAGTGCCCAAACACCGGAAGACCCTCAATGTGCTCGAAACTTTCCCCAACCATGTTCTCTTCGTAGCTCAAACGTTAGAGCCTTTTTCACTAACCCCTCATCTGGTATTCCCATTCGGAGTGTAACGTATCTCGTTGAGATGTGGACGACTTCCAACCAGATCTTTAGCCCTCGGTGACCCGACAACTCGACCTGAAAGGTCGAGTTGTCGGGTTGAGCTGTTGAGCTTCGGGATCGTGTTTACGAATCCAAAAATGGACGATCTGGAACTTTCATCTATTTGCGGAACGTTGCAAGAAACTCGCTTTCAAGGTTCTTTGAAACACTTCGAGATCGTGGCGTCATGGGGGAGTATACTGGTGTTCTAAATAATAATGTCGAAACAAGACTGAATCCAGAGATTTTCAGTCTGATACATACTGACGCATACAAATCTAGCATCAGGCACTATTAAACCCAGAATACCGATAGTATGTATTCTAGAGTTTATGAAACACATCGTTATTCATAAAAACTTCAATAGTACGTCAAGATGTTCGTAAGGGTAGATTGCAAAGTACTGTGCCTAACATAGAATAAAATATAGATACGTTTAAATCAAAAATTTAATACTACAGCAAAGATACAGAAGTATACATCACCGAGAAGAAAAATAAGTTGATCAAATTAATATAAACATATAATATACGGTGAATGTTGTAATGTTTCATTGCAATAGAACTCACCAAGCAAAGTTGCATGGTTTTCATATAGTACATATTACGTAAGATAGAAAAGTTCTTGTGGAAAATCCGATTTACTTTCATGTACTTGAAAAACATAATCTGAATCTAAGTTTCAATTCACATCACATACTAATCAATTGATCTGATTTCACTAAATGTGGATACGAAGCAATGATCACAACAGATAGAAATTTAAAAGTACTGAATATAATATAAGATTAAATCAATTTTCTTCGATGTACATCTAATGAAACCTTGAACAAATTCTAATTTTTCTACATATATGTAATCGATAGTTCAATTTTGAACGAAATACTTTTAAGGTAAACGGTGAAGTTATATTTAATTTGAATTTTTTTTTACACAAAATAGTAAAATTATATATTTTAAAATTTTAATCACACTAATAATAGACTATGCACACAGTCATATTCAAAGAAGGTGTTAATATGTTCAAATTTTTATAGAATTGGTCAAAATTCCTGAAATTTAAAAACTGTTTTTGTAATCAGAGACTTAAATGAAAATACTTTTATTTTAAAACATATGAAAATTTTGATTGCTGTTGCATGATGATTGCTTTTATATGTAATTTATAGACACTCTTACTTAATGCAAATCAAGTGTTATGCTTTTGTATAGAAAATATTTGTTACTTCTTATTGTTTTACCAACTTGAAATAAAATTAATAATGTTGGAAAATGTTATATATTAAAATTCAGATGCATAACTACTCATATTTAAATTTCATTGCATGAGCTTACATTACTGTATTACATGTATTGAAATAAATAATCACAGGTATATTTCAATATGTTTCAATCAAAGCAAAATATCATGTGTATGTAAAAACTAATGACATTCAATATAAAAAACATTGTACATATATTTGAGTAATGTGTAATACCTGATAAGTATTTTTTTCATTGCATATTGATTATTTGCAACAATGAAGGAGAGAAAATTTCATAAATCATATTTGTTGAGATTATTCATAAAATGTATAAAACAGTTGTTAAAATTTTTAGTTTATAGTCTAGAGTTAAAAAAAATAGCAAAATTTTCAATTGAGATAAGATGATTGCAATTCTTGCTCATTCTTTAATAATCTAATTGATATTGAGCTTACAAGTTTTTTGAAATATGTCATTATTACATTTTTTTATCAAATTTAATAAAGAGAACATATCTGATGCTTTATTGCAACACGTAAATTTTCTTTGTTCAATATGTCTTATCAACTGACATGATTTTTATTATCACATTAAAAATAAGTTATATGAATACATTTGATGTTGAAAATTGATAGTTTTAGAAATTTGATTTATTTTCTTAGATTTAGATAATTATTAAATTATTAAAAAATATAATAATTTAAATATATGAAATATCAACTTTGAAAATCAAATGATTTGTTGATGAATTTCATAATCTCAAATATTTAAACTTCATGTATATAATAGAAATTTCACATTAGAATATGTATGTATTACACTCTGAATTTTAATATTATATTAAAAATATTATTTTTATATTATTTTTATCTTTAGTTAAAATTTCTTTATTGGGCTTATGCTTAAATTTTTACTCCCTTCTTAAAAAAAGTTATCTTTTGAAAATGGGTGTAAAGTTGACTGCATGAAACTTCAAAATTTTTGGAAAAAATGATAACAATTTTTTTAAAAATGAAACGTAAATATCTTCATGAGTTGGATATCAAAACAATTTGAAAATGAAGACAGTGAATTCATTTCGAATAACATGCAAATTTTAAATTATTAAATTTCAAATTTATGTGGAACTAAAAAAATTCTCTGATATGTTTGAAAGCATTTTGAAGATATATTGTGAGTTTTAGATATACATAGTCTTAACTAGTTATATACATATGTAACTACTACTTTTATGATAATGATGTAATGAGTTCATTAATAAATGAGAAGACATTCAGTTAAATTAAAATTGTATTGTTCATAATGATGATATGTCCTTCATCAGATTACTTCTTCCTGCAATGTGGTTTCACTATCTTCTTTCCTATTCTTATAGTTTTGATTTATTTGAAGCAAAGATCCGTTCATTTAGAATTCAAGAGCGTGATGAAACAGATGGTAAAGCTTACAGTGTATGCAAGTTGATCTACTTGGCAAATAAACTTGGACAATTTTTTCCAAACGAACTTCTTCTTCTTCTGTTTATTTTCTAAATTATTAGACTGGAAAAAATACTCATTTTTAGTCAAAGTGGATCATCTCATCTTGAGAGGTTTCTTATCACATGGGATGAATCCAGATTAGTTAAAAAAGTTAAAACCCTAAATAAATCTCTGTGTGTTTTTTATTCAAACATTTACAATAATCAAGTGTACCTCAATCTAAGTTTTCTAATTGAAAATTGTGAGTTGAATCACGTTCTCGTTCTAAGCATTGTGAATGCTAATTTTATCCTAAACAGGAATATGAAATGTAGATATCAACATCAGTCATAATAGCTATTTTCAGGATGGCAATGGAAGTGTTGCTGCTCTTTTGTATAACATAAACTCAAACTCATAAGTTCAGTGTGCCAGGTACTCAATCAATTTGTAATCACATTGAGCATTTGATCTGGTCCCTACCTATTTCTTCCCTCAATATAATGAATATGGATTAATGTTGAGCTGGAAACAAAATGAACCGTGATTCGTTGCACCTCGGAACAAATTAAATTCAATAGGTTCACCCCTTTATGATGTTTGGATTGTATTGTCGTATAACTTATTGTATAACATTGGTTGAATGATTTTTGCATCTCATACTTCAGTACATACCACTCGCAAGACCGAAAAGCATGGAATTTGTTTTTCATATTAAGGCTTGAAGAAGACATATGATATCATAAAAATACCTTATTATTTTGTGACTATATTAAGGACATGTACTTTTCTCCAAAGCAATTGTGCAAGGGATAAAAGTTGTTATGCAGCAGGATGCTTGTGGCATTGGTGATGATGAATACTCGAAGAGAATAAAAATGATTACACAGCTCCTCTCTGATTCACAAGTACATTCTCCAGAAACCCCAACAAGAATACCTCCAGTTAATGATTTGTATCTATTGACTCAAAGTACGTAGTGATGATTAATAGTATTAAACTTGACTTCAAGTGTGAGCTCTGTAGCTCAAACACTTACGTGGCTATCAGGTTGCGCTTAAACGGATGTCTCCATTTAGACTTCAATGATTGACCACCTATTTTGAGGTTGATATTATAGACTCCTAATGATGGTTAATGCCTCAAATCCAGCTTCTGGATTTCTGTTGTAGCGTTTTAGCTTTACTTCTAGATTTTTATTATTCAATCATATATCTCTATATTAAGCATATGGATTTGCAAAAAGATGAATAAACGATGGAAAAAAAGCGTTTTTGGGGTTTACTATATATTACAAACAATACGTAAGCTGACCGCAGAAGATACCATTAATAGAAAAAGGCTTCAGGAGTCTCTGATAGGAAGGAAAAAAAACCTTTATGATTCATTCTTAAGGATGTACATCGAGCTGGATTGATTGCCCATGTAATAAAAAATTATTAAAAGTTCGTACAGCCTTCTCTCGTACATTGTATGACGTATATGTTCCCCGTGATGTAGACTTATGTTGCACTTGTATAAGAGACAATTTTTATATGTATATGCTGAGGAACATATTAGAAATTTCTTTATTGCTTCCGGTTACGGACTATCAATTGGCATTGAATAAATTCACTTATACACTAGCAATAGAACTGGTTCAGATCCTAACAATCAGTTTTATTATTTATATCTATTGATGAAATGTGCACATCTTTAGAATGAAAAAAATAACAATTATATGTATTTATGTGTCTAAAATTTATAATAAAATATTTTTTATAACTCAATATTACGTAAATTATATCTCTTTTTTATATATTCGGATTTAGGGTTCAATTTTCTTGAGTTTTTCACCTTTTAAGAAGATTTTACTATCCCTTAAAATAAATTTTTTCATGATTTGTCGGACAATTTTACCATTATGTACTTGAAAAGTATATGTTTGCAAATTTGTATAACTTAGATGGAAAAAAAAACTTAATTGGATGATAGTTTCTATTTCATGATTTTACTTTCCATTTCATGTAGCTAA